CCCCAACCCCAACCCCAACCCCAACCCCAAACCCAACCCCAACCCCAACCCCAACCCCAACCCCAACCCCAAACCCAAACCCAACCCCAACCCCAAACCCAAACCCAAACCCAAACCCTTCTAAAGATACTTTGTGATTTTGAGAATTATAATTTTATAATTGTGTTTAATTGTAATAATAATAATAATAATAAATTAATTAAATAAAAATTAAAAAAATATTCAAATTCTTAAAGACTCCAAATAAATCAATTTGATAAAAAAATAAAGGCTTAAGCCAAAATTGCCTTTTTAGTCTTCGCCAGTAGAGATTTTTTTTTGCAAATAAATTGTAGATATAAGAAATTTTTGTGAAATTACTAGAAAAATCAATATATATTAATAATTTTTGACTTCTAATATTGGAATAGAAGAAAGCAATTAATAATTTTTATTCTAACAAAGATTAATAATTTTTAGAAGTAAAAAAATTAAAACTTAAAATTATTTCTTCTTCTCCTCATGATACTCTTGTTAATCTCAAATTTGTATTTTTATTTCTCACTTCCTCTTGAAAATTAGTTCTCTTCTATTTGAGTATTGTAAACAACTGAGTTTTTAAAGCAAGCTTTAAATAAATGTGTCAAAAAGAGCCCAAACTCTTGAGAAGTGAGCAAATTCTTTATCTTTCTATCCTTATCTCACACTCTTTGATTCTCGCTCTGATTGCTGTTGAGCTTTCTAGTTCAGTCTCACCAACCTCAAATTAGAAAAAAATAACCACAAACCCAAATCTTACCTACCAAAAATAAATATTATCATCTGCCATCCTTTAATTAACTTTCTATTTTGGCTTAATTCTATAGGATTATATTTTTCATAGATTAACCTTAATTTTTCTAGTCTTTCTGTTAGTATTAAAGAACAAATTTCAAATATAAAATACATATTTGTTGTTGAGATTTTATAATAAAATTTTTGAAGAAATGTTACAATTCATTTTATATGTTTTTAAAATATCATTTCCTTATGTTTCACAGATTATCTTTTTTCTAGGGATGGACCTAAAATAATAAATTAATTTACTTAACAATAAAAACTCATCAACTCCTGATCAGCATTCACACACAGCTCCTTAAAAGGTGAGTATAATCCTTCATTTAACAAAGCATATCTTTGTGTTAAAAAGTCTACATCTAACAGTTTCCATTCACACTCTGATATTTAGGATGACTCTTGTTTCTATTCTAAGCCTTAATTTTTTGGCTTTTATAAAATAGAAATATATTTTAGTTCAAGATTGGGAAGCTATAAATTTAGAACTTGATTATTTATTGCTTCTTTGCATTTTTTGTTGAACTTACATATTGACAAAATAATTATTTGAATTTTTTTAAACTTTTTGATTATTTTTGGAATTTGCTCATTAATTATTTACAATAATGAGCTACAATTCTAAGCATTATTTATATAAACAATTTTTTGAAACTCTCCCCCTTCTTCTTATCCATAAAATTTGATTTAATAAAAATCAATTAGAATTTTAGACCCTTCATTTTTTCCACTTATTTCCTCTAAAATTTAAGGGGTGATGAGATCCTAAATGAATAAGTAATCCTTTAAAAATAATTTCATGTTAAAATATCCAGATTCCAAAATACTATGAAGCATTAATTTTTATTTAAATATTTTTATTAAAGCTTTATGACTATCTTTTCTGTGTCCTGACAAATGTCCTATTTACCAATAAATATAAAAAAATTCGTCTAACCTGAACTTCATAGTATTCAACTATTTAAAGTCACATGTAAGTTTTTTTATCAATAGAGCATAAAACTCAGATCTGATTTCTAGCATTATATCATCATATTTATTTAATCTTTTCTCTTTATTATGTTATTGTTACTATATCTAAAAGTCTTATTGTTGTTGCTTTATGATTATTGTAGATGGTTTAACAATTCGTTATTGTAAGAAATCAACCCATCATATAATCTGTTGGACTATTTTGATGATTTTGAATTTTCTGAACTTCCAGATTTTGTTTTTGATTTTGATTCATTGCTCAAAAAAAAAGTGTTGTCTAATTATATTTGATCTATTCTTCTCTTGAATTTTTCACTAGCTCCTTAACAATATCTATAATTTAATAATAAAACAGAAACTAATCCAGGGGGTTCTTGTTCTTCATAACAAATTAAATACTCTTATATTTCTGTATCATCTTATTGTTCTTGTTTTTCCTTATCTTATTTGGAATTAGTTTAAATTTCAAAAAATTCAGGATCAAATTAATTAATTTATTCATTAAGTTATTATTATGAGACATTAACTTTTTATATTGATAGATTACATTTTATGTCCTCTTAAAAATACTCTTAGAAACCACCTTCTACCATTACTACACTATCTGTTTAATCTGCTTGTTTTTAAACATTTATTGTTTAGGTATTATTTATTTTCATTTTTTCTTCTCTCCTCCAAATTCTTTGAATGATTTTTTATTTTTTGAGTTTTTAAGGATCTAATAAATATTATGAAATAATAATAAATTAAAATTTTTAATCCACTCTCAACCCACAACATTCCTGAAATGTCTAGCATATAAACTCCACTGGAATATGCTAGAACACACTTACACATTAGCTGCAAATTCTGTTCTCAGTAGTTATTTCCAAGTAAATTCGGATTAGATTTTGAATTTAATTTGTATTTTTTAAATCGTTTAAACTTTCATTTAATTCTCTCAATATTGTTTTCTTTAATTCAAAGTCTACCAAAAGATATAATATCATTGTCCTTTCGCTATGGGGTTCAATAAGAAATTCATTAAAAGACTGAATTGATTTAGTTATAGGTAATTATTTGGCAAAATCTTTCAAAAACTAGACATAATCATAAAATTGAATATTTGAAAAATTTCCTATAGGGAATTTAAAATTAATTAATTCTCCACCCTTTTTTTTAAAGACGAATCTAATATTTCCTAAAGCTATATTGTTTTTCATATAAATATTTGTATCTCCTAAAGATTCTTTTATTTTCTAAACTTATAGAGTTGATAATAAAAAGTATTTCAAAAAATCATCAAGAAGCAAATTATAATCAAAATTTAATTTATAAATTATTTGAGCTAGAAGATCAAAAACCATGGTTTCATTAAGTTAATCTTTAATTAAGTAATTATAAAACTCAATTTATGACAGGCATTAATTATTGAGTTTTTCTGAGAAATATCTCCCTTACAATTCCATTAATTACTATCTTTATTGATCTCGACTTTTCATATCGATATACTGAGCTAAAATCTTAAATATATCACTTCTATATAAAATTAGAGAATAAAAATAATAACTAAGGTACGGGGGAATCTACAAAGGTGCAGAGCGTTGGAAGCCAGCTCTTGAAAGGTAATAGTACAAGGCTTCCAATTAAAGGACATCCAACTAAAAATCTTATTTAAATTATTAAAAATCCACTTCATTTTATCGAATTTAGTAAATATTGTTTATGTCATCATCATTTTTTTTTTGGTTAGATTTTTTGGATGAATGGATTGATTAGCTCTCACTTTGAGAACGATTCTCTTAATTTTTTTAAAATTAGTTATTTTGGTCATCTTTTGAAGATTTAGAGACATCCTCTTTCAAATTGGAATCTTGATCGTATGTTGAATGAGAACTTGAATAACTTCTTTTATGAAATAATTCAAAGTTCAAATTGGTTTAGATCTAGTGATATAAATCACTTTAGAGGCAGCATATTGTATGCCGTCTATTTATTGTATTCAAAATCCCTCGCTTAAACCTTTTACTTTCTGTAAAAAAAACTTGGTGCTTTTTATTTTGAAGATGTTGCATAATTATTATAAGGTATTTAAATAATAAAAATTTTTGTTAATTACCCGCTTTTAATTACAAAATTAAAATCATTATAATATATAAATGTATTGAAAATATTAACAAATTTTTTTTGAAAAAATTTCTGGTTATAATAAAATTCAGATATCTAATTTCAAAAATCAAAAATATTTAGCAATCAAATACTTGTTAAAATTCGAAACTGAAAAAAAGCTTTTGTTCTCAATTGAATAAAATTGCAGGTTTGCAAGATTTTATTTAGGTCAATTCATTGAGGGTTTTTCTTTTCTCTTGAAATAGTATATTATTTTCACAAGAATAGAAAAATTTTGTATAAATATTTTCTTCCCTTATTCGAAATTTAGTTTCAAGAAAATCAAGAAATGTAATGATTTGATGTAATTTATGTATCAGCAATGTGAATTAGTGATTGTTTCCAATTTTTTCAAGTTTTTAAATAAAGCTAAGTTTAAAGGACGAAATATGTAGATTAAAAAATTGATATCCATAATGTAGATAAGCAGTTTTCGAAACGAATTTTAGACGAATGAATTTAAAAGATAAATTTATTGTTATTCAAAAACTTCTATATTATATATAATTAAAGATAATATGTAACTAAATGATAGATATATGGAAGAAAAATATTAAAATAAAACTTATTGGACTAATCTGTTAAGTTAAAATGCTTTCACACTGTATTAATGAATCAATTTTAAAGATACTTTTCATAAAAATTTTAATTATTTATTCAAGCATTATGATAGAATGTGTATGATTGACTAATGTCTGTTATCTGATGTCCATAATATTTTTTATTATTTTATGGATGTTTAGAATTAAGAGCATAAAAAAAGAGAAAATTGTAAGCAGCAATTAAAAAAACAAATAAATACTTTTAGCTTTTGATTTACATCATTTATTTGTGTTAAATTGATAATAATCATAATTAACTAGGTTTTCATTTTTTTTTAAATGAACTCATAGTTTCTTTGGTGAGGTAATCTACCTCCCTTAAATCGTCATGAAATTGTTAAATAATAGGTTTTATTCCATATTATGAAAGATTCCTTTAATTTTTCCATATTGTAAGTTTCGACCTAATATATAAAGCAATCCTTTATCTGCACAAATTTTCTTTCTTTGGGACATTAATGCTAATTAATTTAGTTTCAATAGTTATTGTTACAATTAGGACCATAAAAATACTAAATTAAATATATTTTAACTCAGTTTATTAGCCCTGAAATTTAAATTATAAAAAAATAAGCAAAAAATGTGGAATTTTTGTTTTAAATTATCATACTTTCAATCTCAATTTAAAATAATTTAAGTAAATTATCAATTACCAATTCTAAAATACAATGGATCTCTAAAGCCCATAATTGTAAACTTGAAAATTCAACTTTTGAAGACATTTATTATTTCTAAGAGAAATACTTTATCCATCAGTATAGACTTAAAGACATAAAATTTGTTATAATAAACTGAAAAGTATTTATTTAAGTAGTTGGAAAAAATTTGCGGCTTTTCCTCCTTCTTCACCAAATTCAATCATGATTTTCAAATTCTCCCCATTTAATTTTAAATACATCAGAAGTAGAATCCAAATAATCTTTAGGAAATTAGAGTTTTTATACTCAATTAAGCAAATTTCTTTTAATTAAATTAAGAACTCTTCTAAGTAAATAAAAAACAAAGCAGACGAAAAAAGAGAGCCTTTTGGCAAACTAATATATTTAATTAGTAAGTGGGCTAAAGTAATTTTAAAGGGCTAAAAACAATAAAAATACAATTCATTTCGAACTTTTCGGAAAAGAATTAATCTTGTTGAGTAAACTTGTAATATTTATTTAAGTTGAAGAAAATGATATAACCTGTTTCTTCTTTAGATAATCGAGTGTTTAAGTAGGATTGTATCTTTGGAAGAAATCTAAGTTCTAATAATTCATATAAAGTGCTTAGAATATTGATTGGGCAAAATTTATTTTGTCTATTAATAGAAGGAAACACTTTATTTAGAGGAATTAATCTTGATTTGCAAAATAACTAAATTTTTTCAAGAGTGGTATTAGATCAAATATCCAGAAATAATAAGATATTCTTGGTTTTTTAATGAAGGAATCTGAAATACCATGACCTTATCAGTTTAGATTAATTTTAAAATTTCTTTAATATCGATTGGGGAAAGTAGGCAAATCTTGTGGACTGAATTCTTATCTATTTGAAATTTATCTCAATTATGAAAGGCGATTCTCATATGCAGCATATCCAAATTATAGATTATCTTATTCATCTAAAATAAAAAGAAATTATGCCTCCTTCTTTTTTATTTGGATTCGTTATGACAATTTTTTTTGATTTTGATAAAATTATTCTTCAATAAATCAGATTATTAATCTCATTAATTATAATAAGAATTATTATCACTTCTTTCAAGTTTAGGAATCATTTATCTTTTTATTTTTTGAATAGCCTTGTGTAATCTCAAATTTATAAGGATTAAAATTATAAAAACAAGTGAAATTTGAAAATTTGGAACATGGTCAGTTATTTAATTAGTATGCACATAATTTATTAAGTTTTGAAAATAGAACTACTGAGTAATTTTTTAAAGAAATTGAACTTTACATGTTGTGGATGATTTGATGGATCATTGAATAATATATTTTGAACAAGGTATAACTTCATAAAAACTATTAGAAGGATTATTTTTTTCATCAAAAGTCTCTTAACATACAAATTTTTAGTTAGGCTTCATTCGAAAAATGCATTCTGACCACAGTAATAATTCTTCTGAATTCTTTAATTAGGACAGTGAAATAAATAATAGCGAGGGGAGGACTTTAATTTTGATTCTACATTCTAATAAACAAATATATGAGGATATTAATTAACTAATTTAGTGTTTATGATTTAATTGACGATACATTCCATGAAACGAACTTGATTTAATCCTCTGTGTTAAACTTGAGACACTATTGGTTCATATTGGCAGGTCAGAAAGAGAGTTTCTTGCTCTTATATCTGGTGGTGTTTTATTTGAAACCTCATTATTTCAGTCTTTAAAGAATTTAACCTTATAATTTTATGTGAACTATTTTATGGGATTTTTATTTTATTGTTTCATATGTAGTTTATAATTCTGCATGTGAACTTTCCACTGCATTAATAAACAATCTCTTCATCTCTATTAGTATTTTCTATTTTAAATTGGAAATTATTATTCAATTAAATTTATTTTTTCTTTTAGGTGTAGAAAAGGATACTTTCTCTAAAGAATTATGTATCTATTCTATTAATTTGTCTTAAATTTTATGCATTTGATTTGCTATATTGCTATACCTTTATGTATTGATTTCAATACTGAAGCTCCGAAGACTTTGTGAAATAACTTTTGAGAATTGAATTTCTTATTTTGATGAATGCATAACATTGAATATTGATGATTTTTTTGAACAAAAATAGTTTTTGGTTAGGTATTGAGTCTATATCTAAAGTATTTCTTCTTCCAAGGATTGAATATAATAAATTAAACTAAAAGTTTTCCTGCCAAATATATAAACATTTTTGGATAGAAAAAGCCTTGATCCATCTATAGAATGGATTTATCATCATTATTATTAATTGCAGCTTACTTAATAATTCTATCACAATCCTATAATTCGAAAAATCCTTTTAAAACCATTAAAATATTAGTTTTTATTTAAAGGTTAATACATTTCATTGGAATTAGGATACTTTTATTATAAGAGCTGAATAGAATTCACACAACTATTCATTTTTGTTAATGCCATTCAATATCAGGATTAAGATTCTTTCCATTATATTAAGAAATTATTTATTAATTCAAGTACATTTTACCTTATGTAAAATGAATCTTAAATTGAATGATTATAGCTACTAAATTATTAATTCTTGTGCGAATTGTATTATTCTATCTGGCATTTAATTTTAAATAGATTATTCTACATCGAGTATTTGATTTATATTTAAGACAACTTGTATGAATTTTGTTGACACATTAAATTATTTAAAAATATAATATATATATATAATTATAAGAGATTTTCCTCTCAAAAATTTAATATCATTTTCCATACTGCTAAGTTACACCTTCATTTGATTAATTTTCCTTCAACTGTTATCAAACTGTTTCTGATATGATTAACAAATTAAATTATTGATTAAGTTATTATCCCACTTTCCTGAATATATAGATAATTGCTCAGTCTTTTCAACCATTTCTTCTAATTATTGTTCTCTTTTATCAGATTTGCCTCCAGAGTGATTTATTCTATCAAAAAATCCATTCAACTCAACTTTGATAACATTTCTCCATCAATCCTATCAAGTTGAGTTTACCAATCTTTTAACAAAATTTACATCTACCGTTTTATTAAGGTTTAATTTTTTAATAAATTTCTACATCATCTTTTTCTGAAATGCATTAGTATTATTATTATTATTCCTATTACGGATCTAGACATAAAAAATTATAATCAAAATCACTTGTTCACATATATTTTTTTTACATCCTTATTGGTTAGTTCTAAAAGATTAACCTACTTTTCCCAACATTTCTTTTTCCTTCTGATTTTCTCACTTAAATAGTCAAACAATAAATCTTCGTTTATATATAAATGCTCATTTAATAATTCTTAATAGTTTGGACTTTTTTAATGAATAGAGCACCGATTCCTTATGTAGATCAATTTTAGGAAAATAATTTCATTTTTAATTCATTTCGAATTTACATCCTAAATATTTCCCTTTTGTTTTTTATTAAATAATCTTCTACTGTGTTTTATGCGACAATAGCTTTATTTTCTCTACTATCTAAGGTTTCACATTAATTAGTAGTCTTAACACTTAATCACTATTCCCCATTATTGTACTCAAAACTCAATTAATTTCTTTTAACTTCTTCAAATTAAAATAATAAAACTAGAGCTTTTTAAAAAAAAAAATAAATTTACCTGCAAAGCAACTAGATGAAATCTAATTTATAGTAAACACTAAACCCTATTTGATTTTTCATTCATCATTATTTTTAGTATTGATTCAAAGATTCAATATCCTAATCTTTTATTTAATTCTATTTCGTATTCTTTCAATAGTCGTATCTTATTAATTTATTGATTTAATATTCTTATTCAAACTAGTTTTTTTTGTGATTTCTCACTTAGACTCTATTAAAGTTGATTTTATTTCTCCCTTTAACTGATTGAGAAAATCACATTTTTGTCTTTTTAATAAATTGATTTATTTTCTTTGAAAATAATTCTTAAATATCTAATTTCCATTTATTATCATTTCAATTATTATANTAGTATTGATTCAAAGATTCAATATCCTAATCTTTTATTTAATTCTATTTCGTATTCTTTCAATAGTCGTATCTTATTAATTTATTGATTTAATATTCTTATTCAAACTAGTTTTTTTTGTGATTTCTCACTTAGACTCTATTAAAGTTGATTTTATTTCTCCCTTTAACTGATTGAGAAAATCACATTTTTGTCTTTTTAATAAATTGATTTATTTTCTTTGAAAATAATTCTTAAATATCTAATTTCCATTTATTATCATTTCAATTACACACCAAAAAATTAAATTAATCTTAATTACATGGAATAAAAGCTTCTTTAGATCTGAAACTCACTCATTAATAAAGACACAAAATGCTCTCTTTATCTCTTTTAAGAAGTAAGAGATGCCTCAATAATCGATTCAATAAATTATAAATACTATTATAAAAGGTTTGGCTCCACTCATTAAGGTGGAATGATTAGAGGTTTCCATAAAGATTTCAGTTCATACGTTATTCCTCACTTTCCTAGTTGTAAATATTGCTTATGTTAACATTGTAAATTTACCTATTTTAAAATAATATATTTATTTAGGCGTAGTAAAAAATTACTTGGGCAAAACATGAAAATAAAGAAAGTGCTGGGTAATAGATTTATAAACTATTTATAATTAATAAAAGTATGAATTTATATTTAAGACTGCTATTCATAAATTACATTTAACCATATTTTATGTATAATTTAATACCTGCTTAATACAACAACAAAAACAACACATAAATTAGAAACTGATTAAGATTGATAACTTTTGCAAATTTGTTAATTCAGAGGGTCGTTTTTATGCTAATATATTTTAAAAATACTTCTCGATAGTTTGTAATTGTTGACATTACAACCCTAGGGTTTTAATAAATTTTTGTAATTGGATTTCATTATCAAATATAAATTTAATCTCAAAAAATTTAAACTTCATATTTGATTTGTAGGAATATTGAAATCATCTTTAAAAAGTTATTAATTCTTAAATTTTCAAAACTTGAAACACTTAAACTATTAATAGATTCTAATTAGACTTAGTAAGTATATGGATATTATGATATAAAAATAATATTTATGGTGAGAAGTTCACAAATAAATTGCCCACTATTTTTAAAAAGATTTCATTAGAAAACAATGAGAAACTTTAATAGAACTTTGATACTACTTACAAATAGCTTGTTAATTTTGAGACATTATGTTAATATTTATTATCTTTAGGGAGAAAAGAAAAAGATATAACCAACGCCTATAATTGGCAAAAGAAGCTGATAAATATTTCTTAGAATTACCAAAAATTAATTCTGATTATATTGCATTAGCTCACAACAATAAGAATAAATGGAATCTTTTGTTTAAATGGCTATTGTAATATTAATATTGCTATAAATCATAAAAAAGTCAAGCATAAGAAATGTCGCTATCTTAAAATTAAAAAGCATCTTTGTCGAATTAAAAAAAGATGAATTTTCAAGTGTAATATGCTTGCTAATAAATAACTTAGTTGAGCATTTCATTTTCAATTCTTCTATACAGTAATCATTATTGAAGATTACAAACAATTTATTAATTAAAGTTTGTATAATAAATATATCATAATAAATAATTAATTTTATATGATCATTATATTTTCTCAATTTTATTCCATCCACAGTAATGCTACATTGTCATAAGATGCTGTAACAAAAGCATTTTATTACTTACTTAATGTTATAGAACTTAAGCATTTATCATGAAGTTTTCTTGTTATTTAACATTTTCCTGTAAGAATATCATAGATTACTTGTATAAAAGTTAAAAATACATAGTTTTCCATCCTCAGAGCCTGTTAATAGCATACCATCATTCCATGAAAACTCACAATTAATTGAGTACTGATTACTGATGTGACTACCTTAAAGGGCCGCCAATATTGATCCAGAACTTTTTTCTAATATTCTGATAATAGAATCATTGCAACTTAATGCCAAAAGTCTATCATCAAAACTAGAACTAAATTTAAAAATTCCTGCCTTTATAAAGTCTTCTTAAATTATTCCTTTTCTTAAATCAAATGTTCTTATAAATAATATTATGTAAATACCTAATATGTCCATCAATAGAGGAGATAATCATATTATGATTTTAGAATGAAATTTATGTTACACTATCTTAAAACTCCTTAATTCTTTATATAGGTTAATTTTATTTTTTATCTTTTAAATCCCAAATTTTCACTTCACAATCATATCCTCCTGTTGCTAAAATCGATTACTCTCCTCCTATCCCAACACAATTTATTCTAGTGCTATGAGGTCCAAATTTTTTTATCACCTAACCTGTTGACACATCCCATAAAAAAGCAATTTTATCTCCTCCACAAGATGCAAATTTTGAATTATCTTATAGAATAGCTAGGTCTTATACTTCATAATTATGTGCTCCAAAATATTATTTTAATTATGTTTCTTTATATGGATTCCATAATATTATCGATCTATCTTAAGAACCAGTTAATAAATATTATCCATCAAAATTGAACTTAGCTACATAAATTTGTGCTTTGTGTCCTTAAAGCGCACGTTAAGGTTCATAAAGATGAAAATTTTATGTTTTGCTTTTATTCATTTATTTTTTAATAACTTAATTAATAAAAAAACATATTTCTTATATATTTTATAATAAGAAGAACTGATTTGTAATGCTTGTATTGCTCATGGCTTCATTTCAACTTTTTAACCATACCAAAAATTAACTTTGTTTTACCATTTCAAAGGAATTTAAAATTGTCGTATTTCAGAAGCAAATATTCATTAAGTTAAAACTTTTGAGTAAAACAGTTAGCTTTCAATAAATAATAAAAAGTAATTCATTTAAAATGATGATCGAATTTGAATGGATTCAAAATTAACAAATAATTTGTTTCTGATAGTGTCATGTTTAAAAATTTATTGTGTTAAGAGAATTAATGTGAAGACTAATGTACTATCATTAAAAAAATATGAAAATCATTTTTTCTAAGTGCTTTTGACTTTTTATTATGCTTAAGTTCCTGCTCTAAAACCATTCTTAGCTCTTCTAGCAATAGATTTCAAATATCTCATTCTTCCTGTTCCTGTTGATCTACGTCTAGCAACTTTTTCTCCCCATCCGCTGTCTATGAGCATATTAATTGATTTTTATACAAAGTCTTAATCTTGCAGCTGGATATCCGCATGAAGCACATCTATTTTTTTAAATGTGGAATGTTTATCGACCACATCTCTTACAAAATGTATGAGTTTTTTAATGTCTTTTACCAATAGCTGGTGTACCTCTTGCCATTTAATTTTTTAATAAAAGATTTAATTTAATCAAAAAAAAACCACAAATATGAGAAAAATTAGATAGATTATTTTTATCAATAACTTAAATCAACTTTTTTCCAAAAGTTCCATTGATAATAATATTTTATAATAAAACAAATCATTTTTAAAAAATCATATTTAATAATTCTAATCCACTCTTGGATATTAATTTCATATCTCAATATTCATAAATTCTAAAAAAATTTTCATTTTGTTATTACAAACCTTATGAGAAAGGATTTTTATAAATTACATAAAATTGATCTATTAAAAATGAAGCACTTTTAATATCTAAATTACTTAATTTTTTCTTTATTGAATTAATATTATTTTATTACTTTATAAAATACAAAATTTTTGTAGAAATTAAACTATGTATTTAATTATTTAGCAGGTTATAAACATATCTGTTGATGTTTAGATAATTGTTAATATAAGAGTTTTAAAAATTTATTTTATCATAAGATACAAAAATAAATGTATAAAAATTAGCAGCAAACAAGTAAAATTAATAAGAGATCAGTACAATTCTCAAGATAAAATAGAAGAGAATTATATCTATTGAGAATTTATTAAATTTACTAAAGCTAATAATCATTTCCATTCATCGCACTATAAATGCCAAAAAAAATACTAAATTAAATTATTGAAGAAACATTCTGGGAAATTAAGGATTTAAAATAATCAATAAAACACTAATATAGTAGAATTCTACTTTATATTAATAGTTCATAGGGATGAATATTCTATCTATTCACAATTAAATAATTTAGATGTTGAAAAAATAAGATAGATATTTTAAGAAGAATTGAGAGGGTAATTGTAATAACAGAAATAGTATTTTAGAAAAACAAAATAATTTGCTATTCTAAACTCAATAGATTTTATCACATCAAAAGCTATTCAATAATAAAAATTAAATTTCATCGCAATAATTATTATAAATTTCAAACCCAGGTTGTTAGCCAACAAAATAATAATAGCGATTGGGTATTGATGACCTAATGAACTTTATTTAATGCAGAAAAGAGGAAGAAATTGATTTTGTTTATTTATATTACTTTTTAATGCTACTTTGATTCGAATATATTTACTTTTGTTTAATAATTTATAATTTAAAGGAAAAATGAGTTTATAAACAAGGTCAATGGAAAGAACATCAGCAGGTGAAAAATAATAGACATGGCACTAATATAGAATATTTATAGAAGAAGTTAATTCATTAATTGGTTCAGCTTTAGTTGAAGAATTTAGGAATGATAATGAAAATGATGTTAATCCAAATATTATTGTTGGAAATGGAGAAAATTTACCCAGAGGAGCAACCAAATTAATTAATGCTGCAGATCCAAAAGAATTAGGTTAAATAGTCTTAGATTGTGATATTGTAATATTTCATCAGAATTATTGCAGAGCTGAATATGCTTACAAATTATTAAAGCATGGGTAATACTAATAGACAAAAACTTTTATTTTAATAAGTAATCCTATGACTTGGTCAACTACACCATTAAAAGAAAGAAAAATTGATGAAACTGCTATAAGATAATCTATGGGAGGGGATACAGAAGATTAACCAATTTTTAAAAAGTATGATAAATTTACTGAAAATGATCTTCCTATTAGAAAAATTAATTTTTTAGAAAGATTAAAGCATTTAGAGCAATAAATTATTGTCTGTGACAAACCTTTATTACATGCATACATAATAACTCCAGGTTTAGTATATGGAAATGGAGAGGATATTTTATACGATTTATTTAAAACTGCATGGATGACTCCTGATGCAGAGTTGCCAATTTATGGAGATGGAAATAATATTATACCTATGATTCATGCTAATGATTTAGCAAATATTGTGAATAAAACAGTTACACTAACCCCAAATGAGAAGTATATTTTTGCAGTAGATTATGAAAATATGACTTAAAAGAAGCTAATTAATACAATTGCTAAATCTGTTGGTAATGGTTTTACAAAAAATGTTACAACAGCAACTGAAAAATTGCTCACCATAAATGTTTGGCTTAGACCAACCTAAGTATTTGAGTCTGATGATCAATATATTGATGCTAATAAAAATCCAATAATACTATGGCAATCCAAAGAAGGATTTACAAAAAATATAATAAAAATCAGAGAATAATTTAAACAATATAGAGGTTTAGATACTGTTAAATTAATCGTACATGGAGGAACCACTTCAGGAAAATCAAATCTTTGCAAATAATTAGCTAACTTTTATAGAATACCTCATATATAAATCAAACCCTTAATTTAAGAATTAATTGAATAATAATCAGAATTAGGGGAATTAGTAAGGAATACTTTAACATAAGTAAAAGATTAACTAGTTGCAGAAGCATTAGCTATTTTTGAAGCAGAGAAAAAAAAAAAAAAGGTTCCAAAAGGTTAGCCAGAACCTGTATTTGATCCAAGTGGCATCTAACCAAGACTTCCTGATTCAGTCTTAATATAAGTTTATAAGTGGAGATTGGACTAAAATGATGCTTAAAATTTAGGTTATGTTTTGGATGGTTTTCCTAAGACATTAGAATAATATGAAAAACTATTCTTAAATGAGGAAGGCTAATTAATAGAATCAATTAAGCCAAAAGGTGTGATTTATTTAGAATATACTGATGATTAATTAAAAGAAAGAGCAAAATAAATAAATGATAATCCCAGATATTCAGAGGATCTTGTAGTTAAAAGATTGGCTAATTTTAGAAAGAATAATGAATAATTGTTGTCATAATATGAGTAGTTAGATATCAAGAGAATTTCAGACTCAGAAAATGCTTTTGAATTAACTAAAGATTTTATTACTAGAAATGGACCAATTTTAGTGTTACAAGATGTAAAAGATGAAGAAGTAGTATAAATGGATGAATAATAAGATGATGTTTCTCCCTCTCCTTAAATTTCATCAATTCAACAAGAAAAGGTTGCTGCTGTTTAATAATCCTAATTTCAACAATCTTAAGTCGGGCCTAAAAAAAAAGGAGATTAACTAAATGTATTACTTTAATTTAAATTAGAAATCAATAAATGAAAGTCGATAATCAAAGGATAATAAAAAGTTAACAGATGAGCAAAAATAAGATCTTATAAGGCAATAAGAAAGAGAACTCTTAGATTAAAGAAGCTAACCTTTAAGACAATATTTAGCAGATAATGTAGTTCCTTTCTTAACAGAAGGTTTAATAAATATATGTGAAAAGCATCCTGAAAATCCACTATAATTTTTAGCTGATTTTTTGGAATAAAAAGGAAATGAATTATAAGCATTAGGACAATGAAATTTATATAATTATGGCAGTTTAAAAATTTATAATTACTATAATAAATATATTCAAATAATTGAAAGCTACATTTATAAAATTCTTTTTTCTATACAGTTTTCTAAAATTAAGAGCTTAAATTGCTATTTTGAGCTTTTAACTATTAGTTATACATCAATATTTAAAAGAATTAAATATTAAGTAATTCATAATTAGATCTGTAATACTACTCTTAAGCTAAACTGATTTTATAGGAAAATGAAATAATTAATATTTTTATATAATTTTTAGAAATTTTTATTAAGGCATAGTGTTTTGAAAATAATTTTCTAATTGTTAATGAAAAAATATAATTTCAAATTGTAACCTCTTTTCTATTTTTTTATATTATATTGAACAAACCTATGAATAACAAAAAAAAGTTTCTTAAATCAATAATGACAAGATTTGTAATTGATCTATTCAAATTCTTTTGATTTATATTAAAAATTTTATTTTTTCTTCATGACCTACAGAGAATTAGTTCCTACTGTTGAAGAGCATAATGCTGGACATGTAATTGGATTCATAATTGGTAATCTATATTATGATCAAAGGGTTATTATATATGTTTGCTTTTGTATACTACATTTATAAGAAGTATTTGTCAAATTTGTTTGAAGACTTTATGAGTTTGTTAGATGTAAGTAAATATCAAAATAGTTAAAATTATAGGATAAAGAATATGAAGAAACTTATAGACCTATACTGTATAGTTTACTAAACTCAATGCAATATTTGATTTTATGTTTTTATTCAACATTTAGCAGTAAATCAGATTTGGGAGTTTCAGTAATTATTGGATCAGATGCTTTTAGTATATTATTCATTTTTGGTTTGATTCTTATTAAATTTCCTAATTCACATCATGGAGTCTTAGACACATGGACGACGTTAAGAGATTGCGTTATTTATATAGTTGGATTGCTTGTGATGTTGTTGTGTCTTTATTATGAATGGGCTAAGATAGGAACAGCATTAGTGCTACTAGTTTACTACATATTAGATTTAATTGTTTTAGCAGGGAATTATGAAATAAAAGAAAAAATAATGGAATGGTTGACCCTTAATAATGAAGATAATGAATTCAATTCAGATTAGCATATGGAATATAAAAAAAGAAGATATTCAGTAACATAATTGAGAGATGCAGGAATGGTTGATCTAAAAGATTAAAGTTTATAAAAAAAAATCAACACATTTGAAGCAATTTTGGTGATAAAATATGGATAACAAAATCCTTAAAAGAAAAGAATTAGATAAAGGTTTGGATCTATTGTATATGCCATAATTTTTTCAATCAGAAATTCAATCAAATCTGAAATTCAAAAACGATCAGAGTTTTATTAAAACCTTTACAAACCTAAATAAAGATAAAGATAATAACAAAATGATGAATAACCTTAAAGTGCAATTAAATAAAGAAATGATTAGTAAGATAATGATTAAGATGATAATCCTTTAATAGATTCTAATCCTATGGAATCTGTACATTAAGCAAATAATTAAGATTAATAAAATTCATAACATTAAAATCCTGATGATCAAATGAATTAAGAATAATCAAAACTTGAAATGCCTAAAGAATCTTTAGAAAAAGTATTATTTATAATTTTCTTCCCTATTCATCTGATATTATACTTATTACCAAGCTATAATGAAAATGTTGTACCAAAAAAATTAGTATTGTGCTTTTTTTTGAACTTAGTTTTGCTTTGTGGATGTTATTATTTAATTGATTGGTGGGCATTTGAATTAGCTTTAGCCACAGGAATTCCTTTGTAATTAATAGGAATGATCTTTTTGGGCTTTTTTACATAAATTTAATTTGCTAACTATAACTTAGAAGTTGCCAAAATTGAAACTAAACTAGAATTCACTTAAGCATTCTTCTAAACTGCAATATGCAAAATATCCCTATGCACAGGATTACCTTGGGTTTTAAGAATAATAATTGATCTAGACATTGAATATGAAATGGATTATAATGATTTTCAAAGAGCCTTCTGCATTTCAATCGCAGTTCTCTGTGTAATAGTGTTTATGTTACTCTTGCTTGCATTAGCTAAAGGATTTACTTTGAAATAATAAGATGGAGTAAAGATAATAGTTCTTTATGGTTTATTTATTTTAATATCTGCTATTATTATTGGATTGAACATTTTAAAGTGATGTTGATTTAAGAAAAAAATCTATATATACAAATTATGATATAATATATAATTATATATAAAAGAAAGTATCTTACTAAAATGTAATACATATAAATATTTTGAGAAGTATTAATAAAAATGTCCAAATAATTGAAATTTAATCAACTTCAAAGTTTATAAGGTGATAAAAATACATTGATAACTGATTTCACTTCTATTTAATGTTTGAACTAAATGGGTAAAAAGGTGACTTTTAAAGAAGATGTACTCTACATTCATTTTAACAAAAAAGATTGCCCAATAGCAGTTAAAACATTACTACACAAGCATTTACAATAATAAAGCTATTCTACCCTAACTATATAATGAATATTTTAATGTTTATTATCATATTTTCTTGCTTAATCTAAATTACATTATTTTATTAATGTACAACATTACTCTAATAAATTAATTTTCAATAATGAATTTATGGTTTGTTTAGGTTATTAGGTTAATAATAAGAAGATCTGATGATCTTACTTATTATATATTCTCAATTGATTTTCTAATATCTATGAAAAATGATCATCATTTTTTTTAGTTTTTGAGCTTTTGAAATAAATAATTAAATATTAAGTTTATGAGTAGGATGAAGAAGCAAAAAATATAAAATCAATCTGGTTATTATATCGATTTATACATTATTTATATATAAATATAAAATGTAATTTAAAAGTAATTGCAAAAATACACATTATTTGTGAACTAAAATTTGTAAAACATTTTATAAAAATTTAATTGAACTAAATTCTTTATGATACAAAATAAACTCTCGAAACTCAAAGAAACCTTTGATAAGTTAAAAAATTATGCTTATAGGTTTAATAGAATATAAACAGAAAAAGGTACATTATAGGAATTTTCATGCGAGTTATTTGTAAATTCATTATTGATTTCAAATGGGTGTGGTAAAAGTATAAAAATTGCAAAATAATAATGTGCTGATATAGGATATGATGAATTAATGAAAAAGGATTGGGAATTTGCTGAAAAAAATAATTTTATTGCTCCAAAAGAAGATCACTATCAAAATCTCCTGAATATAATATAAAAAATAAAATCTGAACTTCATATTAATAAAGAATTAGAAGAAACAATTGAAAAATATGATAATTATAAGTAATGCCATTTAGAGTTTGATAATCTAAAGGGTGAGGGATTTAGCTTTATAGAAAATAATGCTAGAAAAACTAGTGCTTATAATTTAATCTAGGCAATTATTGAGAAATATCGTTATTTGTAACACCATGATATTATTAAATATTATTAATAGAATTACTTTAATAAACAATCTGTTTATGTTTAACAAGAATCTTAAAAAAAAGTGAAAACAGAATATAATGATGATATCTATTAAAATAATCCTATAAGGATTTAGAATAATATATAAAATCATCATCAGATTCAACTTCAAGTTACTTAACCTAAAATTGAGATACAAGAAATCACTTAGGATAAAACTTAAATCAATGAAAATAGCACACTCTGTTTTTAATTAGCAAAATAGCTTTAATTAAATAATGAATCATCTTTTATCTTTTTAACATTCATATAACAATTAAGTGAATTTAATTTCCAAATTATTGGATCATTTATTTCTAAATCAGTTAGAATTACTAAACCAGAATTAGATATAATTTTAGAAATTCCTGACCAGCATGAGAATAAGTTTTAATAATTTTTAAATGATTCTGAAACAGATTTTAGAATGCAAAAAGAAAATAATATCATTATTTTATCATATACTGGTTAGCCAATATAAACTAGATTAAAAATTTAAGTACCACCTCTTAAGATTAAATTATTTTGCTACAAAAGTCTTATTGATGAATAACTATTTTTACATTAAAAAGAGATGAATTAATACAGTTAAAAATATGATTAGTTATATTTTTCTTCATTATCTTTATGTCTTGTACATTAATGGAGAGATGATAATTTAGAAGTGTTACCAAAATAAGTATAATATAGTCACAATAATATTTTAGCTTTTAGATTATTTAGTAATTTAAACAACTAATCAATTCAATTATTTAAATTCACCATATCAAGTTTTATGTTAAATAATTTACCTATTAAAAATGGGAGTTTTAGATGAATTAAGTTAGAGAAACTTGAATGAAAAAGAGTTGAATCCATTTTTATAATCAGTTAGTCCTTATTACTTAGAGTTAATACACAAACTATCTAGCGAAACATTAATTTATATTAAATAAAGCGTAGTATAGTGGAATAAATTATAAATTAATATTTGGGTTAAAAAATACATTTGATAAAATTATGTTTATTTAGAGCATCTTAAAAATAATTATTAAATACTGGTTTTACATTCTTTGAATCTTAAAATTAAATAAGACTATTTCTCAAATATATTGATATAAATTGATTATTAATTTTATTAATAATTTCATAATGGGATGTGGTTGTATTACATCGGCTGCTGAAAACCCAAACAAAGTATCAAAAGTAGATGAATTCAACATCACAGCAAATGATCTTGTTGTAAAAAAGTTAGGAAAAATAAATAAAGATTATGAAATAATTAGACCTTCAATAGGAAAAGGTTTGTATAAAATTCATCTACCTTATAGGTAGTTTTGGCAAGGTTTACAAAATTATACACAAAGTTTCAGGAGTTCAAAGAGCTGTTAAAGTAATCAGAGCTACTTAATTTGATTAAGATAAAATTGCTCAAGAAGTGTTAATTTTAAAAAAAATGGTTAACAAATAATATTATATCTAGGATCATCCAAATATCTTAAAAATTTATGAATTTTATCAAGAGGGAAACTATATATCAATTGTTACCGAATTGTGCACTGGTGGAGAATTATTTGATAAATTATCAAAAGGTTAGAGTTTTAGTGAAGATATGGCAGCCATTACTATGAGATAAATACTTTCAGCAGTTAATTATTGCCATTCAAATAATATAGTTCATAGAGATTTAAAGCCTGAAAACTTACTATATGAGAGCAAGGATAAAAATGCACTTCTTAAACTAGTTGACTTTGGTACCAGCAGCATTATTTAACAAAAAATGAAATAAAAGCTTGGAACTCCATACTATATAGCCCCAGAAGTTTTAAATGAAAGTTATAATGAAAAATGTGATGTTTGGTCTTGTGGTGTGATACTTTATATCTTACTTTGTGGATATCCGCCATTTTAAGGAGGCACTGAAGAAGTTTATATTAACTATACTTGTAGATGATTATGGTAAAAGTAAAGGAGGGAAAATACAATCTTGAAACTGAAGATTGGCAGAGTATTTCTGAATAAGCCAAGAATCTTATTACTAAAATGCTAAGAAAGTATCTAATCGATCTATTTATATAAAGAGATCCTTAATAGAGAATTAGTGCTAACGAAGCCCTTAATCATCCATGGATCTAAAAGTTCAGTTCTGTAGTGGATGTTTCAAATTTAAATAAAGTTCTAAATAATATAAGAACTTTTTAAGCTGTTTGTAAGTTGTAAGAAGCCACCTGGATATTTATGGTTAATAATCTGGCCACTTCTGATGAAAAAGCCTCAATTATGAAGGCATTTTAAGCTTTGGATTTAAATCATGATGGATTATTAAGTAAAGAAGAATTGATCATTGGATTTTCTTAAATAATGAGTGAAGAAGAAGCTGAAAAAGAGGTTTCAAGAATAATGAGATTGATAGATAAAAATAATAGTTAACTTATTGATTATACAGGTTGATTTTTATTATTATTTAGAATTTCTTATGGCAAGTACTAGCAGAACAGAATTTCTGGATGAAGAAAGAATTGAGAAAGCTTTTCAAATGTTTGATCTTGATAAAAGTGGTGGAATATCATAAGAAGAAATTTGTGAAGTCTTAGGTGGAGGATCATTGTACGATAAAAAAGTTTGGTCAGATTTAATTAAGGATGTTGATATCAATGGAGATGGAGAAGTAATAATTATTAATAATATTTTAGATTTAGTTAGATGAATTTAGATAAATGATGTTGTCGATGATAACAAAGGAATGATGGTTAATATTATGAACAAACTATAACTATATATATTCAAATTTTTTGAAACTTCAAATTAACAATTTAGATTTCAACAATATAGATCTTTTCCTATAAATAATATAAATTTAATATACTTTTAAATTTTCTTTTTTAAGAAGGTATATTTATTCCAATTAATTTTTATATTCTCCCCATAAAATCCTTTTATTAATGATTATAATAGATTACAAATAGGATTTTTTTATTCCTATTCTATTATTATTTGTTCATTATTAGGTTTTTCCTCAATTTGCAAAATTTATTTATTTTCACAGTCTATTATCTAGTAAGATTATTTTTTTTCATCATTTAATTTCTATTCATTTTATTCAACTTTATTTTTCTTTTCTTTTTTCTTTTTTTTATTAATGATTCTACTTTTTTTTTATTTTTTCTTTTTCTTCTAAATAAGTCTTTATTCCACTGATTATTATTAGTTAATATTATTTTATTGATCATTATTTAATTTATTTTCAAGAGGATGAGATACTTAATTATTTTAATATTATTTGATAATTTATTATTCTTAATTGATTTATGATTCTTATATTTTCTCTATTTCCATTGTTTAATTGATTATGAGATGATTATCAGATACTTATATTTAAGTTTTACCTATATCATTATTTTGAATTTGTAATTGTATATCTGATGACTCCTGATAATTAATATCTACATTTTTTGATTAAATCTAACAAGTATATTCATCTTATTTTTATTCTTACATATTAATCTCTTTAGGAGGGGTCTCAATTTTTGGATTCATTTCTATTTAAGGTTAAGATTCCAAGTTTTATTTGTTATTAACATCCAAATCAACGATATTTATTTTTTCAATATTTTCATTTTATATTCTGATTTATTACTGAAGCTATTCTTAATCAATTTCTTCATCTTGATTTTGATCAATGATAATTTTAATTTGGCTATTTTGCTTTGATAGCTCTTAATTACTCTCTTTAATACTTGGATCATGTTAACAAGATTAGTTACTTTATTAATTTTATTTTATATTCAAGTCTTAATTATTACAAAGAGATATTTGATTATCATTATCTTAACATTACTGTAATTGTTAATTATCTTATTCTGTTTGATTTTAATTGTCTTCATGAAATTTATTGGTGATTAATGGTTTTAATTGAATAGAGGAAAAATCTAGATTAATATTGTTATTATTTTATTCTTATCTAATATTTGAGTCATAACAATTAGTTTTGTTAGAAGTTTCTTATTAATATTCATCTGCGAATTCATCAATTTAAGATAATCCTTTTTCATTTTTTTATTCATTAGGTTAGATTAAACTGGTTTATATATCAAAGATTGGACTTTTACTTTCTTAATTTGAAGAGATATTTAATATTTTAGATTAGTTCTATTTATTGGTTAAATTAATTTCTAATTAGTTATTCAATACTATAATTGAATTAATTCTTTAATAATTCAGTTCTTTTTTTTATGAGGAATTCTAGAATAATAATCTTTATGAAATTCCACTATTGTTTTATTTCTAAGGTGTTTATCTGACCTTAACATTGGGAGGAGTCATTCCAATTTTCTCTAAATATTTGTAATATTAAATTTCATAATCATCATTATCAGCCATTTGATAAAAATATTAATGAAAAAAATTAAAATAGAATTCATTATTAAACAATCATTTCAAGTTTTCCAATCAGTTCATATGAATCAAAATCTGAAACTTTTATCTTTGAAATTAAATCTTAAAATTTTGAATTATTTAAAAATAATTATGGTCTTGTGTCACATAAACTTGCTATCCACTTCATACAATTAATTTATAATTTGTGATTATTAATTTTTTTCAATAAAAATGAGAATAAGGCTTCACATTTTGAAATAGGTAATTCCTTAATTACATCAGCAATCAAATTTTGGTCACATTCAAGACTTGAAATGATCATATTTGAGTTCTTAGTTTATAAGCCTTCAAGAATCTGAATTAAAATTTCCTATTAATTCATAATAATTTTGTTTATTATTTTAAAATTTAAAATATTAGAAATAAATCGTATATGATATTCTTATCTAAATCATTTACTTAAGAATACAACCATTAAAATAATACCATAAAATATGATAGATGGTAAATATGTCATAAAAAATCTTCCAAAACTATTTTAATTTAAAGAAAGATAAATACCTAACATATTATCCACTTACAATGAGCATTAGCCATATATGAAACATAGTAAATGATTATTTTCCCTTATATTTCATAATATTTAAAGCCTTTGCAACATGGCTATGACAATTATTTGTAAATAAATTATGCTAAATTCTTTATTTGTTATAATTACCATCTATTAACCGAATTCATCATCTGCTTTTAAAACTGCATCATCCCATTTTTATCTTGAAATTTCAAAATCTTTATTTAATTTAACATATTTTAATGGTTTTCCAAATGTAAAATTATCAATTGCAATATAAAATGGTCCACCAAAATCATGAATAGTCCCTTCAGATGTACAAATTCCAGTATGTCCTATACAAGGAATCAGCCATGTTAAAACTGGTATACTAGTCCAAACAATACAGAATGGATATCTACAAGAATTAATTGTTTAAATACTTTTAGTTTTCAACACTAATCTAATCAACTTATTCTATTTCCATATTTTCTTTCTCTACATCTTGTACTTAATTTTCATCTTACACAGCTAATTTATGATTTTGAGCTTGACTTAAAGCCATAGCACCCATAATTTTAAATAATAAATATTGAATAATATATCTATCATAAATTTTGTTTATTTGTATTCATTCTTATTATTTTCTTGTTCTTTTAACTGTTGTTGTTGTAGTAATTGTAGATTAAGAAGATTCATCTTAATTTGGCTATTTATTTTTTAATACTTCTGATTCATGCTCAAGTTCAATTAATTTTTGCTTTGTTTCATCATATGTTTTTTTTAGATTAAGATATCTATTTTTCCAAGTATTTATTTCATCTTATAGTCCTACAATTGTAACTGATTATTCCTGTCTTTCTTTTGCTTCTGCTATCTTTTGCTTCAATAGTCTAAATATAAATTATACTTTTACTCAATTTTGTCGTCTCTTTATTAATTTTACATAATTTCCTTTTCATATTTGGTTTTCCATTAATTAATTAATTGATCTTTACTTTATAAGTCTTAACTGATATCTAAACTTTTTGCTAATTATTGATCTTTCCTTTATTTTTCATCCTTTAGTTGTTAATAGGAACGATCTAATAGCTTTTAATGTTCAGAAATTAATATATTCAATTATTACATAGTAGCTAATTATCCTTAAAGTTGCTTCTAGTTGTTTCGAGCTATTTCTGCCATTTTATTGCAGCAATGCCCATCAAATTCATTTTCTCCAGTAAGTACTTTATAAGCAGACATTCCATAGAGTTGAGTTAATTCAGAATTAGTTTTATCATTAGCTTATTCTTACCAATTCAAATAACTTGAATTTTCTTACCGAGGACAAAAAGTCTTTGTTATCTCATAGGGAATTTTTGGTTTATTTGGACAGATTGGATTAGAAATAACTTCGCTAGAGTCCATACTAATAAATAATTTAGAAATTAAATTGTAAACAAATAATATATTTTTTTTTATTTTTAATAAGAATATTTATTTTATAAAGAATAACTTTAACTATTATCAATCAAAGTTTATACAATGAAAATAGATTGAAATAATATTTAGAATTAGTATTGTTAATCATTAAGTTTATACAATTAATATTTGTATAGATATAATTCATGGTTTATGCAAACCTTTTGTACAACCGTAAAGACAATCTCTACATCTATTACAACAAGTAAAATATTCATCTTAACCACATAATCTACAAGAAAAATATTTTAATTTTCCAGGATGATATGTACAACTAGCTTCATTTTAACCTTCTTTTTAAGCAAAACCACATCTTATACATTTCCACATTATTGGAGATGATTCTATTTCTTTTGTAATATTTTATATTTCTTCCAAATACTTTTCAAGATTACCCATATTATGTTCAATCCCATTTAATTTTTTGAGAACATCATTTTTTATATTTTGTACATATTCTTTATCATCTAAATTTGATTTTAATACTTTTAATTGTTTCTCTTATTATATATTTGATTTTTATAAGTAGTCAATCGATGCTTTATAATCTTAAATTTAAACTTTGATTTCATCATGTTCTGAAGTCACCTTTGCTAAAGTTACATTGCAAGAGCTGATAATTCTATCAACTTCTAATTCAGAAAGAAATGAATCATGAGTAGTTTATAATGAAGACCTATGTCGTGTTTTTAATAACATTTATTTTATTTAAATTATAAGAATATAAATTGATGTTAGATCATTTTTATTCCCAATTTAGTATTCAACTAAAAAAATAGATTCTTATTTATAACTTTGATTTAGTTCTATAAAACAAATAAGAAGATATTTAATAGACTATGATATCATTATTATAAAATCATCGATTCTTAAATTGAGGTGAACTATACATTTTAAGTGAATTTAAATTTCCATTTTAGCCAACAGTAAGTGATTATATTAAATTCAATTGATCTATAAAGTCTTCGCTATCTGAAACTGACTCTGCAATCATCATTTAATATGAATTTTCAACATCATCTCTTTCTATCATTTATGAATGACCTTCTTCATAATTTTATTCTATATTCTCTTAAACTTAAGCTAATTACATCTTTGCTTATTAGAGACTTGTTTAAGATTTAAATGTTTTTAATTGTTATTATTCTGGTGTATGAAATAGATCAATGTTTGTAATAGGAACTGATTTAAAAGGAGAACTTTCAGTTTTGGGAGTTCGAGGTAATGATGATAAAGTTTTTGATGTTTTTTAATAATTAATAGAGTCTCTTTTTGCAATACTTTCATATACATCTTCATTTGTAATTGTTCTCAATCCAATATCAGATAAATTTTTCTTTATTAAAGATGTTTTTTGTAAGCCTACAGTAACAAATTCATTTATTTTATATGGTTCATTTAAAGTTATTTTAATTACTTCAATAGGTTTCCTCTATAGATCTTCAATATCAGAAACATACTTTTCTACTGTTTTATGATAACAATTCATTATTTCATTGAATGGTTCTTATGCAATTTGTTTGACAATTCGATCTAAATTCTATTGTACATCATTTTTCATGCCTATACTTTCTTACTTAGAATTTTAGAGTGATTTTATGGTTTCTTCATATGACAAAGAAGTCTGTTTAAAATTTTATGTTAATTGTTGTATTAATTTGTCTTTCTCTTCTGATAACTATTAAGTTACCAATTAATGAAATCTAATTACTTTGTCTACCTATTATTCAAAGTATTTTGTAATGTCCTATTTTTTAGTTAATAAACCGGACAAAGCTTTATCATATTAAGATAAGTTTCTATTAACCAAGTTCAGAAATCTATCAATTACATCTCTACGTTATCGCTCCTCAAATCCATTTATTTCTTCAACTACAAAACCTTTACCTGCCATATTAATAGCACATTTGGAACACAATGACACTGAAAGATCCTTTGCCATACAATATTTAGCAGTTTTTTAAGGATGATTCATACAACACATATTCTTAATAGTTTTAGATTTGTTTAAAGAGTTAACATTTTCATTTCCTGCAATTGAATTATGAGGTGTGAATTTCATTGATTTTGGTTAAAACATTTTATATATTTTTGAATTTTAAATTTTATTATAAACGAATTAATTATTGCTTTATCTGATTACAAAAAATACTTAATAATGCCCAAAGTATTCATAAAGTTTACATACATGTAAATAAATTTCTAAATAATATTCTTTATAAATTCATTTATTACAGTTTTATCATTTGGGTTTTATTAGAAAATAATTTAAATGAAATAATTACTTTGTTGTTTATAAATGATTGATCTTTTCTATTAATAAAATTAAATCTACTGAGATAATTTCATAGACATAACCAGTATATAAATATAAAGAAATTCTAATCTATTGATATATATTTGAACTATGATTAGAAATAGTAGTAATTTAACAAATCTACTAAGTTTTTATTTTTCAAGGTTTTAATACTTAAAAATTGATAACTTTAAATATTTTATAGCAAAAAGATAACTTAAATAAGAAGAGGTTAATGTATATATTATTATAACTATTAATATAGGGTAATTTCATTAGAAATGATATCAATAATTTTAATTAATAATGAGTGTGATTAATCCGCAATTTAAACCATCTAGATTTCGATTAGAAAGTTTAGGACCTTAATTGGCTTTTAATCCAACTTATAATCCTGTATGAATTTAATTTTACGATAGCGATTTTGTTATATTGGAAGTGAAGACTATTTAAATGATTTATTATAATTAGAATAACAGTAGTTGGAGGAACAAATGATTGCTTTGATCACTCAATAGTCTATTGATATGGAAGAGAAAAGTCCATAAGTAACAACTTTAGCAGAAAAGCAATAAAATAATTATAAGAAGAAAGTATGAATAATTTATATCTCTTAAATAGAAAGTCTTTGACAGTGCTGATTATTTTATGTAACAACAACAGAAGAAGGATTTGACAATAGAGTAAAAGTAAGAAGAGATGTTGTTGACCAAATATGCAGCTGCAGATTTGTAGTTTAAGACCCCCTTAACAAAGAAATAAAAGAAGGTGTTTGACTCAGCAGACTACTTCCTTTCACTATACAAAAATTGAAATAATTAAATCCGTTTTAAAATATATATATGAAAAAATAGATTGTCTTATTGACTCTATTCATTGTTTTGACATACAGTCAACGTGGAACTTTGGTTACCCATTATGATTTGGATGGTAATTTATTATCTGAAGAATTCATGCCTCCAATAGAAGATGAAATAACTTATTATGATAGCAATGAGTCTGCTATAGATTCTAGTATGGATCAATAAACATAAAATTAACCAAATCCAACATCTGTTTAAGAAAGCTAAGACACAGTGTCAATTGATGTTCCAATTTAAATAAGCAATACACTAGAGCCAGTGTAAACCGATTAACAATAAACTAATTTGATAGGATCTTCTTTTGAGATTTAACCTGTTGTAAATTAACAACCTAAAATAGAAACATCAATAGAATAATAGCATAATTTAGAATAAAAAGTAGAAGGAGAATTACATTCTCAAGAAGTCCATGTGAATTAAAACATAGATTTGACTACTCAATAATAACAGATTCCTCAACCAAAATTTTCCCAAGAACAAGATGAATAATCAATACAAAAGGTAGATATGTAACTCTAGCCTATTGTTGTAACATCAGATCAAATGGTTGATCTCTAATAAGATATTGATTAACAGACAAATTCTAGTGATATAAACAACTAAATTTTAAATACTTAATCAACACCTGATAAATAAAATGAGAAGGATTAGGATTTATAATAAAATAAAGTAGATCCATTAAATTTATCCAAACCAGATGATGAAATTAATAAATTAGAATAAGGAACCTAAAATTAAATTATATAAGATATGCCTATTTAGGAATAAGTCATAGTTAAATCAGGTAATGAAATTCATATTGATTCAAATACTTCTGAAGTTAAATTTGATAGTTTAGGTTCAGTATAAGAGCAGTAAGACAAATAATCAGAGTAGGTACATATCTAAACTACCAATGCAAATGATTAATTTGAAGTTACATAAAATTTTGGTAGAATAATATAAGATATGATACCTGAATCAGATGATGACACACTAATACAGGAGTAGCCATTGGAAGATTAAGAATCATAAACAAAAGCAAAATCTTAACCATCATAAATAGAAGAAGATATCAATTTTAATAATGAAAATGAATAATCAAATCAATTATAAGAAACTTAAGTAAAAACAGATAATTAATTACCACTTGTTGTAGGAAATGAATAATAAGAATAGTAGATTGAAACAGATGTATAAGAAATTACTTAAGAATCCTCTTAGGCAAAAAAAGATATACCTGAAGAATTGAAACAAATTAATGTAAATCCACCTGATAATAATATGAAAAAATAAGGAGAGAATAAAATAAATAATCCTTTTGAAGATGATGGTTTAAAGCTATCTAGTGAAATCATTCAAAATTAATGCATTGTAATTTACTCAGAATGTGAATATTAAGGTTTAGCATTAGAAGTTTGCGATAGTTTAAAGGATATTGAGTAATATCTTCATCTGTATTTTCGATAGGAAATTTAAACATAAAATAAAATCCATCTACATTCCAAAAGGGTATGGACTAACAATCTTTGAAAATTAAAATTTTAATGGGTAGAGCCATCGTTATACTTCATCTTAAGCATGTCTTCAGAGAGAAGTTTCATTTATTCAACTCTAAATGGATCAATCAATAATAATAAAACACTAAAATCTAAGAGGATAACATTGAATATATAATATAAGATATTCGTTGTAATTAATAGAATATAATATAGTCATATTGTAAATTCATGTATAATTAAAAGATTGAATTTATTTTCTAATAAAATTATAAAGTATTTTTAGAATTAAAGTTATTTCATCATGCGTTAACATAAAATATCATTATGATTTAAAATTATTGTTTATATCAATTATTTTGACAAATTGTTTCTTTTTCAATAAATTGAATACAGAATTTTATTATAATAAGAAAATTTATAAACTATATATTTATTTTTGAATTATAATATAATAATTATAAAATCAGCTATGAACTATTAGACATTTAAACCAACTATATTAAATGATACAACAAATAAGTTTCCTGTTTAATTCAGATCAAATGAAAAACCTTGCAATAAAAATTCTGATTTTAATAATAGTTTCCATGAAAATAAATTATTTGGTCAATAATTAGAGTACATCAAATAATTAGATGAATAAAAATCCATAATTGAAGGATAAAATCAATTTATTTAGATTTTACGTAATTCAATTGAAAATAAATTGCAAATTGAGGGATTTTAAGAAGTTTTAGATTAAGTTTTGAATATGTCAAGAGAATAAAAAATTGATTTATTTGCATTACTTTCATAACTTTATCAAGAGCTTTACATTTAGAATTAAAATGTGACATAAATTGAAAATTTATAACAATTAGTTGATAATTTAAATCATTAAATCAACTTTTATGCTAAAGAATTGATGGAATTAAAAGTAGACAAATAATATTTAATTGATTAATTGGATTCAATGGCAAGTACTACTAAAGATGATGATACAATAATTTTTAAAGAAGCTTAAATACAAAAATTAGAATCGGAAAATCATCATTTGAAATCATAAATCTAACAAATTTAATAAAAGAATGAAAAATATTATTAGGATATCTAATAACTTGAAAAGAGATTGAATAAAATTCAAGTAAATTTAAAAACAGAAGAAGGAGAGAAAGAAGAGTTAATGAAAGAGTTGGATGGATTAAGATAAACCTTTTATAAGAGTTTATAGAAGGATGAACAAAAGTAAGAATTCAATTTGGCTCTTAAAGAATAAGAAATGGAATTTCTAAATACAAAAATTAAAAAACTAGAATAATAGAATGAAGAAAAAAATAATTTAATTGAGGAAAAATTTAAATAAATTGAATTATTAAAATATCAACTGTAAGATCTAGAAAATAAGTTTTAATATTAATTGGAAGAAGATGAAATAAAAACTAATTAGATCAAATCTGATTATCATGAATAATGTTTATATAGAGATTAACTTTAATAATAATTATCAACTTCAGAATAATTCATTTAAAAATGTATATATAAAGTAATATTTTTTAGTAACTTTAAAAGTCAATTAGATAACTAATAGATAGGATTCAGATATTCTTAAAAATCTACATCATCTGGAGGATTTTATATAAAATTCCTCACTGGCTGAATAAAAGTATTAATAATTAGATCAAGAAAAATCTTAAATAATATTTGATTTACAACATTAGGTTACAGACTCTTAATAAATAAATTAATAATTGTAATAATAAATTTCTATTCAAACCAATTAAATATAATAATATTAAAATGACTTAAAATAATTAGACAAATAAAAACGAATATTTAAATAAGAATTAATTCACATGAAATAATTAGATGAATAAAAAAACAAAGAAATTTAAGAACTACAAATTTAATATTCAAAATATGATAAAAAATTATCTACTCAGCTAGAATAACAATTAGAATTAGAAAAAGAGAATGCTTAATTAAAGGAATAATTGATAATTTTATAATAATAAATGAATAGTAGCAAGAATTAATAATCAAATAAGAAAAGTATTGCTTGTAGTTAAGTTTCAATTTAAGAATAAAAAGTTAAGAATTTTGATTATATTGCATTATTAAAAACAGTACAATTATATTGATTAATTATAGTTTGAAATAGTTAAAACTATGTTTTAAATAGAATGTTAAGAAATAATTTAAGAGATGCTTGTGTTATAAAATAAATTAGTTAGAACTGAAGATATTGATAGTGATCTTATTTAATAAGAAATAAAATTATAGCAAAAATTTTCAAGTCAATAATTAAAATTAAAGGATGCTCAATTTTAAATGGCCAAATTAAGTAAAGAAAATAAAGATTTAAAATAAAAAGTTAAATAATTAATTATTTTAGATTGCTAATAATCATACTTAAAGTTTAAATCAAAGTTATAATTAAACAAATTAGTCATTTGGTTAAAATAACAGTATAGCCAGATATCATAAATAATCAATATCAGTCCATACTAAACTACGACCTTAATGAATCTATATACTTGTTTTTCTATAATATATTATTTATTATAAACAATCTATCATAAAAACTAAGTTATAGATATGATTATCTATAAATATAAACTGTCTTTTATATTCAATAATAGTTGCAATTAATTTATGAAAGATAATAAATAATCTAAATTTCTTCTAATATTTTATAATTTATTATATATGATATTGATTTAATAATAACAAAATTACCAAGTTAATCACAATAAAAAATAAACAAAATTAAAGTAATCTATAAAATTTATTGAGAACATGTTTTTTTTAATATTAATTTTAATAACATTAAAAGTTTGCAGCTTTAGGGATCCAAAAAAGAATGGGCTTGCAAAATATTATCATTTTTATTAAGATATATGAATTTGAGGATTATAAATATAATTATAAATATATTTTATATTTATATATGAGTAAATAATATAAAGACATTAGAGCAAATTTTGTATTTGATGTTGCTCCTAAAAGCACTCACTAATCAAATGATGAAATGCCATAGGCAATTAAGAAATCAGAACCAATAAAAATTGATAATCAGTAATAAGAAGTGCAAGGAATCAGTTAATAAAGATAATAAAATTTTGATGAGGACAAGTTGAAATCATATTAGAAAATGTATGAAATGTGTCAACAATTATATAATGATAAATCTTAACTTATGGATGTATAATTGTATTTAATTAGAGACAGTTGATTAATAATAAAAATAAATATTAGAACTGGAAAGACAAATTAATGATTATGAGAATTTATAAGCAAATTACGAAAAGGAATAGTTGTAATTAAAAGAGGATTAATTATAAAATATTTAGGAAATTGAAACTTTAACAAGTCAGTTATAAGTGGTGATGGATTAAAAATAGGATATAAATTAGAACAATTTAGATGAATTTTATGATTAATTGATGAATTTTTTATATTAAGAGAACCTGGAAGAGTTGATAAATGATTTGGATAAAAGTAATAAAAAGATGATTGTATAGTTTTTAGTAGAATATGTAAATTGTTGTTTTGATGGTTTAGTTAATAAACTAATATGTATTAAAAAAAAATCAGGAAGAAAAATTCTAGATTCATATTTAGGATAATATTTAAATAATTTATGATTTATAAAGTAAAATTTAGGACTTAACTTGTAATCCATACAGAATCACCACTCCAAAGAGTGTATTAAGTGACACATTAAAATAAAGTAAATTGAGTAATAGTGCAAGTCATTTTCATAAGACTAATAGTATTAATAATACTGATAAGGAAGAATTATAATCAAAGATTGGTATTTATTAATGCTTAATTAGATTCATTAAAACGTTAAGGGAAATAAATAAATAAAAAATGGTAAGAGTTTTGTGAAAATATATTAAGAGAAAGGAATGATGTTATTAAATATCATAAAAAATAAATTGAATCAATTAGTGATTAGAATTTAGAGTTAAAGAAAACTATCTCTGAAATTATATAATATTTGGGATAGAGCTAATAAGAATTATGGATACAAATGTTAGATATTAAATAAAAAATACATATGAAAGTCATTGATTTGAGTAAGAGTGACAATATCAATTAATTATTGGTTGAAGCAGAACTTAAACAATTATTCTCTATATAAGCACAATTAAGAAGCCAATTAAATCGCAATCGACCATTAAGAAAAGATTTATAATGAATTATATGTTAAAGAGATAATTGTTGAGTAGTATACGTGTTAATTTTTTATTTTAATTTATGAGACTTCTTCATCTGCTTAGACCAGCACTTTCTATTATTCCAGAAGTATAAGAGCCAAGATTCCCTCAACCATTAAAGGTCAAAGTGCTCATTACAGGAATTACTCTCTTTATCTATTTGATTTGTTGCTAAATCCCTTTATATGGTGTATATAGAACCTCAGGTATATTTTTATATAATACACATTAGGATCTGACCCTTTCTATTGGATGAGAGTAATATTGGCTTCAAATAAAGGTACCTTGATGGAATTGGGTATTTCACCAATTGTAACATCTGGAATGATTTTACAATTCCTAAGTGGAGTAGGATTTATTGAAGTTAACCATTCAGTTAGAGAAGACAAGGTATTATTCAATGCAGCCTAAAAATGTATAGCTAATCTTAATTATTAGTATTATCCTTTATTATGGCAATTGCTGAAGGAATGGCATACATATGGTCTGGTGCATATGGTGATATAAATCAAATTGGAGCTGGCAATGCGATTCTAATTTTATTATAATTAACATTTGCTGGTGTTGTTGTTACAATGTTAGATGAAATGCTTTAAAAAGGATATGGTATAATATAAAAATTTAAATCTTTTAGGTTTGGGATCAGGTATTTCATTATTTATTGCAACAAATGTAAGTGAAAACATACTTTGGAAATCATTTTCACCAATTACATTGTCTACTGAAGCTGGTACTCAATTTGAAGGTGCTATTATCAATTTCTTCCATTTGATATTCACTAAATAAAATACACGTATATTTTAATCTAATACTTTTAGTTTAAGCACTTTATTATGCATTTTTTAGAGAATCAGCTCCAAATCTTAATAATTTATTGGCTACTTTGCTTGTGATCTCATTGGTCATTTACTTATAAGGTTTCAGAGTTGAAGTTCCATTAGCAAGTTAAAAAATTAGAGGTTTAGTGTCATCACATGGAATTAAATTGTTTTATACTTCAAATATTCCAATGATTATTCAAAGTACCCTTGTTTAAAATGTTTATTTCCTATCATAATTACTTTATAGAAGATTCAAAACTAATTTCTTTGTTAAATTACTAGGTACTTGGTAAGAGGCAGAATTTGGTGGTTAATCAGTACCTATTGGAGGTTTAGCTTATTATATGTCACCATTAAGAGATGTAAAGGATATTATTAATGATCCAATTCATGCAATTGTTTATGTGATATTTGTTGTTTTTATGTGTGGTTTCTTTGCTAAATTTTGGATTCAAATTTCAGGAGAAAGTGCTAAAGATGTTGCTAGAAAGTTTAAAGATGAATAAGTATAAATAATTTATTATGAAAGATTAAAATTAAAGGTTTGAGAGAAGAATCTATGGTAAAATATTTATCTGGTTATATTCCAGTTGCAGCATTTTGTGGAGGAGTTTGTATAGGATTATTGACTATTGTTGCTGATATTTTGGGAGCTATAGGATCAGGTATTTATAATTCATATTATATTAGGAACTGGAATCTTGTTAGCAGTTACAATTATTTATGGGTATTTTGAAACATTTCATAAAGAAAAATATGATAATCAATCCATATTTTGATCATTATCATTTTATATATATATATAAATATGTATAAAAATTATCATATTTTAAATATAAAATGGTTTTATTTAAATTATTCAATGTTAATCTCAAAATTACTTAGAATATCTAAATACCATATTCTAGTTTTATTATATAATGTACATTCTAATATTTAAGCATATCTAATATTAATAATATAATAAATAAGTTAAACATTGTAACTTAGTAATTCAATTTCATTCATCAGAGTTAGTTATACTTAAACATTTGCTGATTAATGATTAAATTTAGTAATAAATATATGCTTCTATGTAAATTTCATCTCATTTGCATTTAATATACTGGATTTATAAATATTTGATTTTCTTTATTTAAACCATCATCCAGGCTATTTTGAATTTCAAACAATTATTTAAGGATACATGATTTAAAATTCAAAGACATTTTATAGAATTATATAAACTGAGTTAATTTTAACCAATAATAACATATGATTATGTAAATTAGTTATTTTTCTACTACTCAACATTAGTTTAGCTTAATAACAGATAATTTTGAATGAAATGTTGTGTGTATATGTTATAATTTTATATTATTTATATTTCCAAATATGAAATGGGAATACTTTAAGCAATATCAAGGCTTGATAATTCAAACTAACTTGTCTCCTACTATAAATAATTTCAGCTATGCAAAATTCTAAATATCAGTGTATTTCCTGTAATTGTCATACTTTTTAATTGGCGATTCAAATGAACAAGTGCTTAGTCTGATAAAATCATTCACAAAAATATGTTTGATTTCTCCATACTTTATGAATAACAAAGCAATAAACATTTTAATAGGTATTGCTATAACCCTGCTTAATTGCTTTCCTTATATAATTATCACTTATCGTTTTATAATGAAAAGCCACAATAGTGTAGATAGTATATCAAAGAGTGTTTTGGATGTACATAATTATTATCCTATTTTAGTTAATTACCATATTAATAACTAACTATTTTCTTAACTTTACTTGGTTATTTTATGTATCTCAACTATATTACGTTTGTTGGAACTTGTTGAATTCAACAGATCCATTGTTGTTATTGCTATCTATTTTTAATTTATTGATTGCATTGGTAAGCTTACTAATTTCAAATATCTATTTCATAAATTATGAATTCTTTTAGTAAAGTTTAAGAAAATACTTTAATTACAATAATATAATAGCTCAATTACTATTAATTCCTTTAGTATTTATGTCAATCAGAACATAGTTTATTTTTGTTTTGCTTTCAAAAATCGTCTTTGGATTATTCATATGTATGTTAATAGGAGAAGCAATCATTCAGTATCCTTTTGGGTAATCTATATAATTCTAATCATAATAGATTTTCAGCTTATGCTAAACTTTATAATTAGGGATTAACAATATTTACAATTGTTTATCTAATAACAACAATTTAGAAAGCATTTTCAATAAATTCATATTCATGCATAGTGATATTTTTAATAGTGTTGCCTGTTTCATAATATTTAACAATGGCATTAGTAGAGATGAAGAGATAAACAGTTTATTAAACAATATCAAAACAAAATTAATATTTTGAATTGATGTATATAGAGAATATGTTTGAATTGAATGGTGAAGCTTAAAAAAGTAAGTAAAAAGAGATAGAATATATAACTAAATTTTGTATGCATCATTCACATTGTAGATTAAATAAATGTTAATGTAAGAAAATTGGATTTGAAAAAATAATTAAACTTGACCAAACTGTTATTTTTGTATCATGCTTATTTAAAAGAAGTTTTGATAAACATAAAGCTACTGTATAAAAAAGAATAGGAGATTTTGAAGTTTTATCTTTAAAATTCTTAACATTCATAAATAAATTTAAAAGGAATGGACCTAAAACTTATTAAGAACTTAAAGTTCTATTCTAAAAATAAAGAGAATATTCATTCTATTTTTTTTAAATGTGCTTATTCCTTTAATTCATAATTTAGGCTTAAATGTAAAAGGATGAAGATTATAATATAAATTCAGAATCTAGAAGTAGAATCTCTAATGTTAAATTGTAGGTGAGTAAAAGTGAAAGAAGTATTGTATAGAATCTATATTAAATGGAGTAAGTCAAATAAAACATGTTACCCTTATTGATTTAAGTAATAAGTATTCAAAAGTTATTAGATCTGTTAATTTAAATCTGGTTTTTGGAAGTAAATTTAGGAAGGAAAGATAGTAACATTCATTGAGATAGAAAAATAATTGTAATAATTATAAATATTACAATAATAAATAACTCAAGAATATAATAAATATCGTTCAATCTTTTTTGTTAATGGAAGAACTTATAATGTTTAATTCTTAAAATTTGATGCACTTATCTAATTGATTCTATATAATAATGCAAGAGCATATTATGAAATGGAAAAAGGTATATATAAATATATAATCATAATTAGATTGTAAGGAGATATTAGCATATGAAAGAAGCATGAGTACTTTTGAAATTACTAATATTAATTTTTTTAAAGGAGATGCTATTTCAGTTAAAGTATGTATAGCATTTGGACCAAATATTGGGAAGGTTAGGAATAAAGTAATATCACCTTTGATTCCTCGTTTTTTTGGATTTGCAGATATGGCCTCATTTATAGATTATACAAAAGGTAATATTAATCCACTTATGCCTAATTGGCTTTTGGGTGTACATGATGAAATGATGTAAAATTATATAAGAAGAGGATCAACTTAAAGAATTGGAAAATACTTTTAAACATTTGCTAAATTATGTGATCAAACATTAATTAGATGTTAAGTTTATTTAGCTCATAATTTCAGTCCAGATTTAGAAGCAGATTTTTCAATGATTGGATGTTTGAAAAGATTAGAATAAGATGAAATAGATCCTAAAGATGAATCTAAACGATTGAGAAATCTAATATTTAAAGGATAATAACATGTTTTATTTGATATTTATGGAAATTTAATGGGAATTACTTAAGGATTATATAAAATGATAGATCGTATGTAAAGAAAACTTAAAGATAATAATAAATAAGATGATGTGAAATAGAAATCTTTTGAGAATGATGAATCATCTGCAGATTCAGATTCTGAAGTGTATTAATAAATATTATTAATATTAGTTTTGATGTTTATGAAATTAAATGGTCAAATTAATAACTGACTATAGAAGATTTTTACTTAAAAGTATTAATTTGGATGTTGTTTCCATTTATAACAGCTGAAATTGAATAAACAGGGATAGAATTTCTTATGAATGGTTAAGTACCTCCTAAAGGAAAATATCCAAATTAGATAGATCTTGAAAGTAGTAATACAGTAGTTTCAAATAAAGAGACATATATGTTTGTACCAGAAGATATTAATTTATTTGTTTAACAATATAATAAAGTATTAGGTAAAATAAATGAAGATGAGAAAATTCAGACATCTAATTTCTCATTAAGTGGCAAAAGATAATAATATATAGAAGCTGAATCACTAAATGCCAAATAATAGGTTACAGTATTTAATGAGAAATTATGTTCATTCTTTTTTGAAGAATTTTTAAGGAAACATCAATAAATGGTGTTAGGTAATTTTTCAAGGTAGGATATGAGAATTTCTAATCTTAATTAAATGCAAACTACTATATAACATTCTGAAAAAGCAGATTCATCTTCTGAAAGTGAAGGTTAATTAAAAACAAGAGCTGAATAAATGTATTATGATAAATTCCAGAATTATATACAAAGAATTACTACGTAAGATTTTAATCCTATTCCTGTTATTTATTCTATTAATTATGAAGAATTTAGGTATAAAAAAAATGAAATAGAAAATAAAGTTTAAATGTTTGTTATTGAATTAACTGTAAATGAATAATAATTAGCAAGTATGGAAAAAGGATATCGTAAATAATTAAGAGATACATTAAAATAAATGTAGGCATAATTGAAATAGGAGAAAACTGAAAATTTAAATAGAGGATCTACTAATATAAAATAATCTTAAAATATATCTTAAATATAAGTTATTTCAGATGATTCTATGAGTTTATAAGGTAATTTTAGTGAAAAGATAGATTAAGATGATCAAATCTCTTTATATTAATTTTTGAGTCATCCATCTAAATAAGATGAATATTGTTTTAGTGATTAAAATATACTCACTGATTAATGTATCATTACATCTGCTAAAGATGAATAAAACAAATTACTTTAAACTAATAGAAGAAGTCTTTAATTATTTGAATTGGGTATATAAAGTGCAAAAAGCAATGGTACTGAAAATCAATTTGAATAATAAAGTAAAAAAAATCCATTTGATTTACTTAAAGTATCAGAAAAAGAAGCAGCAAACAAAGTAGTAATGAAATTATCACAAAAAAATAAATAATAAAAATTTTATAATGAATTAGAATAAAAAGTAATATAAAGTAATTAAGATAGAGAAAGAGAGAAAGTAGAGAATGAAGATTCATATCTTATATAACTTAAAAATTTTGATGAAAATTATAAAGCCATTAATTAAAAAATAAGTGAATTCTAATATCCTAATTCTTATAACTTTTAGAATTATATTCTATTTGCTACATTACTTTTAGTTATAGCATATATATTACTTGTATCTATTGCAGTTTGGAATTAATATGATTATGGAGACTGTATGGATTTAATATAAATATTACTAAAATTTTAAAAAACTTATTCACTTATAACACATGGATTATTTAGAATTTAATATTCATATGATTTTAATATTTCTAATTTTGATTAATTACATTTATTCTATGATAAATAAATATTTTAAGAAATTGATTAATTGATTAATTTTAGTAATGCCTAAAAAAATACAATTAATGATATTGATATTTACTTATCAAATTTTTATGATATTGATAATACTACAAAACCTAATTTATCAATTACTGAAACTATTTAAAAATCCTTAGCTCAATTTTATAAAATTATTGAAAATAAATTTGATACCAATTATGAATTACATACACAACTCATATAATCTAGTGTAGCAAATTTAAGAGAAATTGGTTAACTTCCATAATTAGCCTTTGATTCATGTTATGATAAAAAGATTGATAAAGAAAGGTATTATTAATAGTTATTGATAATCTTTATGGTTATTATATTCATATTAGTGTTAATTCTATAATCCTCACAAATTCCTATGATATCAACATTAGGAAAATATAAAAAAAAACTATATATGGCATTATTAGATATTAATCAATTATAATTTGCATAAGAACAAGAATCCTTTGAAGCACTTGCATCTACACTTAAAAAATCAGTTTATGATTGGATGATGATAGATTTCATTGTTGAAGGAAAAATATTTGATATTGAAAAGTTTTTCTTAAATGGAATTTATTCTGAAAATGCTTCCACTAATTATATTGAAAATTAAAATAGAGCTAAACAAGAAAAAAATAAATTAATTAAAAAATTAAAAGCTTCTAACATATAATAAATTAGATATATAATCTTATTGATTATTGATTTAGTAGTTATTATGTCATATTTTTTGGTGATATTTTTAATCATCTTTATATTGACTGATTAATTATTATCAGGATTAGAATTAATCTTCAAATATTAGACTTTATAATCATCATTTATTAATGTTTTAAATAATGCTGATATGGTAGCTTATAAAACTTTATCTAATTCATCTTTATATCATAATATCTTATCGTAATCAGAATTTTAGAATTATTCTTCAGTACTTTAAGGTACTGAATAAGATTTTTTTCTTCAATACGATAATAATATTATTGGTACATTAACAGATGAAAATATTAATTATAAAATTGAATTCATGAATTAATAAGCAATTTGCAATATTTAATATGCTCTAGATTGTCAATCAACTTTAGTTGGAAAATATAATGAATAAATTTTGGCATATTATTAATAAGGACTCAAATCTTTAGTTGTTTAAGTTTATAAAATTATTCAATAATATCCATAATTTTATTAAGAAGATTATGTCAATAATAGTCTAATAGATTTTATTAATTTTGTCCAAACTTCTGATCACATTGCTTATTTAGATTATGGAACAGATCTCATTATTACAGCTTATTCCTCAATAGTTGATATGGCATAATAGCAATTTGATACTCAAATTTCCAAGTATCAACAAACTCTAATTATATTTATTTTAAGTATAGGGTTTGTAGGGTTAATAATAAAAGCATTTTTAGGAAGAATGTTAATGAGAATGTAGAAACAATCAATTGATACTTGTCAAGCATCATTATTATTATTATCACCTAGAAGGTACACATAAAAGTCTATTGCTAAATTAATTACATAAATAATTTGATTTTTTTCTTATTATTCAATATTTTAATAACAATTTAAATAAATTCAAAAGTCAAAATAATAATTTGTTAAAAGGTCTTCTGATTTAATCTCTACAATATTAAGATGCTCCACCTTTTGTTTATTCATATAAAAATGGCAACATTTACTACAAATCATTTTATAATGGAACTTTAAATAAACTGATTATTTATTGATTATCTTATTTTTTACTAAAAACTTACAAAATAGATTCTTTTCTTTAATTATTTTTATTCTTTTTTTATTTACGTAAATTATTAAAAAAAGCATTTAATTTCTATCTTCCATAAATATTAGCAAAAGTTTTACTAAGAAATTAAAAATATATCAAATATTTTGAATTTTGATGCCAAAGTTCAAATTATTATTAAATTTTAAGATCTTTATTATTAATGTATTATTAACAATTAAAATCAAAATTTTTTTCAAATATTGATCTCAAAAATTATTTATAAACTCTATATCTTAAAATAAAGTTATAAATAGATTCCTTTATACATTATAAATGTCTAGAAGTATGATGAATTTTTTCTTTAAAATTCCATAATACTGATCTTTGAATTAAAAGTGGTTAAATTTTATTGATATTCTGGATTCGGACTTTCTTTTTTATCTAATTAACAAGCATTGATAGACAACTTAAAAAATAATAATATATTATTACAATTTTACATCTAAATGAACTCTTGCAAATAAACTATTACCTTTCAATTTACACATATTTTTTTTAGCTCTATAATAAATAGTCTTCATTTTGATCTAAATAATTTAAACATGATGTATAATTTTATGTTAGTGTTTTAATTTTTCATATATTACATTAATCAATTATAAATATGCAATCAATCTGAACATCTCTAATTATATTTCAGATTTTAAGTAACGATGTTGATCTATATCTTTCTATTATTTTAATTTTTTTAATAAATGAGTTATTTCTTTTGAAAAATAATTTATCTATTTTTAACCTTAAGTATTGATTTCTAATTATTTTCTCTTTTTAACAACTTCATAAAATTTCTTTTATTACAAAGTTTTATATAATTATTTTTGAGATTTGAAACATTCATCATTTTAGATTGTTACATTTAGGATATTTTCTTAAATTAAATTTCTTCCTTTTGATAATTGGAGCATTTATCTTTTTCTTTTCTTTATTATTTAAGATGCAGTTAAGTCACAATTAATTAAATTTTATTTTATTTATTATTTTGCAATTGGACTTTTGTATTGAGTTTAAATACCCTAAGGATAACCAAAAGTAAATTAGATCTTAATGGTTGTGTCTAAATCACAAACTAAGGAAATAAAGATGAATTTTTATCTAAATTATTTATAGTCTTTGCTTTTGTATTTCCATGTTTTGACTTAGAAGATTTATTCACATGAGAATTTAGATGGAAATGGATTAGTTGTGGATAAAAATACCTTAAATTTAGTTTATTCAGCTTAATTCATTGTAAATGTTAAAGGTACAGGTTCACCTTAACATCTGATTTTATAATAATAAAATTCTAGTTATCTTAATTTTTAAACATTGACAAAATCTTATTTGAGTTCAATTGGATGCTATTATTATTAGATATAAAATATATACATTTTCGAATTTATAATCAATCCATATTTCTCCATCATTAAGACTTTGCTGTTATCTTTGATCCTCTTAATTTGCAAGTTATATTTAATAGGCTTTGCTTCTGAGAATAAATTATATGTATAATACTCAATTACTGAAATAGTATTGATGTTTTTTTCATAGTCTGGCATCATTATTTGTGTAATATAAGAAACCTATTAAAGTGCCTTATAATTTTTATGAGGATTAATGATATTAGTGGTTGCCCTTCTATGTGTATTTAAAAACTCATTTTCTGATTCTTAAGATTCAACTGAAAGTGATTTTTCTCTTGGATTGGATAAATGAAATGTCATAGCATGTGTTTATCTGCACACATCTCTATCAAATCTGAATTATGAGTTACATAGAATTATGAATTGAAGTTGAGCATCTTTATGCTATTGAATTTCTATCATTATTCTAATTATGGACATCTTGCAGATATGTTCTTTTTCGCAACCTATTCTAAATTAAATTCATTATTAATTTATTTATATAGGGAGATACCTTTTAGTATTTTTTGATTCTAAAATAAAAAATAGAAAGTTATGAAGAAGTTTAATAGAATCTTTTTAAGATAGATTTCAATAAATAAACATATTTTATTGTATATGAATATTTTTTTAAACATAATTATCCTATTCGTTAATTATAATATAAAAATGAATTCAGGCCCAATTAATTATACAAGAACTATGAAACCAGTTGTCCCTACTTATTATCCATCAGAAATTCGTTAGCAATCAGTTGGTAAAGAAAATAGATAACCTATCAAACATAACTCTTGTAGTTAAATTAGATTTGTTAATGTAATATATGAAATTTATTAGACTAGAATCTACCTTCAACTAAAACATAGGATAGTTTTGAATCATAGAAACCTTATGATTAACTGTTTGAGAAATTAAAATTATAAGTTATCTAATTGCAATATGAATAAAACACTTTAAACGAATAATTTCAAATTTAAATCAAATCCTTAAATGATAGAATGGGTTCTAATGAATAGAGTGTTAAATAATTGTATGATACTGGAATTGGATAATTAAATAATGATGTTCATCTAAAAGATAAAATTAAACAATTAGAATTGAAGATGGGAGAGATCTAATTATTAATAATTAATTAAGAATAGAAAACATAATTACATACTCAATCCATTATGGATAAACTAAAAAAGAATATACTTGAAACTACAAATAAAACAGAAATTAAAATATAAAGTTAATTAGATACAATTACTGAATCTCTAAAAAATTTACAAAAATCTCAAATATCTCCACCATAATCAAATTGTATTAGTTAAGATATTAAGAGATTTTAATAATTCAATGAAGAAGTTTCATCTTATCTTAATTAAACAACATCTCCTAATAGAATTAATATAGTTGAATAAATGGTAGCTGAAATTAAACCAGAATTTATATCTATTAATACTTCAAGTCCATTAAAACAATAAATTAATAATAAATGTAAATAAATTGAATTATATATAAGATAAATGTTAGATGTCTGCAATTTCAGAAAAGACACTTGATGATTCAAGAAGTGATTATTAATAGATTCAATAATATGAATTAGATAGCAATGGATATTTAATATCAAATGGTTCCTATGTCTTAGATTAAAATGGTTAAAGATATTAATTGAGTTTAGAACAAATTAATTATCTAAAATCAATTAATGTAATTGAAGAAATTAATTCATGACAATTATTATTAATAAATAAATTTCTATAAATTTAAATAGTTTATCAAAGTAATCAATACACTAAGTCTTTATTTAAATTTAATTCACAAGTGATATGTCCTATTTACAAACAATTTAAACATTAAATTTAATCAAAATGTTTTAAAGTTACTAATATAGGTCTATAATGTATTTATATCTTTGTTTTGCATTCTGCTTTTCTATGTCCTTTAAGATGACATTTAAAACAAGCAACTTATTTACATTCATGAGAATGATGATCATCTTTTAAGCAATACATACAGAAATCTTGATGTTATGATATACATTGTCTTTATACATGTCCTATTTTCTTACAAAGATAACAAAAACTAAATAGATCTCCTTGAAAATATCTTGTTTAAGTATTTAGTAATAAAGACTTTGCAACACTTTATTTGAAACAATCATTTTCATTATCATAAGTTATTTCATTTTTTATTGATAATCTTTCAAGTTTCTATATCAAGTATTCATCACAAACTTTCTCTACTTTATGGTTTTTCTCATATATAACAGGTGGCTAATCACATGATAAAGATCTGAAATGAGGCAATGTTTTACTTCCAACAAAAGTATAAGGAGATGTTTCCTCTTTCATTTTACTAAAAATTTTAGTGTAATTAAATTTGTTATTATTGGTTTAAATAATTTAATATCTCTAAAACCATTTAGTTCTTTTTTTTTAAAGCACCACCTTAGAGAGACTATAGGTTATTTATATATTTAATTAGAATCCTTAGGAAAGAATGAATTAGAAAATTTATTAAATAGTTCTTAATTTTATATTTATTAATACAATTTTGGTATGTTTAAAAATATAACTATAAATAGATTTTGAATAATAATATCATTTTTGCAAAATGTATCATGTTTTCATTTAAAAATATATAAATTAGATGAGTTAATAGAAAAGTATATTGTTTAATTTATATTTTGTGTGTACAATATATAATTTATTTAAGTTTGTTGAATAAGTGAAATAATAATAATATTATTTTAGAATTAAAATGGCAATAGATAATAATACTTTAAAAATTTTATTATAACTAGAAGCAAGATTTCATGAGAAAATTTATAATTTAGATCATGTAAATTAAATGTTAGAAATTTACTCAGACTTTGTCTAAATATTTGATAACTAAAAGTGTGCTTTGAGAGAGTATTTCCTAGAAAAAATATAATTTCTAATTAGCAGACCTGAAACAATATAGTTATTAAAGAAATAAAATATACTCAACTTACCTGGGGATGCTTAAAAAATCTAAGGAAGAATGAGATTTAGTGTTTATAAAAGAGCTTAAGTGAATGAAATGAAGATTTAATAAGAATTATAGAATAATGAACTTAATCAAACTCAAAATATGAATTAATTGCTTTAAGAATATGATAAAGTTCAAGAAAATATAGAAAAATAAATTATAGAATCTTTGAATAATTAAGATGAACTATTAGAGAAAAGAAAGATGAATAGAAAAATGAAAACTTAAGTAATGAGTTAATCAACTTCTACAGATAATATTATTTAATAAAAGTAATTAAATGAATATAATGATGAATAACTAATATTAACCTAATAGAAAGAAGGAGTCTCAACAAATGATAAAGAAGATTTTAAAATAGATGAAGATGATTAAGAAAAGTGATTATAGATTATATATAGTCTATTATTTAAATTAAACTTAATTTACCTTCTTCTCTTTTGATATAAAAGAATAATGATCTAACATATGATAAGAAATCTTATATTTTACTATCAATAACTTTAATTGAATTAACATTATGATACTAATCAAAAACAGACATTTTAATTAATAAATATAATATAGAGATTTAAGAGTTTATGAGAAAATAAGTATACAAAACACAAAATAACTTATATAATATCCATATATTATAATAATATATATATCAAAATTATCAAATTGTGATTATAAATTTATTATCTTTCCAAGTCCCTTCTTTTTTATGGTATTGATTATCATGAAATGTATAGGTTCCTTTTCCATTTGCTCTATTATTAACAAAGAATCCTTCAAATTTATCTCCATTAGAAAAAGTCAATCTAGCATATCCTTGAAGCATTCCCTTTGTAAACATACCTTCAGCAGTTTTCCAATTACTTAAATCAGCATATCCTAAACAAGGTAAATCTATTCTAGTTTTTCTTTTAACTCCTTCATCTAATTCAATATTTGATTATTTATTATTATTTAAAATCATTTAAGAATGAAATCCTTTTCCAACCATTTTATGAATTTCTGCTGTTGGATTAGTATTAGTAGTTATTGAAAAGTGTAGATTTTCAAAGTCAAGTCTTTCATCAAAATTAAATGCTTATATTTCTTCAGGAACAACTTAATCATTGTTTTATTCTGTTACTAATTATGTTATTTATAATAAAGATTCTTCAAAAATCATTGAATTAATATTGTAAAATATTCTTTTATATTTGAGTTCTGGTGAAAAATGTGTAAATTTAAGTTCTAGCTATATGAAATCTGGTCTATCCTCTTCATTTTCTTCTAACATATTTAATAATATCATTTTTGCATAGTTTTATAGTTTGAGATCCTATATATTTCTTCTAATTTTATCTAATTTCACTTTATAATTAATAAGATCATAAAAATCTTCATCTTGTGTTAAACATTTATAAATAAATAATCCTAAACAAAATACATCTGTCTTATAGAAATTATGTATAGGATATTCTACTTTTTTACTCAAAGCCTCTAATTAAATGGGAGACAAATAAAATTTGCTTAGTAATTGTTCTAATTATCTTGTATTCTTTTGTAACCAACACTTTCTATAGAATTATATCAAATAAGGATGAAGCATTGGATCCAATATTTTATAATAAAATTAACCGTCAAAAGATCTAACCTATATTTTCTTGGATTTAATTACTTTATAAACAGAATCACGTCCAAAGTAAGAATATGTCTTGCTTTACTTTTACCATTTTGACATTATCTATAATACTGCATCTAAAAGTGGTAAATAAGATTCATCATCAAGTTCTGTTACTATTGATTCTGGGAAATCCAAATAAATAACAGCCCGACTTGTTTCATCTGTGACAATTTTATGAATTAAAAATAAATGAGGATGCTATTCTCTTGATCTCCATTTCTTTAAGAAGGCTTCTGTTTCATGTGGTAAACCATTAAACTCTACCTTAGCTAATCGATACCAATCATTGTGAACTCTTTTACTTCATTTTATATACATTTTAACATGCGAAAAAGCTGGATACAATTGAATAGCTTTATTTGAATCAGGATGATCTGAAAACAATTTTTCGTATTAGTCTATAAATTATTTGTTTAAACAGATTCCCATTTGATTTTTATTCTTATAAAATATATACTAATTTTTAATATTTAACATCAATCCATATTATTTATCATTCTAAATAATTTAAAGTAATTAAAACATTCTAATTTCTAATCAATATAAATAATCTCTCATTAGTTATTTAATATTTATGTTGAAACTTCAGAATTATTAATTTAATTTTAATTTGATGGGAAATGCAATTTCAAATGGGAAATTGATATCTCCAATATCTATTGATGCATAGATAAAAGAGTCATAATTAACAATAAGATTCATGTTAGATTAAAAGAAATTAATGGCTCAAAAAAATACATTACCTAAAGATTTTGATTAATAGATATCTTAATTAATAAAAGAATTGAAAGTTGAGCCAAAACTTCTCTAATAATTCTAAAGCACTCCTTAAAGTAAAATAATATAATATAATTAGATTTTAAATGCTTAATTCTAAATGAATATAAAAACATCACAGGAAAGAATTTATTATAAAATTTACCAAATGATGAAGTCAACTATTTTAATTAGAAATTATCTAATCCAACACTTTAAGATTTAGAATAATTAAGAAGATATCTCAAAAATCTATAGATTCAAGATTAATAAGATAAATTAGAGCAATTTCATATTACTATTAATTTACTTATAGAAAACTTATTTAGATTTCACTAATAAGCATAATAAATAATTGAAAAAAAGAAGCCTCCTTGTTATCTATATTAAGTTTAAATCTTAAATATTCTTGAAATTTTAGTAAAAATAGAAAAAAACTAATAATAAATGTTAACCATTCCAGATTCAATGGATATTATATTAAAAAATCTACATCCATTTCATGTTGAATTAACAACAACTGTATTAGAAATTGCATCTCATTTATGTTGGAATACAGATGAAGGATATAATTGGGTTCTAAAAAGTTTAAATAAATTGTATGAAGATAATGAAATTATCTTTTTTGTTAATACTTTAAAAAAAAGTAGAAATGCTGTTATGATTGCCACAATATGTGTATTTATTGTAACACTTACTGAATCTCCAACTTAAGAAGAGGAAAGAAAAAGAATGAGATAATAATTTATATCTACTGGAATGGCTGATGTTTATAAAATGATTATCAATAAAATTGAAGAATTTGAATACAAAGCAGATGAATTAAGATTTGAAGTTGTTTTATAATAAATAATTGATCATAATAAATAAAAACATTAAATTTAAACAGATCCTAATTTCACTGAAGAAATTAAATTACCTATGTTATATCAAAGAGAATCTAGAAAGTGTTATGATATATCAGAGTTTTCTAATTCCATTAAAATTATTGAAGGATAAATTGAAGCATTTCTAGAAAATAATAAAGATATACCTAATTAATAACCATAAGAACCAAAAAAATCAGAAGTTAAATAACATGCTAAACATTTAAAATCTACATTTCTTGCTCCTTAATATTTAAATTTAATTTAAGATGAAATGGGAAAAGCTAATTTAACTAATTTATAAAGAACAGTTGAAAATATTAAACATGAATCCAAAATAAGAGGTAGTCAAATTGTTACTGAATTTGCAGAAGGTATTTCTAAATATATTGATAAACTCAATTAGCCATCTTAAAAAGAAACTGAAAATATAGAGAGTTTATAATTTGAATTAATGAAATAATAAATTGATGATTTACATGAAAAAATTTCTAGTTTAGAAAATGAAATTAAAGATTTAAATACTAAAAAATAATCAAATGAAGCATTTGTTGATGTTTTATAAAGAAAAATTGGTGATATGGAAAAAAAATTGAAATCAGATTAAACTAATTATTCCCAATTAAATGAATAATTAGCTTCCAAAAATAAGGATTATAGAGCACTTTAATAAGAAAATGAATCATAATAAAAAGCAATCTAACAATTAGAAAATGAAGTTAATTAATTAAAAGAAAAACTAAATATTATGCAATTAGCCAAAGCTCAAAAAATGGAATTAGAAGTACCTCCTTAAAGGCTTTCTCATAAATAAGATAATACTGAAGAGTTGAAACAACAACTAGACTAACTCAAATAAGATCTACATTAATAAAATTAAAAATTTATCATTCAAGAAAATGAAATTAAAAGTAATTTTATCTATTTTTATGATAGAATTTTAATAATAATTAAAAGAATAAAGTGAAAATTTATAAACAAAGGAGATTTAATTAACCGAAAAAAATAAGGAATGTAGAGAACTATAAGCAACAAATGAAAAATTAATAAAAAAGAAATAGGCTAAAAAAAACCAATTATAATAATTGAAAGAAAAAATATAGTCTGTTAATTATGTTAAAACTTAAGCAACCAAAATTTAAAATGAACTCAAAACTATTGAACAATATTAAGAAGAGCTTATAAGATTAAATAATATTATAGAAGAATAAGCCATTATTTTAGAATAATAAAAACAATACACATCTAAACTTGATGAAATGAGAGATAAATAACAAGAGCAAGAGTTAAAAATTAATCAAATGGAAGATGAAAACAAAAGTATATAATAAATAAATTATTTCCTTAGAATAATTAATTAATAATTAAACTCTACAAGATAAACTGTAATAATTGCAATAGGAAAAGGAAAATTTAGAAAAAAAATTACTTAATTAACTATAAAATGCTGCGCAATCTAGTAATACATTTGCACCCCCTCCTCCGCCATTACCTGGGTCAACTTAAACAAGTTCCTTTATTCCTCCACCACCCCCTCCTCCTCCTGGAGGTTCCAAAACTTTACCTCCACCTCCACCACCACCACCTCCTCCTCCTCCTCCTCCAGGAAGTAAAACTGCTCCACCACCTCCTCCTCCTCCGCCTCCAGGAGGTAAAAGTGCTCCTCCTCCCCCACCACCTCCTCCACCTCCAGGATCAAAAGCAGGGGGACCACCACCTCCACCTCCACCTCCTCCACCTGGTGGTAAGACTGGATCTGCACCACCTCCTCCTCCTCCGCCTGGAGGCCCAAGACCCCCAGGACCTCCTCCTCCTCCTGGAGGTGCTCCTCCACTTCCTCCTGGACCAAGACCTCCTGGCGGCCCTGATCCTTAATTTGGAGCTTCAACAGGAAAACAAAAACATAAACCTAATGTCTAACTAAAATAAGTTTGCTGGACAGTTATCAAACCGGAATAAATTAAAAATACTATTTGGGAATAGATAGATGATACTAAATTAAAATTGGATTTTTCTATTATTGAGAATCTTTTTGCAGTAAAGGCAACATAAAGTAATGCAAGCAATTAAAGTGGAGCTAATCAACCTTAGAAGCCAGCAAAAATTTCAATGTTGGGGCCTGAAAGAGTCAAAAATTTAGAAATAGTTTTAGGCAAACTTAAAATGTCAAATCAATTAATAGTTGATAGTCTTTATCAGTAAGTTTATTAAAGTTATATTAAAGATTTGATGAAACTATATTAAAACCAAATGTAGTTGAATCATTAATAACAGCAATGCCAAATGAGACAGAGATTGGACTGTGGCAAGATTAAGATTAATCAAATTTAGCATTACCAGATATTTTTTGTATAAATATTAGCTCAGTAAAGGGTTATGATTATAGGTTATTAATTTAAAATATGTTAGATTATTATCATTAAAATTTAAATATAATTATAAAGAATTAGCAGAAGATTTAGAATAGAAAATAGTAGGGTTTAAAAAAGTGATTGAAAGAACTAGAAATGATAAGAATACAAAAGTTGTAATGGAATATGCATTAGCAGCTGGAAATTATATGAATGGTCAATCTGCAAGAGGAGGTGCATATGGATTTAAATTTGATATGATGGAAAAATTAGCTGATGTTAAAAGTACAGATAATAAAAGCAGTTTATTAATGTTTATAATATAGAAAGCAGAGGAGGATTTAAAATAAGAATTAGTGATGGTTGATGAAAATTTAGATGAAATTGAATTAGCTGGTATATTAATGAATGTAAAATTTAGCTAAAACACCTTTAAGTTAATTAGGTGCTGATTTGAATGAATTAAAAAAGAATTCTAAGACTGTTGATAAGGCTATCAAATCAAAAGTATCTCCTCCGATTTAAGATTTAGTTGAAGAAAAACTATAAGATTTTTATTAATAAGTTATTACTTAATTAGCTGAATTTGAGACTTAATTAAAGCAATTGGAATCACAATATGAAGATCTTTCTAATTTTTATGCTGAAACAAAAGTTCCTTTTGATAAATTTTTTGAAAAATTTTATAAGTACAAAACTGTATTGAGATAAGCTAAATAAAATATTAATAAAATAAAATTAGCAGAAGAAAAAGAATTAGAAAAAAAGAAGAAGCTAGAACAATAACAGCAAAATTAATAATAATAGAAATAATAACAATAATAATCATAATAATAATAATAATAATAATAATAATAATAATAATAGTAGGATTAATCATAAATTAAAAAAAAGTAGGAAGGTAATTTTTAATATAAATAAAGATAATTCACTATCAGGTTTAAAGAAACTTGATAAAACTTAAATTTTAAATGAAGTTGCAAAAAGAAGAGAATCAAAAAAAACTAGTATTCTGTAACTAGCCAATGTTTTAGTTAAGCAATAAATTTAGACAACTTTAGCATAAACTTAGGAACATTGAAAATTAGTTATTAATATAAATATTATTTAAATTAAAATTTTTCAACAATATTTTTCAATAATTTTTTCTGAATTTTTAACATAAATATTTAATCATGATTTGCAATAATAATTTTGAATGTTTAAAAAAGTTAAAAATTACTTCAAATCTCTAAGAATGAGTAACTAAATCATTCTTATCAACTTCTGCATCATAACTTTTACAGTGCTAAGCATATTAGTTACATATTAAGTTTAGTCAGCTATCTTTTTCACTTTTATCGAAAAGTCTTCTTAAACCTTATCATAAAAACAAGAAAAACAATTAGTTTAACTCATCTCTAAATAACTTAGACAGTATATATAGCACAAAAATTCTCAAAGTATTTGTAATAATTAATATAGCATTATCAAATTTACAACATTCTAGTGATTTCTTTTAGTATGTTAATTAATCAAGAAATCGATATAGAGTGATTTAAAGTCAATTTTAAGAATGCCTTGATTAGGAATAAATAAACATATAGACTGTAGTTTATAATTCAGATATAATATGTTAAGGATTTGAAAACGTAAAATCTAATGATTAAGGATAAGTTTTTAATGATACTTTAAGTTTACTCAGTCCATTTACATAATTATTTGTTGTTAATGATGATTCAAAAATATTGTATTTTGATATTCCTAAAGCTTAATATTTTGGATCTTTTCCTACATCAATCAAATTTAAGAATTATAGTTTATACACAAGACCTTGGTAATTATAGAAATAACGTATAGGTATATCAATCATATGACTTAATCTTAAATATATCCAAATTCTAGTTACTTTTACTCACCTATATTATTATCAGCTCGTGATAACTTACCTTATTCTGCATTGACATATTCTCTTATAGGCAATGACTCAATGTTTGGAATTGCATTATAATTATTACCTATACCTGATAATAACATATATAATATACCTTTAAATATCTTATTAGTACATTAAAATGGTGATGTAATTTTAAGTACTATGGAGACTTTTCATTAACTTACTGGATTGGTTAGAATTACTAATACATCTTATACTGGTTTTAATGAAACTGATTGGCAAACTATTCAATAGAATTCAATGATTAATCAAAATAGGGATGTGACATTTTATTTAATGAATAAGATATATAAAAGATCAGTATTTGTTTATACATATTTATTCTAAAGGGAAAATTTAACCATGATAGTGTATTACATTAAATTATATTTAACAGTTTTAAGAATATTACTTATGAATAGGAGATTTCAGATGAAATTTAATTACTTATTGATAATTTAGAGTTAGAATTGATTTAATAAATTTAAATCTAGATTGGATGCTGTGCATTTTTACTGCTTGTAACAGCAAATTTAATTAAGTGTATTTCAGCACCATTATTATAATTAATATAAGTTATTAATTAACATGTAATGAAAATAGGTAATAATTTAAATTCAGAAATATTTAAAATGGCTTTTAAAACAAAAACATAAATAAATTCAGATTTATTTTCTTCTTTGGCATATTAATTTATGGCATTAAAAGATTTATAAACAAAAAGTTCTTAAAGAAAAAGTAATCTTTGTTAATAAATGGAATCAATCTAATATAATTTAAAATTTTAAGAAACAGATACTAGCAAAATCAAGGAATTATTATAATTATTACCTTAAAATGAATCTAAAATTCAAAATTTATCTTTTTTTTATTTTGATAATAAAAAATTAATAAATAACAATAAATCAAATTCAGAATTAAATGTAATAAAAAATGAAATTGATAAAAGTGATTAAGTATGTAAAAGAATAATACTAATTAATGATTTGCTTTAAAAAATATATCAATAAAACAAGCCGAGTTGACTATTAATTTACAATTAATTCTTAGCTTATTATAAAATATTTTTATAATTAATTTTCACATATTTTGATTTTTGCTTTTGAAATATTTAAACTTAAAATAAAGATTCTTTTTAAGCTTCTCTTATCTTATTAATGAATTCAAATTTTATTGCTTATTTCTAGAAATAATGACATAAATAAAATTAGACTATTTTAACAGTTGTATTTTATATGTTAAATATCAAATAATAGCATATAATTTATTTAATTAGTTTTACTTAAACATAGGATCATGAGTTTGTTTACTTGTTTGAAAAGATAAAAAATGGAGAATTAAATTATTTTTGGGATAATAGTAATCATGCTGATTTCAACTATATTTATTGGGATTGCTTTCCTTATTTAGAATATTGTACTTTTTAAAATGATTGAAGCTTCATCATCTACTATTTTTATTAGACAAGAGAATAATTCAATTTAAAACCTTGGCTAATCAATCAAACAATATTTTATAAGAAAACATGAATAGTGTAATAAATAGTTTTATTATTAGACATCCATAGATTAAATAACATAAATAAATTATTTCAATATTATTCAGATGTTCAACTCAAACTGAAGAAAACTGATTTATTGGAGTATTGTCTTTTTAAGGATGACATTAATGAAAATTAAATTCGTTATTCTGCAGCCTAATTTTGTTATTAAGCAGGTGGAGTTAGCGACCATTTTACATTACCTAAAAATGATAAAACCATAGAGATATTTAATTAAACTACATAAATTTTGAATTAATTCACTATCAGTTTTCCAGTAACTTTAGAATCTATATTATCATATGCAGATCTATCAGATACACAGTTTTATGCTGCTTATCCTCTTGCCTATTCAGTAAAAGGATACGAACCAAAAAAAAGATTATGGTACACTAATCACATATAATAAATGAAGTTAAATCCTTAGAGTGATTTTTTCTATTCTCCTGCATTTTTGGTTGTCCATCTTTAGACTTATGCAATATCATTAACTCATACTCTATTTAATTCTAAACAGGAGAAAATAGGGATGGCATAATAAATGATTTAATTAGTGGATTCAGCAATATAAGATCTTCCTTATAATGCTTTATTAATAAACAAAGAAGGTTAATTAGTATTGAATGCAGCAGATTTTTATTATGATTCTAGAAATATTAATTACATTTATAATTAAACATTAACAGGTTTTAATGAAAGTGATTGGGAATTTATGAAATAACTTTCAAAAGATAAGAGTAATTTAAAATATTGTGATGAATATGAAAATGTTTACTGTTTATATGATAAATTGTATAACTCTACAATTATTTTATATACAAGTCAATTGAAAAATGAAAATTTTACTATTTTATTGTAATATTATTTTTGATGATAATCTAGATATACAAATTTTACATTGTAACAATAAGTGAATGAACAAATGGAATTACTATAAAAAGGGTTAGTAGAAGTTGTTAAAAGAATTTGTTTTGAACATATAGGATCTATCATAATAATAACAGTAGTTTCGATGTTGGCAGTTAGAATGTTGTTTTTACCTTTAAAATATTTAATGAATAGTATAAAAAACCATATTTTATAAATTGGAAACAATTTAAACAGAGAAATGTTTAAGATACTACATAATGCTAAAAGGAGAAGAGGGAATACATTTTCTAAATTAACATTTGAAATATTAAAATTTTAAGATATATTGAACACTAGAAAGTCTCAAAGAAATCCAATATGTAATTAAATAGAAAATTTTTAATATAAATTTAAACATGAAGAAGAAAGAAAAATCAATTTATTTTTAGATGAAATTTACTTTTCAAGAACAGATTGGTAAAATGATTTAAATGAAAGGAAATTATATCTCTTGTGCAAATAATTAATTCATGATTAATATAATTATCAAAATCATTATTAATGAATTTATATCATTATGATTTATATTTCAATAATGAAGATCTATTATTTTATTAGATAATTTATATTATATTAATTTTCGGTTTATTTGTTCTAATTATATTGAATTATAATTAAAAAATAAAACGCTTAAATTAATTAGATTGCTATGAATGTTAATTTGTATATAATTAAGGATCATGTCATATATTTTACTATAATTTATTCTCAATTTCATTATAATAACTCAATATAATAATAAAGTCAATAAATATAACAGCAATTAGATTATTCACTTAGTTCTGGTTATAGTTTTGTTTTATTCTTCACATTTTAACAGTTCAACATTTCATTATAATCTTCATCAACTTAATTATACTAATCTGATAGTTCATTTGATAGAATATCCATGAATGTTCTTGATGTATTCTATTAACTAACAAAAGCAATTTTATGAGATCCTCCTTTAATTATTTCATTTCCAGCCCAGTCCAATCTTGGGAGTGCTTATGTAATTTTCTATTAAGATGATTTCAATATTGGTTTAATTGATAAGTTTTAAGAGTCTCGTGAATCATTAGTATTAATCAATTCGGTTTAAGACATTATCTTAAAAAGAAAAATAATGAATTTTATAATTAAGAAATTATTAATTTTCCTGAAGTAATATTAATGATTCAATATTATGTAATAATATTCTATAATAGTTCACAATTAGAATTGTTAAATAATTATATATGACTTTATTGAATTTTTATTACAATTATTGTACATTATAAGGAATGAATTAATTATATATATGCTTAATTAAGAAAATTACAAAATATAACAATTTTTAGTACATCTCTTCAATGTTGATACTTCGTACTCTACATGCTTTCATTTAACTGAACCCATGCTTTATCAAGTTTTCATTGAATAGATTCATCAAGAAGACCAAAGATAAGATTTCACATCATTTGTTGAGTAGTACTAAATGATTTATAGGAAAGAGTTTAGGCCTTTATCTACAAGAACACATTTACATTAATAAAGTTTAGATAATGTTAAACCTTTTACATATCCATCAAATTCTTATGTGTGGATCAAAGCAAAATAAAATAAATTAAAATAACAACTAACAGAATAGACATCAAAAGAAAAATCAATATCTACATAAAAATAATCAAGATAAAACTAATATATTGTTTATGAAAGCTTATAATTAAATACACCAAAATAAATTAAGAATACTTTATTAATTACATCCCCAAGAATTTTTAAGAAAACTTCAAATAGTATGACTTTTGATTTGAATTCTAGAAATAGAAACTAAGAAAATGATTAAAAATAAAGTTTAAAAACACCATAATTTAAATAACCAAGATTTTCTGAATCAAAAAAAGGGAATTCTGTTGAAAGACAGAAAGACTCTTTAAAATTTTCTAATAAAACTAAAATTACAAAAGAAACACCTTCATAATCTCATATTTAAAGACTAAGAAGTTTATCAGGAACTGAAAAATTAGCTGCACATCAATTAATTATTGGAACTATTAATGAAATTAATTAATTAGTACATAAAATGGAAGAACCAAAATTAGATAGAATTTAATCTGAAGAGAGTCCTTCTTTGTAAGTACCTTCTAGAATAGGAATTATGCCAGCTAAATTAATTTCAATAGATGTTAAAAAATATAAATAATGATATTATTGAATTATGTTACATAATTATTTAAAATTTTAATGTTTCATCTTCAAAACCATAAAGAAGGCTATTGGTATATCAATTATAATAATATAATTAATAAAATTCCTATAAATTTAAGTTATTATAATAATACTAAATCAATTTATTAGAATTACAATCATATCTTTTCCTGAAAAAATATTGTTTTTTTATCAATTTTTATATTTTTATTTGAGTTTCTAAATGAAATTTTCATTTATTTTAAGTTATATTATAAGGTTTCGGTATAAGTTGTATTATTTATATTTTAATTTGTTGATCTGTTAAATATTATGAGAAAATCACTGGGTCAATGCTTGCAAAAATCATCATTTCTAAGTCAAAGATAAACAAATCCTGATGTTACTTAAGATAAGAAATTAGGAGTGAGATTTGCTACTTAATATTAATTGACTGTACCTGATATTGTGATAAATGATCCAAATTAATTAGAATTGATTAGAATAAAAGAAAAATATAAATGGAAATGTGAAGAACTAGATAGAACTAAGTAAGTTATGGAAGAAGAACATAAATCAATAGAAGAGAGGTCTAATGTATATATACTTTTATATTAAGAAATTAAATAAAGGAGAAAAAGAAATGAGAATTTTGGCAACATAAATAAAGGAGAAACTTAATATTTTAGGAGAACAAGAATAGAATTTTAGAGAGAAAGTATAGTTATAAGAAGAGAAAATGAAGGAGAGGGAATAATAATTATAGATTAGTAAAAAATAATTAGAGGAATAGCAAAGTACATTAGAACTTGAAAAAAATAAATTGAAGATTAGAGAGAAATGTTTATAAGAAAAAGAATTTATTATTGATTAAAAATTAAGAGAAGTTGAATAATATATTGATAAATTAAAATATCAATTATAAAATGTTAATTAGAAGGAAAGTACATTTTTATTATTATTCATAAGATTATTATCATTAATAAATAGATAAATTAAATTCAGGATTATAAACTATTATTTAACATGAATTATCAATAAAAAATATTGAATTTAATTTAAGCAAATAAGTTTAACAATTAAGAGAAGTAGAATAAAGTTTAATTGAATAATTGCATAATTGTAAAAAATAAGAGGAAGTATTTGATTAAAGAGATTTAAATATATAAGTTAGTGAATAATTAATCAATCGTAAATTGGAATGGGATAATAAATAAATACAATCAGCTAAATTATCTAAAATAAACACTGAAAATTCAAGAATGGAGATCTCAAACTTTGCTCATTCTGCTTTTTCACAAAAATATTGAAAGTTATTTAAATTACTATTCTAAATCATAATTTATAAAAAGTTCTATAATAAGTTTATCTCATTTCTAAATAATATATTTCCTTAGAGATAACAATCAGAATTGTGAAATAAATTATATTTTAAGTTCAACATATATCATATTATTTTATCCCTACTTCTGTTTTACATGATGAACATTTATGAATTTTGTCTTAACAATCAGGCATAACACATGGAACCCAACAACATAATATTCTTTTGAACAATAAATAATAATTTAATACCCTGTACACAGAAATAATAAACATGATACCATATAAGTTCCTGCTCCTATCTCAGTTGTCACATTTGTAATGCCTTATGTTTTACAAACTGGACATATAATTTAAATAGGAAAGGGTGCACCATTAGCATTGAACGATGGAGGAGTATTAAAATTACTTAATAATAAAGAATAGTACTTTCCAACTACAGTCTATAAATAAGGTGTTCCAACTTGAACTGGCTAAGAATAAACATTAGCAACAATTGGCTTAAATTATTTATATTTGATATACCTATCCATAAGTGACTTACTAGGACTATTATCCATATTATGTATATTGTTAAGCATAATTAGGTTATTAGGTAGGAATGAATTGTTACTAAGGTTACTATTATTGTGTTGTTTAGACTTCAAATGATTGTGTAGTATTGCCCCAATATTAGGCTTGATTTGGATCAGATTATTACATTTTTAATTTATTCTATAAAATTTAAATTAAATCACTAACAAGTGAGCAATTCTAATGTCATATCATAACCCATGTAATTAGCATGATCAGATACAGATAAATCAACTAAATTAGCATTAGAACAATTGTCATCTTCTTTAAAGTTATCATTACATAATTAAACTCTAAAATTTAATAATTTATTACTTCTTATGGATGACCAATAAATAGTCCTTATAATAAGCTTCTTAATTCACATGATGGAATCCTTAAATAAGTGCTGGGAGATGAGGAACTGGATCATGATTATGAGTAACTCTAAATTTAGGTCCTGGAAATAGTTATTAATTAACATAAGTAAAGAAATTCTTATCACCAACTCTAGGTGATCCAAAAGTATAGAATTTACTTATAGTAAAACCTCTCTAAGATAAAATTAGAATAATACTGTTGCCAAATACACAAGAGCATGATGAGCCAAAGCACCTCCTAAACTATGACCTGTAACAGTTATTTTGGCTAAGGGATATTTCTTTGTTAAAGTTTTCAAACAATTCAAAACTTAATCTTAAATTCCCAGGAAAGAATAATAGAAACCTCTAAAATGATATTTATAGATTATTAAAAATACCTATGAACTTAACAATTATTGGAACAATAGGGATAATCTGTTTTAATAAAGTCAATATCTTCAATCCAATTAGTAAGACTCCATGGTAAAGTTCCTCTAAACACTAAATAGATTTCATCTGTTTCAGGATGATATGCACCATATCCTGCATTATCATTTGTTGCATTGATGAAGAATGAAATATCAGTGATTGGTTTGAGTTCTTTGCATGGTTTGCCACAGTTCCAATTCTTAATGTGTTGTTAGCTGCAATAACTTGCTGATGTTAAATAAAACAAGTGTTTTGCAAATGCTTCATCATATGTGTTATATTCTACTGTCTAATATGACAGTACTATAACAAGACTTATCAGAAGAATTTTCATCATGACGTAATTTTATAATATAGAAAATAATCCAATTCATAATAATTAAATATCCTTAATATTTATAATTAAATCGTATTATTTATAAAGATGACGATCTTGAGAAATTCATCATAAATTATTTATATTAAATTTTATATCTTTTCTAATGGTTTACAATCACTTTTTCATTTATTCTCAAACTTATATGAATATCCAATAAATATTAATATATAAAATAATTACAACTATATATTGAATTTCCTATTTTTAGATATTATATATATCTAACAAATAATAATTATTTTTTAAACTAATTTACTGGGACTCAGAATAAAAATATTCCTAATCTTAATTATTATTTTTCATTATTAATCATTAAATATAAGATAGTAATTTAATCATCATTAAATAGCTTATTCTAGGTATTCAGCAAATTCATATTTCAATAGCTTTTAAGGATCATCATATTCTGAATATCGTTAAATTTTTAAATATTACATATTTAATTCTCTAACATCTTTGACATTTTTAAAAAGCATCAAATATTACAGTAAAGATTTCAATTCCTATATTAATAATAAATATTTACTTCATCTTATTTATTATCGATATAAGGAATAATTGGAACCCCATTTTATAATTAATACAAATAAGAATGAGGAGCATTATCAATTAAAAGCATGTCACTTAGTTTTCTTGTTTTAAAAATACGTAAATCTTTAATAAAATGTCCATCTTCAGTTGGAATACAATGTTCTCTATAAAATCTATGAGATATTAATTTTTTATCAGGATCCAAGTAATCAATAACTGCATTCGCATAATAAGATTACGAGGCAGTAAATATAATCAATTCAAAATGTCTACTTAATTATTATAATAAATGAGAAGTATAAGGTCTAACATTTAATGAAGCCTAATAAAAAATAAAGAATATGATACTTCCATAGTTTCACCATCATGATTAATATTTAACAATATATCTCCAGGAGTTGAACTATTAGAATTACAATGTACAAGAGTTTCATCTAAATCAAATAATAAGGTTTTCTTATCAATTGATGGTAGAATTACATTCTATTTCACAGGAGGTACTTTAATTTTCTTTCCAATAATAATACCCTTTAATTTATAATAATAAAATACTTGCATATTATGAATCAGATGTTCTTTAGCAGAATTTGACCCCTTTTATTTAAATGCTTTGATAATAGATGAAATGTAATATATTTTTGGAAGATTCTTAGTAATATTATCCTATTAAACTTAAATTGTTCCATTATCTTTTTGATCCTATTATTTATTATTTCGTTATGTTATTGGATTATCCAAATAAGATGATGGAATGCTACTTTGTTGTTTTTTACTTGAGTTTATATCTAGTTCTTTTGGAGTTTACATAGATATAGTAGGTAATTCATTAGATGGATTGAATAATGGTTTTTTAGTAAAATTCAAAGAACTTGTAACTGGTTATGCACTATCAAATCGTTCTGTAGTTATTTATTAATTATATATTGGAGTTTTAGAAAATAACTATGTACTTTTTGTAAATACTCTTTAGTTTTGGTCTTCCATATTTAAGTATTAGCAATTTTTAGATGTTGATTCTTTTTTTTAATTATTATCATTTTTTATTGTAAGTCTTTAAAAAAAGTTATCTTAAGTTGGAGTTAATGAAAACATTCTAGTTGTAGTATTTTCCTTGTTTTCTTTACTTTTTAATCCAAAATTGTTTTTTCCTTGAAACTCTGTGGGATTGAGTTTTCCTGCTAGATTTAGAAATGATTTTTATTCAAGTGAATTGATTAATGAGGTTTCTCTGGTGGAACTATTCTTACGGAGCATTGAAGAATAAAAAACTCGTTAATATTTAATTAATTAATTATAATAATTTAATATATGAGAGTAACATAACCTGTGGGTATTGTATAAATGACAAATATTGCAATTATTAAATATCGTACTAACAACAATTAAAAATTTGAAATTGCTTGCTATAAAAATAAGGCTATAAATTGGAGAAATGGAGTTGAGAAAGATTTGAGGTCTAATTTAATAAAATATTTAGTGAAGTTCTTTAAGTCTATGAAATATTCACTAATGCTACAAAAGGAGATGTTGCATCAGGAAAAGAATTATTTATTTGTTTTTAAACACATGATAAAGATTAAATTATTAAAACAATTTTAGAAAAGGGAGATTTGTAAGTAGGAGATAAAGAAAGAGAAGTTTAATTAGATCATTCTTATAGAGACATAGTTAAATTTATATAGGAAAAATGTATCCATGCCACTTCAGGTAGACAACTTACATAATAATCAATTGAGTATGCAATCTCAAAAGTTTAATATGTGGTTAAAAGTGATAAACCTGTTAAATTTTAAGCATTACAATGCATTAAAAAACTTAAAGAATGTTTTTTCATTAAAAGAGCTCCAATGAAAGTATCTATCTCTTTTATTGATGAATAAATGGAATTAGTGTATTAGATTTTATAAGAATTAGAATTTAAAGATATTGTTCAATAAAAAAATAAATTTATTGTTATTATTGATCCTTAATTATTTAGAACATTATCAACAAAAATTAATGAAAAATAATTAAAAAGTTAATTAGAGGTCATAGAAGCAGCAATCAAATAATAAATTGATGGAATTGATAATTTAACTTAAGTTGAATTAGAATAGAGATTAGAAAAATTATAAATTTCAGATTCCTCTGAATCAGATGATGAATTAAATTAGAAGTAAAAATAGAAAGGACCTAAAAAAAATAAATAATAAAAAAAATTATAAGTTTAATAATAATAATAAGTTAAAAAATAATTTTAAGAAGATGAATAGAATCAAATAAAATAAATTTAATAATAATAATAAAAAGATAATGCCAAAGATGATTTGAGTAAATAATTTAAATGTACTTAATGTTTAATATCATTTGACACAAATCAAGAATTTAGATAACATTATAAAACAGATTGGCATCTTCACAATACAAAATTAAAATAAAGTGGAAAGTTATGTTTATCATATGAAGAATTCTTGGATTATTAAATCTAATAAGAAATGACCAAGTGAGATTATCAATCTAATTCATTGATATATATATTATTCAATATCAAAGACTTATCTATATTGTTATGATAATTATTATTATAATAAAATGGTTCTTGAAATAGATGTTAGAATCCTAAAAAATAAAGAAACTTTAGTAGAGATACTTCCAAAATTATATGAAATTCTCTAAACTGGAAGGACATTAACAATTTCTTGGCCTAAAAATTAAAAAGACATTTATTATGAATATTTCAAAGATAATCAAAAAATCAAGAATTTAAGTCAATATTAAACTCTTCTTAATTTAGTAGAAGCAACATTACCTTATCCAGATCTATAAAGCAAAATGTAATTTTAACATTTTACTATCTAGAATTGTAACTCTTGCCTTATATCATGTTGAATAAAAGTAATATCTTGAAGTTTTAAAGTATGTTAAAATGTTAAATCAAAAGAAAATACATTAATCTCTTAGACAATAATATCTCTTTACATTGAAATATTTAAAATAAAATGTTAATGAGATTTAAGACATTAATTAAGTATAAATAATTATTGATATATTGCTTTATGAAAATTAAATATCTAAAGAGGAAATCAAGTAATTTTATGTATTATTTATTAAATATTCTAAGGAACAAAAGAAAATAGATATTGAAAAAAATGAATAAATAAATATTTGGTTTATTGAATAAATTTGGAATTATGAAAAAAATAATTTTAAACTTTTGGATATATTATTTCAATATTATACTAATTAAAATAATCATGAAAAAGCAGAATAAATATTTATGTCTTTTGCAAATTTATAGCATCATTAATATATTGGATTAAATTAAATAAATGTTGAATTTGATTTATGTAAAAAAGAATATGAAAAAAATCTTATTGAAATTGACTCCTTATCTACTATTTTTGAAGATAAAAATACAACTGATGAATCTTTACTTTTTTAATAACAATCATTATAATCTATAACAAGATTAATAGAACTAAAATAAAAAGTTGGTTGTCCATTAGTTGATATGATTTATTTATATTAAAAATAAGCATAGATTTAGAAATCCAGATCTGATTTAGATTTAGCCATAAAAACACTTATACATTGTTTAGAATTAATTAAAGCTGAAAAATTGGTTAATTATAATTCTAGAATTATATTATTAGAATCTCTATGTTATGATCAACTTGGAGATTATTAAAGATCAAAGAATTTATTATAAGAAGCACTCCAATCCTTTTAGGACTCTAACAGTTTAAAAGAAGAAATTAAAGATAAATGTGATCCAAAAAAATTAATTTATACTAAAATGTACTTAGCCAGTACATATTATAAATTAAAAAACTTAGAAAAATCATTGGAAATATTTTATTAAGTTTTAAAAATATAATAACATGTAATTTATATTATTTTATGATAGGAAGACTATGAAAGTCATCTTATAGGTTCAACCTAAAACAATATTGCATCAATTTTATTAAATTAAGGAAAATTTATAGAAGCTAAAGAAATTTGTGAATAGGCAATTGAAAACATAGGTAAAAAATATACAGACTCTGATCCTGTAATGAAGAAAGTTAAACAACTTAAAGAAAAAATAGATGTTTCAGTATCATCACAAAAAACTTAATGAATGGTACTTTATTGATATAAATTTTATTTGTTGTTTATCATAATTAATTAATGAAAATTATTGTTGTTTTATGATAATACTAAATATAATTCATATTTTGATTTAGATTTTAGTTCTCACATAATTGTTCAAAAAAATATAAGATTATCATAAAAAAATATTAAAAAATTTGAATTATATAATTCATATTTTAAATTACTATATCTGCTCAATCAATTACTTAATTGAAAATATAATTAATTAATTAAAGTGTGAATGGAATTATTAATCAACTAAATTTCTCTATTTGTTTAAGGCTCTCTTATTTTAGAATAATTCATTTGGAGTTTACCTTTGATGATATATTTCACTTTGGGAGTCATGAATGAACTACAAAATATTGCTTATATTAATATATTGTCTACTAAAAAGCTATTCAGTACAGCATCTGAAATGGATTTAATTACAATATTGTCTAGACCTAATACATTATTACAATATTCAACTATATTATCTTATATTCCATTAGCATTTTTATGTATATTAATTCTTTGTAGTATTGGCTTCATTTTTATTGTAAAAAATAGATCAGAAAATTTAGTCATTGAGTTATAAATTGCTTTTAATACTAATATTTTCATAAAGGTATTATTTATATTTGTAAATGTCTCTATTGGTGTAATTAAATAAACATTTGGATACATATTGTTAGACATATGTTTTTAGACAATCAAACAAAATATTAATGATATTGTGCAAGTGTCTTTAAATTTAATAGCAATTTTAGGAATATTTATATTAATTCTCTTTTTTACTAATATGTTTTCATATAATTGGGCCTTAGATTTTTAAAGAGAATATTTGATGATAAATGAATCCAATCTAACATATTGTAGAATTGGTATCAAATTTCTATAACTATCCTTCATATTATATATTTAAGATGATAAATTATTTCTAATTACATCATTACTTCTACCTATAATATCATCAATTATATAAATATATTAAATGTAAAAACTAAAACAATTAATCTATGGAAATTATTATAGAGTAATATTAGCTATTAATCTAATAGTAATAACAATATGTTTGTAATATTTATTACATGAAATATTTCCGTAACATAAATTTTAAGAAATTTGGATAATTATGCTTATTTTACCATTTTATTATTTTCAAAATTAAATTAAAATGGATTTATAAAAACATTTTATAAATTTCTAGAATTCCAGTATTGAAGATTGCAATTTAGTTCTGTTCTAAATAATATATCAGATTACTTAATAAAAGAATAGCTTTAATTAACAAATAATTTATCTTATGTTTCTTTAAAGACATACAAAAATGTGTTATGATATTGAATGTACATGTAAATAAAGACTTTTATCAAAGAATTTTTAGTAAATCTCTCATGAAATATATTTTAAAGAACTTCTATCTTAATATGAAAGATAGATATCAACAATGTCATTTAATTGTACATAAGATTAACTTGTATTTAGTTATTTATAACTATTATTTTTTTAAAAGCAATATCTGTTAATTTATTAGTATTTCTAAATAATATTTCAAAAATCAAAAAGGATAAATTTCCAAAATTAAATTTTAATGTTAAACAATTACAATATCAATAAAAAAGTATTCAAAATTAATTAATTACATAAAATTATAGTTTTAAAAGTAGCTTAAGATTTAATGAGATTAGATATTGCATAATAATTATAAAACTAAAAGAATACATCATTTAGTGAATCATAAAAAAATCATACTGCTATTAAAGAATATTTGGAATAAGAAAATTAATATCTATAAATTAAAAACATTCTAAGTTAAGTTATACATAATAAAATTAACTATTTGGAAAAAGTAAATTCAACTACTACCAAATAAAATCTAGAGAAATTAGCTTATAAATCAATATAATATTAAATAGATGGATTATAAAAATTAAAGATTTCCTTTAAATAAACATCAGGTATTATAATTTTATAATTTATAGATTAGAAATCACAAAATATTTTAATGTTTTATAATATGGAAATTTTAAATGATATGATTTCTTCCTCAAATCAAAATTCATCTTCAAATTGTAATGATGAGATTAATTTCAAATATAATAATGCATTTCTGACAAATGAATTTTCTAGTATGTTAATTTAAATAAACAATAAGTAAAATATTAAAATTCTAAAATGTAAATATAATCAATTAGATAAATTTGATAAATTAGATATTTTAAACTTTTAAGATATGATACCTAATTATATTTAGATATCTCATATGAGATTGATTGAAAATTTTATTGCAGGATAATAAAACAAATTTTATTAATAAATTAAAGAATCATACATATAAGTATCATAGTGTTTGTGTAAGAAAATTGATTTATTAATGGATTTAAGTTAATTAAATCTAACATCAATTGAAATGATTGTATTTTTCCGTAAAAAAAAAGATAATTCTTATAGTATTTTTTTAGATGATTAAAAAAGAATCATAAATATTGATGATGAACTTTTTAGTGATGTATTAAACATTGATGGAGTTTTCTCTTAATACTTTATTGGTTTGGATATGAATATCATTTTTGAGAATATTGATTAGTTAAAATAGGATTAAATTTATAATCAATAAACCTTTCATTTTGTAGATCCAAATAAAATAAATTCATCTTATTTTACTAAATAATAATAAATGAAAATTCAAACCTTATGGAATAATTAACAATATTTGTTATGTTATCAATGTGATTTATAATTTTCTTAAAAAGGAAATGAGTTTGGCTCTAATTATTATGAACTTATTATTAAAAATCCAAGACGCAGTTATAATAATGGAGATACTTATATTTCTTAATTTAAATAATCAGAAAATATAATTACTATTACACCTATAGATGAATCAATTATAGTTGATAAACCATTTTTGATAGATTAGAGTATAAATGATGAAAAGTTATATAGTCAATAGTTTATTTAGAAATCTGAATTAGCAGATTAAAATTTGATATTATCAGATATTTAATAAGATGAATAATTAGTTATAATGAAAAATAATGATGAAGAATAAAATATTAGTTAAGAAATAGATGTAAATACAGTTAAGAAAAAACAAAAAAATTAGAAGTTAAAAACAGAAGGCGTATCATCTCAATAATCTGTTATTTCAGCTATGCAAAAATCTATATATTATAGATAATTTTGTTTAGTTAATGATCTTGCAAATTCATAAAAAGTACCTTAAATTTTTAAGAGAATGATATATTTCAGAATATTTTTAATTATTACTTCATTAGTTGGATTTAGTTTGGTAATTCTTTTTATTATAAATTTAGTATTTATATGAAATAGATCTATTTCATCATTTCCAAGAGGATTTCAAATTATTAAGTATGAAAAATAATATATTTTATCCTATTTTATCTTTTTAGCTGATACGTTTGTCAATTGTAAATTACAATGTTGAACTCTATTTAAAATTAATTACTTAATAGTAATATTTGGAATTATTAATTTATCCAAAATCTAAATTAATAGGAAGCTATGATAAATTAAAAGTTGGTATTTCAAATATCATATCTGAACCTCTTTTTTTTACTCTTTATCATGATTAATACTTAAATCTGGAATTTTTATAAAGAGGAAATGTTGGAGAGATGAATGAACTTGATCTTCGTAATAGTTTGATTACTTTATTGAATTATTAATTTGATACTTAAAATGCATATATTGAAAATGGATAAGCTGATTATGAAAGTTCTTACTTTTATTATTGTTACAAGAATTTGCATACTTTATTAAATGCTTTTACAGAAGCAAATGAAATTGCCTTTGGAAATTCATAATAAAAGCAGGATGATTCTTAGTAATAAATATTAGTTATCTTTTTTGTTATTCTTTTCTTTATCATTATGATATAGTCAATAATAACATTTTCTCATTTACAATTTTAAATATAAAAAGAAAAACTCAAACTTTTACTATTAAATTAAGATTAAAATTACATAAATATAGAAATTCAAAGATTAACATTACTATAAGAATTGATTGATAAGAATTACTATTAAATTTAACATTATAAACTTAATTTTTCAGAAAAAGATGAGTATTTTAGTAAAATTAAATCTTTATGTACACAACATTCTAGATAATAATTAAAAAAGAATACAGTAGATGCATAATATTATCATCCAAAAGGAATTTTACTTACATTAACCCATTTTGTTATTTTAATCTTAGTATTCATCATTTTTACTGTAAGAATGTATGGTTCATATTCAAAAATAAAATAAACTGGATAATTGTATGAAGTATTTGCTAGTTTAAATATTAATATTTTAAGTTTATATCAATCAAGAGAAATTCTCTTTTATAAAACAGCTTTACCATTTTTAAATTAAACAGATCTAAATGAATATTATAGTATTGCATAATAAGGAATAAAAGGATTGGAAAATTATATAGATAAATAATGGATAATTTAATCTAATAATTATTTCTTTGATTCAGATTTTTTTAATCTTTTGAATAGATTTAGTAATGGAAATTTATGTGAAGAGTTATATGTAATTTAAATTAATTTAAATTAGTTAATAGATTAATCTTTGAATATTTGTAATAATACTCTTGGTGGTGTTTTATAAAAAGGAATTTCATCTGCTTTGGTTGATATTAAGAATTAGATAAAGACTGAATTTGAATTAACTAATTTTACAAATAGATCAAATTTCCCAATTTTAGAATTAGAAGGAATTTCAATTTTAAGTTATGGTTTATAGTACTTAATTGAAAAATTTAATGAAGATTTATCTTCTTATAATTATTAAGTAGAAACCAATTATAATGTAAGATATATAATAATATATAATTTAGATTACTATGATAATTTGTTTATGCATTTCATTATTAAATGGATTATTGTTATTAAAATTTGATTAGATAATTTAATTGAGAAATTATAAATTATTGACTAAATTTATTTTTTCTGTTCCTTTGGCATCAATTTTATTTGATGACAACTTTTTAAGGAACACAAGAAGTTATTTTGTGAATGAAAGATTGATATGAATTTAAATTTGTTTATTTTAATAATTTATTTATTTTGAAAAGTAATTGATAGAATTTTTTTTGATTTTAACAAATAATGATTATTTGTATTATAATTTAAATTTACATTAATATTTTGATATTTATTTTCTTCTTTATTATATTTTACAATCTATTTTCTTATTGGAGGATACAAAATATTAATATTCAATAACTTTTAAATAAGTATTAAATAAATAAATTAACTGTTAATGAGTGAAACAAGCTTAATAACTTATTCTGATAGAGAAATGGAGTCATCTCTTAAGGATTTATTAGAGAGGATTTTGATGTAATTGGAGAAATATATTGAGAATAAAAATGATTTAAATGAAGTTGAATAAGAACTGAATGATTATGAAAATTTGACTTAATTAGTAAATATCATAAAAATCATCTTTACTAATCTAATGTTAAAAATTGATAAGAAAATCCAGTAATTATTCAAAATATGAAAGGAAATTAGAAAACAGTATAGATCCAAATATGACATAAAAAAGTATAAGAACAGAGGATGAATATGAAAAATTAGAATAATCAGTTATTAAATATGAGAGTGAGATAAGGAATCATATTAGGGTATTTAATAAATATGATTTGAACTTAGTTAGAACAATAATTGAAATTATATACAGAATCAATTTAATAAAAATTAGATGATAGTGAAGCAACAAGAAATGAGTTATTAGAAACAACTAAAAATATTATGAATGTATATTGAATTCAGATAATAATATATTAGAATTTGAAAAGAGAGAATCAAAAATATTATGAAATAAATTAATCTTTGTAAACTGAAATTATATCTTACAAAGATAAGATAGAATTACTAGAGTTTGAACAATAAAAAAGAACAATTGAGCTTGATCATGTAGACTATGAAGTTCAGTAATTAACCAAAAATACCTAATAAATAAAAGGGTTAGTTTAAAGAAAGCCAAATAATAAAGAAATTAATAAAATGAATTCTTATTCAGAACATAAATTAAGCAGTTAACTCTAGGAAAGTACTGACTATCCTACTTAATCATAAGGATCATTGAAATAAAATTATCTCAATATTTTACAATATGGATAGAATAATCAAATCTAATCATTATAATAATCAATTAATCAATAATAAGATTAAATCAAAAACTATTATAAAAAGCATAATTCGATTTCTTCTATTAATGATTTAATACAATAATAAAATATGATTAAAAATATTAAGAAAAATATAGGAAATTATACAGTATCTAAAAACAATTCCTAAAATTAATCTATGTTATAGAAAAATATTCATTGTAATTATATAAATAATTATTTATAGAAAATATTTAAACATAGCCTAGAAGTAGAAGTGGTAGTGCTAAAAGAAACTTCAATTAAAAATAGAAGACATCTATTCATTAATGATAATAGTTAAGGTGAATCATTGATTGATTAAAGCCTTAATAATAATTATTATTTATGCGCTCATAGAATTAAAACTGGTTACAATCATTCAAATTTTATTTAATCGATATTATTTAAATATTTTTTTTATTCAATAATTAATATTAATAATATGATTAAAGCATTTGCTTAGAATTATTTCAAGTCCTTATAAGAGAGCATATGCTATGGATTTGCAACAAAGATGCAAGCTAGTTCAACCTAAAAAACTAAAGATTCTGCAGGAAGAAGATTAGGAGTAAAGAAATTTGGAGGAGAAGAAGTTTTTCCAAATGATATTTTAATAAGACAAAGAGGTTTTAGATGGAAACCAGGATAGAATACTTCAGTTGGAAAAGATCACACTATTCATTCTAAAGTTGAAGTATGGTGATTTTATCACTAATTATAAAGGGTATTGTACACTTTAGAAGAGATCCTTATAAGTTTAAGAAAATATTTTATGTTGATGTGATTCCTAGAGAGAATCCAAATAGAACTCATTATCCTCCACCACCATACAGTTATCATCCTGAATTGTTTCCTGAATTAGCTAAGAATAATCCTGAACCACTTGTTTTATTAAAAAAAAGTGAAGAAAAAGTGGAAGTATAAATCAAATTAGAAGGCTATAAAATATCCACAAAATAATATAAACCAATTGAAATTCCTATTGATTATAAACCAGAATTTTCACTTTCCACTTTTTAATAATAGTTGAGTATTAATAAATAGTGAAAAATTTATAAATGTATATTAAAATATTCAAATAATATATATATGATTAAACCTTTCAGAGGAACTGATGGAGCATAATATGCTCACAATTTTAAAAATACATATCTCTCAGAAGCTGAACTTTAAAAGCCTTCTAAAGAGGTTAGTGAATAGATTGCAATTCACACTAAAAAATAATTAGATTAATTAGTGTTCTCTAAGTAATGTGCAACTATGGGATAATTGAGAGCATCAGATGGAGCTGCCCAATAATATATTAAATATACTCCAAAACAAGGTGATTCATAATAAACTGGTTAGGAGAGAATAGTAAAGTAGAAGCATTTATTTATTTTAAAGAGTTTAAGCCCAGTAATTGGATCCAATGGAACCTCCTCGTTTTAAACATAAAAGAATTCCTAAAGGTCCTGGATCACCTCCACCTATATAAATGAGATCACCACCAAGAAAATTAACTTTAAAAGATCAACAAGATTGGAAAATTCCTCCATGCATTTCTAATTGGAAGAATGCCAAAGGTTATACAATACCATTAGAAATGAGATTATCTGCAGATGGTAGAACACTTTAACATGTATTTAATTATTATCTATTTTTAAAAGCATACAGTAAATGCCAAATTCGCTTAATTAACTGATGGTCTCTATATTGCAGAAAGATAATCTAGAAAAGAATTAGAAGAAAGGAATAAGATTATAAAATCTATGCAATATAAAGAATATTAAGAAAAAGAAGAAGAAAATAGATAAAAAGCTATGGAAGCTAGATCAAGAAAGAATCTACTTTTGGAATAAACAACTAAATAAGAAGATGTCCCTGAAAGTTAATCATAACAAGATATATAAGCAAGAGAAGAATTAAGATATTTAAGAAAAAGAGAACTTGAAAGATAATTAAGATAGGAGAATCAAGGAAAGAAAAGCAAGCTTAATAGAGATAATGACAGAGACATTAGTGAAAAAATTGCCTTAGGTTAAGCTTAACCTACAACTCAAAATACTTTATATGATCAAAGATTATTCAATTAAACTCAAGGAGTAAATCATGGATTTGGGGATGAAGATGAATATGAAGCATTTGACAAACCCTTATTCAATGACAAACCAAGAGCCAATCTATATACTGGTATTTAACAAGGTGAAGAAGATGATAAGTATTATTCTTAAATTATTTTTAGTAATAAGAATATAAGAAATGTTCCAGTTTAATTTGAAAAAGCTGATAATATCTTTGGTATGGATTCATTCATTGCAGATCCTGTTGCTAAAAAAGTTAAGCTTGATTGACCAATCAAATATATATATTTTCATTTACATAACATTCTATTCATTAATTTATCTGTTAAATACAATATGTTTTAATATTCATAAGTAACATAAATCATAACATTAGAGAATACTCTAGCCAACATTAAGAGTTCCCTCATAAATTTAATAATCTATTATTATGCCACTTGAAAATCATCCTTAATTGCAATCCACTAGAAAAGTCTAACTTAATTTTCATCCAACTACTTTAAATACATCCCCTATCAAAATTGTGAATAATAATACGCCCCTCAGTCCTAATCTTATAGTGTATTCTTAAAACCATTTCTCTTTGACTCCTTTAAAAATACCATCTAATACACGTTAAAATTTGACTCCACCTAAAAATTTAAATGCAAATATCCCATAATAAAGAAACTTTACACCAACTGGAATTCTTAATAAAAAAGATCAAACTGATAAAAATACACAAAACCTCAAAAATAGAGTACAAATTGATTTTGGAATCTCTCCTTCAATTCAATAGTAAACAGATAGAAAAGAAACAGAATTTTTAAATGATAAATAATAGAGTTCTTACAATAATTTATAAGAATTATTGATTTAATCAGAATTTAAAATAAGTCAGTTGGAATAAAAAAGTAGATAAATGCAAGATTAAAGAAAAAGGCTTCATTAGTAATTTATATCTAAATCCCCTAAATTGGGATCATTATTATGAATACTAATTTTTCTTATTTTTATTAATTATAAATATAACTTAATTCTCTTAATTAAATAGTACTAAATTCTAATTAATTACTTATAATAAAATAAATGATATAAAATTTATCTTTTAATGATTATAATTTTAATAAAAATTATGAATGATTATAATTTTAGATAAATTTAAAATACATCAATAAATAAAAACTGAACATATAAATAGAGGAAACCAACAATGCATATGAAAATGAAAAAATAAATAATCAAGTTTTTAAATTGTCCTTCAACAATTTTGTATATGATATAAGTATATTATTTAATATTTTAATATAATTCATTTTTTCTTTAAGAATTAATCTAATTGTTCAGCTTTAGTAAAATGATTTTATGCAGTTTATGTGAAAACGGATCCATAAATCTCCTTTTAACCTGGGATTTAATACTAGGGATTCAAAGGATTTGTATATCGAACATTAGGCAATCCTTTTTTCAAAGAACCTGATTTTGCAGCTTACAAATCTGCAAGACTGTTAGTTTCACGATAATCTTTCCTGTCCCCAGTCCTTAGGAATCGAGATGACAAAGATCCAGGTTAAGTGCCATCAATATCTTATATGAGTAGACTTTGCCTTTGTTCCTTCAAATAAAGTGGTTTACTTTGACTTCCTTCTATATTACCAATAATTATTTTATTTCTAAATTTATAAAAAATGATTACCCTTTTTCATCATAATGTTCATATGTAGGTTCAAGTGGATTTGAAATTCTGGTAGTTTTATGTAATAAATAATCGTTAATATCTTTAACATAAAGAGAGTCAATTTTATCTATAAACATTAAACTTAATCTCTACCTTTTGGTTGAAATCTTGGAATTTGATGAGATCCATAAATATCTTCATGTTCTGATTCTTTGATAATGAGTTTTTTATGTGTTTATTTAGGTTAAGCTCCTTGGATATCTTAAATGTTATGAGCATCTCTAATAAATTTAGGTGGATCTGGTTGAGAGGCCATAAAAGTGGGGAGCTTATATTATGGTTCGAGAGGATTAAGAGGATGACGTGAAGTTTAAAATTTAACAATATTTGGCCTTGTGCCTTTGATGTCATCTAAAGCTAACTGTAGATCAGCTCTATTGGAAGGACGTATATTTGACTTTGATCTTGCTCCTTCAATGTCATCATTTTTGTTGATAAAATCTTATTTATGATAATAATTGCATTTTTTAGCAACTGATCCTTCAACATCATGATTATTGGATGTTTCTCTTGGGGTGAGGATTTGCTTTGAATTTTCTAATTAACTTGTTATAATAATATGAGTTACTGATTGTTTGCAAATTCATTAGATCAGTACGTTTAGGAAAAGGCCATTAGTAGGGATCATTACTCATTAAGATGTTATATAAAATAATAATTATTATATATATATATATGATTATTAGACAACTAAGACTTTTCAATACTTTAATCAGGCCGATTTAATTTCGATTTATCTTTTAATAAAAGAATAAAATTTTTAAGATGTCTGATTAGCCAGTTCAACCTCCAGAAGAAGGTGCAGAAGGAGCATAAAAGTCAAAGAAATAATTACAAAGAGAAAAAAAGGAAGCAGAAAAAGCTTAAAAAAAATAAGAAATTCAAGAAGGTATTTATAAATTGATCTAAACATAGCTTAAAAACAATAACAATAATAATAGCAAATTTAGGAAGAAGATTATTGTGTTGGAAGGTATGGAGATTTGAATTTGATTCAATCACAAGAGAGAACAAATAGAAAATGGATCAAAGTTGGTGATGTTGATTAAACTTTGGTTAACTAAGTAATTTTGGTAAGGGCTAGAATTCATAATTCAAGAGTAAAGGGAAAGTTGGCCTTCTTGGTTTTAAGAGAGAATTATAATACAATTTAAGTAGTGGCTGAAAAGGGTGAGTTTGCAAGTGCTTAAATGTTAAAGTATATATCAGGTATACCCCTTGAATCTGTTGTTGATATTGAAGCACTTGTTAAATAACCAAATAAGGAGATATTATCTTGTACATAAAAAGTGGAATTAGAAGTTAGATCAATTAAAGTAGTAAGTAGATCTTTACCTATGTTACCATTTTAAATTGAAGATGCTTCAAGAAGAATTACAGACTTTGAAGATGGAGTTTAAGATATGAAATAAGAAGAACCTTAAATAAAATAAGATAAATAAGAGAAATAAGATAAAAATGAAAAATAATAAATATAAGTCATGTTAAAAACAAGATTAGATAATAGAGTTATAGATCTTAGAACTCCAGCTAAATAAGCAATTTTCAGAGTTTAATCAGGTATTGGATTATTATTCAGAGAATTTTTGGTAGAAAATGGATTCATTGAAATTCATACACCAAAATTGATTGGAGGTACTTCTGAAGGTGGTACAAATGTATTTAAATTGAAATATTTCAATTAAGATGCTTGTTTAGCATAATCTCCTTAATTATATAAATAAATGTGTTTGATGGCTGATTATGATAGAGTTTTTGAAGTAGCTCCTGTTTTTAGAGCTGAAAACTCTAATACACATAGACATCAATGTGAATTCATTAGTATGGATATTGAAATGGTTATTAAGGAACATTTTACAGAATTATTAGATTTGATGGGAGATTTATGTATATATATGTTTAAGGGAATTGAAAAGAGATACTAAAAGGAAATAGAAATAATATCTTAATAATTCCCATTTGAACCATTCAAAATACCAGAACCAGTACTTAAATTAACTTTTGAAGAAGGTGTTAAGATGTTACATGAAGCAGGTGTTAATCAAGATCCTAATGATGATTTAGATACTACTAATGAAAAGACTCTTGGAAAGTTAGTTAGAGAAAAATATGGAACTGACTTTTACATTCTTCACAGATATCCAAAGAAAGCAAGACCATTTTATACTATGCCTTGTCATGATGATCCTAATTATACTTTATCCTATGACTTTTTCATGAGAGGAGAGGAAATCGTTTCAGGAGCATAAAGAGTACATGATCCAGAACTCTTAATGAAACAAATTAAAGAGAAAGGTATTGCTGTTGAACCTTTAAAGGATTACATTGATTCTTTCAGGTATATATTATAAAATAATGATTTTAGATATGGTGCTTTTCCACATGGAGGATGTGCCTTTGGATTAGAAAGAGTTGCATTCTTATATTTCAATCTTAAGAATATCAGAAATGCATGTATGTTTCCAAGAGATCCTGTTAGATTGTTCCCTTGATTTAATAATACATAAATAGAACAATAAAAAAATTAATCATAAATCTGGTTATACAACAAATTATGAAATTAATTCAAATCCTTATCTCATTCTTTAAATGTGATCTATTTAAATATCTCTAACTGCACATTACAAGAAAGAAACATAAAGAAATCTTGAACAATAATCCTTTTGATCTTATTCATTTTTTGTGTGGAATAACAAAATTACAGTAGTCTTTTATGATTAAGCTCCTTATAATGATTCAAAATTATAATCCGTATAATGTTGTTCATGAGTCACTAATAAATTAGATTCCAAGTATTCACTATTAATATGGATAAATGATATACTGATCTATTTCTACAGGATCATCTGATATTACTAAATCAACAGAATTATTTTTGTACTATGATTAATATTCTCTAATAACTCCATATGCATTGTAATCTTAACCAAAAAAAGATCTAAAAGTTGAACTTTTGGCCTTAACTAAATGCTCAATATTTTATAAGGCCTCTTAAAATAAAAAGTTATTGAATAATGAGAAATCATATAAAGTATGAGATCCTATTATTATAACGATCAATTATTTTTCTTAAGCTTAAGTGATAATATCATTCAATTTCATTTCATCCTCAAAATTGAAGATGTCTTTATTAAAATAATAAACAAGAGGATAATTGTTATGATACATTAATGAAACAGTAGTAGCTGGATGAATGATCAAATAAGGTAAAACAAAATGAGTATTATTAGACTTTTAAACTGACATAAAAAGTGAAGAAGTTTGATTATTACCTAAACAAATAGGAATGCTTTAATTTTTATTATCATCTGATAATAATAGATTACTTGAATCATGTTTTCCTTCACATTTTTAGATACATTTACCATAATTGTTTAAGTAGTACTCTTAATATGAATAATTGATACTTCATTTTAACATTTATAACAAGTTCCAATAATATGCATACACTCAGCACATCTATCTTCACATTTTTTACATTTCTTTTCATCTTTATTCATATAATAACCACTTTCACATAGTATTTCACCATATCTAGGATCTTTTTAAACTTCATTAATTATATCTACATTCTATGTTTCATTCTTATTTTTATAATATTCTTTTATTTCTTTATTTAATTAATCTGTTTATTTTTATAATTCTAAAATTTATGGTTTTTTATTTATTTACCTTCAAAATCTATATTATTTTCTTCCTCTTAATTTTCTTATTTATCCTCTTCTTTAGTTGTTTGATTCTATGTTTAATTATTATTTTCTGATTTTTTTTATGAATCATTTCTCATATTTATATCAATTAAATTATTATCTTCAAGTTAAATTTAATCTTCTTTAGAGTCCATTATTTTATCATTGTGATCAGGAATAACTTTAAATTAAAACACGTATTACTTGTTTTATTTACTTTTGTATAATTTTAAATTTTATTTTTGCCAGTTTTATTTTATCCATTGCCTGTTGAATTACTCTAACCAATATATATAAGAATGGCACCAAGAAATGTGACTATGACAATCCAGATTAAAAAGGATTTTTAACTAGGCCTAGGTTTTTCTTACCTTTTAAGTACAATATCTAATTCTCCATCATCATCTACTATGTCTAAGGGATGCTAATCGTTAGATATTGGCTTATAACTCATCCTAAAATTTATTAATTATAAAAATAATTCAATAAATAATTTTTAATAACACTATTTTAGAATAATGTTGTCTGAATATTATGATATAATATTACATTATAAATAAGAAACATGAAATAATTTTAAATATAAATTAAAACAACAATTGCAAATTAGTAGATGTATATGATTACTATTTTCAATTAAAATATTCAAAATTTGTGAATCTTCTTTGTTATTTAAGTGTTCCCCTTCTTTTTATTTAATTTCTTTGTTTTTTAAAGATCAGAAAATCCATAAAATTCCAGATAATTGATTTCTCCTATTCTTATATGCTTAAAGTCTGTTAAGTTTTTTAATTATGTAATTCTCTTTTCTCCACTTATTATTTAATTTATTTATTTGTCACAATGCTTTTCATTAGGTATTACAGAGATCTATTATTATTTAGATAGTATTTCTAATCCTGGTTTATAAATTATAAATTTTTCATCACTGAAACAACATCTCTTAGTCATTAGTGGTTCATTTGATCCATCTTCACAATTTTCAAATTTAAGTCTTTTAGCTAACATAGATGTTATTTCTTCAACATCATATGTTTCAAAATTACTTTCAAAATAAAAATCATCTATTAATTATGATTTTGTCTATTATTTTCTTTTAGATGGAACTATTATTTTTCTTTACAACATGAAAATTTTATTTTTAAATATTTTTAATACAATAATTTCCATAAGTTTTATTATATTGCATATATTTTATTATAATGAAATTTATTTATTAAATTGTTCACTATTACCCATTCATTCATTCTATTAATATTTATATTACATTTAATTCTTTTAATTATAAACATTAATTATTATGATAATTGTCCTATTCTTATGCTTATTAATTGAACTTCAAAAATGCAATAAAGAAATAAATCATGAAAATAGAGTAAATTTATTAATATAATAGTCAGTTGATAACCCTCATACAGCAATATTATATGGTAATTCAACCTTGGGTTATTATTATATGAATATATATGTAGGTGAAAATATGACAAAGCATAGTGTTATTGTAGACACTGGTAGCTAAACTACAACAATTAAATGTGATTAATGTCATCAATGTGGACAACATGAAAATCCTCCATATTAATTTAATGAGAATAATTACAATAGCACTGATTTGAGAATAGATTTCAATTGTTCCTCTTTTTAAAATAATAGATGCAATTTTGCTTCTTATTATGTAGAGGGGAGTTCAATAGGTGGATTTTATTTTAAAGACAAAGTTTTAATAGGAGATGGATTAATTTAATTAGATGATTAATATGTAAAACAAGAATCATTTGAATCAATTCTTGGATGCACTTAATTTGAGACTGGATAATTATATAATTAACTTGCAGATGGTATATTTGGACTTGCACCTATTTCTAATTATTCATAATTTCCTCCAAATTTGATAGATTTTATAGCCAAAAAAGATAAAGCATTTTCAATAAAGAGAGGATTTTCTATTTGTTTAAATGATGATTATGGTTATATTAGTGTTGGTGGATATGATTAATTAAGATTAGATCCTGATTTTAAAATAAATAAGATCAAATTTAAACCTAGTTAATAATATTAAGTCAATTTAACTAAAATAGCTTTTGGGGATCAAATCTTTACTATTGATGATAGTATTAATACTTAAGGTTAGGGAATATTTATTGATTCAGGAGCTACTATTTCATATATGGATCATAAGATATATAATTAATTAGTATAGGGAATTAAAGATCATTTTGAAATAAATTAAATTCCAATAAAATCTTTTATTTAATAATAGATTTGTTTTGAATTTATTTAAAATGATTCTAATTCAGATTACTATTAATATTTCCCAACAATGAAATTTGTTTTTGATGATGATATTGAAATTCATTGGAAACCATAAGAATATTTGAATATTTAGAATAAATAAGTTTGCATAGGAGTAGATAAATTATCAGATAGAGTTATTTTGGGATAAAATTGGATGAGAAAAAAAGACATTCTTTTTGATTTGGATTAATAAGAGATCTCTGTTGTAACAGCAAATTGTACTTTGGATTATTTTAAATTGTAAGTCATAAATACTTCTGATAATTAAACAGATAAATAAAATCAATAAGTTGTTAAAAATATCAGATTGCCAAGTGTATTGAAATCAAATATAAAAGAAAGAGAGGATGAAAATAAAGATTAAGATAATGAAATTGTAAATAAAGTGAATGAGATTATATCTAAATAAGATGTTGGAAAAAATGAAGAAGATGAACATTCATGGTTAGAAATATTCTTCTACATTTTCATAGTTGTTATTACATTAAAAGGTCTAATATTTTTAGGACTATATATTATGAAGAGATTAGGAGGGTATATCTATATTTATTATAAATTTATTTAGTAATCTTTATACTTATCAATAAAAACATGAGAGATTTTAGAAATTAAATAACTAAATTCACATAGATGATGAAGAGGAAAGAGATTCTACAGAACATAAAATTGAGTTAGTTATACAATAAAGTGATATAATTGCTTGAGCTATTTATCTATAAAAATATTTAATATAATTAATTTGTAATTTACAATGATACCAAATACAAAAAGAGATTTAGTTGCTATAGAATATTTATAACAAAATGTTTATCCTGGATTATAACCAGCATTAATGAAAGTATTTAGAATAATTAAATTAGTTAATTGATCATGTTGTTAAATCAGATGAAGTTAGAAAACATTAAGAAAGACTTAAAAAAATAAAAATATTTGACAAAATTGAATAAAAAAGAGTTGAAAAAGAGAGACTTAGAGCTGAACTAGGATCTGAGTATGAATCTTCAGAAGGATCAGTTGATTTAGATGAAATGGGAATTAATTAATCAGAGTTTCATAAATATATGGGTAAAGATCAAAAAGAGATTCAATCACCATTGCCAATGGATGAATAAGCTTAATAAGGAGGAGCAGAAGAATAAACTTCTTAGGATATAAAAAAAGACACTTTATTATCATTAGGAGAAATAAGGGAAGATTAAGAAGATGAAGATTAAGCAGATAAACATGAATTAGAAAAAATGAAATAATTTCTTAGATAACAAAGAGAAGAAATGTCATTTAATCCTTTGCTATTCCTAGCTCAATAGATTAGAGATATTATAGCTGCAAACAATTGAGTAATTTAGATATATAAAATGTTTTTTAATTATGATTAAACATTATAAAACAAAGATTTTTATGGATTTTATATTATAATTTTTATGACAGAAAAGAAAACTACAGCTGATTATAATCGTTTACAGAACAGAAATAATCAATTTAAAAAATGTTCTGATTGTCTCAATAATACTATATCTAAAAATCCTATTGCCAACATCTTTTTAAAAATGGAATAAGCGTAATCCTATTATTCATTAATAGATTATGTTCCAGTTGTATCAATACAAATCTCTATGTAATACCTAAAACATAAGAATTTTCAGATGCAATCACATTCCCATTTACTATCTATAAAAAAATATTGTGCAAAATACATAAACATGAATAAAGATTAAAATGTTAAGAATGCTCTATTTATTTGAATGAAAAAAATTATGCCAAATGTCCTTTCTGTGAGTTTAGTATATTCAGAAGAAATTTGAAAAAATGGAGTATGTAATTTTTCTTGTATTATATATAATATAGTTTATACCCAATTCATAAATGTGAAGTTTGTAATCATTATTAATGTCTAAAATGTTAGTCAATTCCTGGAATTATGGGAAATGATGCTATTGAATGTTACACTTGTTCAGAAAGAAAATAAGATTAGTATTTCCACATAAAACATGCAATCAAATAAATGAATACTTTTAAAGGAATACAATTTTTAATCACCATCTTTTGTGTTGCTATTTTTACTCCTATTTAAATTATGGGCAAAACTACTTCTATCACAAAGTAAATCATAGATTGGTAACCCTTATAATAAGTCACTCCCAGATAATACTTATTTAAATTAGTATATACCCTTATAATAGGACCATTCTTATGGTTATGGATATATCTAAGATACTTTTTTATTTTGTTTTGGGAAAGCTATTCCGACAACGTTCGCCTGTTATATCGGTAAATGATCCCTTAACCTTGATAGCTATATTGATATACATTATTTAGATATTATAACATCAATAAAACTCTGAATAATTAGAAAATACATCACTCTCTTTCTCAACTGATTCATCAATAGATTTTTCATTCTACTTTTCCTTATTGGCAGCATTCTCATCAAAACTAAAAACTTTCACTTTTTTTCTAAACTTTGAAAATAATTCTTCATTCACAAAATTCTCATATTAACATTATTTTTACTTTTCTAACTTCAATTAAATATTTAAAATATTTATGATTCCTCTCCTTTCTAAGTGCTCTAACTTCTGATATTGTAAATTTCCTCTCTTTTTAAAATTGTAAATCCTCTAATTTTAAAAATACTTCATCTTCAGAAGACTTTAATTACTAAATTCTTTTATATTAATTAAAAATTGCATCTAGTTGACTGCTTTTAGGATAATGCTTATTTAATTATAGAATTAATTACTTTTAGTTTAACCATTTTTAAATCTTCTTCAGGATCTAATATAGCATATAATTAATACTTATTGTAAAAAAGTGTTACTTTCTTATATCTCTATCCAAGTTTGCTTGTTTTGCAGCATTAACTTGATTTTAATTTAATTCTTCTCCATCAACAATTTCATCTTGAATATTTTTCTATTAATTATCTTCTTAATCATCCGAAACACTATTACTACCACTTTCAGACATAAATTTTAATATTATAAAATTTTATAGAATTCTTTGATTATAATTATTATTATAGCTAAAGAAATTATTAAATAAAAAACAACCACTTTTTAATACTTGTTTTAGATATATAAATAGAATCAGATTTTTTTTCGAAATGGAATAGAAATATAATTTTTATAAGGATTAAAAAAGTTAGATTTTCTTGAACTGATTTTTATTCTAACTTTAATTAGAAATTTTAATTCATTTATTGATTCTACTTATCAATATTCTAAATAGGAAATTATGATATTATTATATATTAAGAGATATTCCTATAAGATATTTAGCATCAATAACAATTCTATATAGAAAAAAGATTGAAAAATTCATAAGCAGATTAAAAAGGGAAATTGTGTAAAATGAAACATTTTTATAAATGTTCTATTTAAAAAAAAATGAAAAAAAATATTTTAATTAGTATAAAAGAATAAATTCAGAATTCTATCTTTAATATTGATTTCTAAAAATATTAAAACACTTAATAGAAAAAGAGATAATTATATTATTATATAATATAAACAAAATGATATCAAATAGCTAAACTAAATATCATGTTAAATTTGAAGATGGTACTATTAAAGAAATAGAATGCGAACCTACTTAAATAAAAAAAATTATAAGTAAATCATATCATCTGCCATATGAGAATATTATATTAATTAATACACATAATAATAGATTATATTCAGCATCTAATAGTTTTATTCAATTTCAAAATAAAAGTATAGATTTGAATGTTTTGGACATTAATTAGATTTTAAAAGAAAACATTAATTCCAAAAAGAAAATTATTTAACTATAAAATAATGAAGATGATTTACAAAATGAAATAGTTTAATTAAAGGAAACAAGTAGAGAAATTATCACTTAAATGTAGAAAAATAAAGATGATAATTAATATATTATTTAATAAAAAGATTAGAATTTTCAATAATTTTAGAGGATGGAACAATAACATAAAGAAAAATTGACGGCTTAATTATAATTGTATGAATAAAAGATAGCATAAATTAATAGAAATAAAGAACAATTATAATAAGAGAATGAGAATCTATAGAGAAAACTATAAGAGTAAATATAGATTGCATAAAAATAAGAAAGGAACTTTATAAATGAGAAGTTTATTTTATAATAAAAAGGGGATAATCAATTAAATTTCAATCACTAAATTTATGAGTCTTAGATACTTGCACTTTAAGTAGATATAACAAATATGAAACAATAAATAAATAAATAAAATAATTTGATATAACAATTAAAAGATGAAATTGAAGATATAAAAGCATTTTATAAACAATAAATTTAGGATTTAGAAACAGAATAAAAAAACTTGGAAAATCATTACAAATAAAAAATATACAAACTGGAAAAAGGAATAAATGAAATTAATTCAAGTATAAATTTCTCTGATAACAATTTAAATTTCCAAATTAAAAATATTTGTAATGAAGCAATTCGAGAAATAGATTAATTTTAATAAGAAATGGATAATGAAGAGAAAAATCGTAATTTTTAAATTTAAATGAAATTGAAGGAAGGAAATAATGAATTATAACTAAAGATTTAAAAGTTATAATTATAAATTAAAAATATTTCATCTTAATTAAAAATAGCAGAAACTGATTTAGATTATTAATAAAAAAAATATTAAGAAGAAATTGATATACTGAATGTTTAATTAAATAAAGCAAAAAAGGATTTAGATGATAAATAGGATGAAGTCAATTAATATGTATTAACTAATAATCAATTATAATCTGAAAAATAAGAATTAGATTAGTATAATTAAGAATATGAACATCGCATACAATAATTAGAATAGGCCAAAACTAAATTGGAAAATAATATAAATGAATTAGAAGAAAAATATAGATTTAAACACAATTAACATTTATTATCAGAATAAACAATAATTACAAAAAATGGTGAGATTAATATGTTGGAATCTGTTATTGAAAAATAAAAATAATAAATAAATAAAATGAATTAAAAAATTGGTAGACTTACAGAGATATTAAAATAGATTAGTAATAAAAATTTAGGAAAAGGATTGGAGAAAGTTATATCTCCAGTAGGATAACTATTAAATTCAAGATATGGAGTTCAAAAATTTAAGGATAATCCAAATTGTTAGAGTGATGAAACTGATTATTTGGTTTATAGAATCAAACCATCAAACAACTTTATATAGTCGATAAGAAAAGGATAATTTATAAATTTGTAATAGTTATTAGATGTAGACCCCATAGGTGAGATCAAATCATCAAGAAGTATACAACCAAATGAAGAAGGAGATTTAATGAAGGTTTATATTATAAAAGTAGAAGATACATAAATTAAAGAACTAAGAAATCGATATTTAATAAGAAAAGATTTATAAAAAGGATAAAATTATGATAATAAAATAGATGCAGCAGCACTTAGTTTAAATAATATACTTACATAAGTATTTATGGATCAATTTGTAAAAGATTTGTCTGAATTATCAATAAGAGTATTATAGTTTTCTATTGCTCCTTAATATGTAATCTAATAAAAAGGTAATTAATTAGTTAAATTTAGGAAAGGAATTATATTATTATTGTGAAGAGATAATTGAAAATAATATCAAATAAATAAATGGAGGAGAGTAAGATCTTGGAAGTAGTTAAGATGAATAATTTTTAAACTCTTTTTCTAAATATTCACATAAATTGAGTCAATCAGAATTAGTTATTAGCTATATAAATACTGTATAGGAATATATGTATGATATGATTGTTACAACTGAATTTGGTTGTTTTTCTGAAATTGATTAAGGAAAAGATGAATATATAAGGGCTATAGATGCTATGGAATCAGCATAAGCAATTAATTTTGGAGAGTTCTATAATTAAAAATTGGAATTGAAAGCTTTAGAATTTATTTAATGATTAGAAAGATTTTTACATAAAATAATTCCAATATCGTTTTTATTATTTATTATAATTTAAAAATGAAGGTTTGTGTTTTCATTTTGATTATTGGATTAGTTCTTTGTAACTAACTTAATGGATAGAATAATCTTAGACAAGATTATTAGTTTGCACCATGGAGTTTGGATTGTACAAATAGATGTTAAAGTGCTGGAGGAGTTGTTTGTGGTTATGAAACATAAGTTTGTTGCAAATCAGTATAAAGATAAAAGTATTCTGATAGGGTAGATGTTAAAAAGGTTGGAAATCTGAATCATGTGGTACATGGGATAGAATTCATGTTTTAAATTGTGTTCCAGGACCTAGTAGCAAATGATATATAAAATAATTATTAATATCAACTATTGTATATTTATATTTCAAAGTTTTGCTAATTATAACAAACTTGTTAATGATAAATCATCCTTAAATTCTACATCAGTTTTGTATAAGGAAATAATTATTTAACAAACAAGTTACACATTCTTTATTTAAACTTAATCTATAGTGTCTAAGATCAATTATTCTAAATATTTCACTAATCTTTAAGATAATTTATATTTTAATGCTCTTTCACTTTTGAATGTGTGAAACTTTCTTTTTTAAAGTATTCTTTTGATATACAAATAATCTATTTTCTTTTCTAAAGATGAATTTTTTGGTAAGAATTCTTTTAAATTATTGATTTTTGTTAAAGTTAAATCTAAAAAACATTTACCTAGCTTTTCAATATTTAATTTAGTTTATAGATCTTCAAATAATTCATAATTTAAGACTAATCTATTAATTGTATTGATTTATTGACGATTTTAATGGCTAAAGTAAGGTTTTATTATTTAATAATTAGTGACTTAATCCCAATCACATCTATCTTATTCATCATATTATAACATATGTCTAATTAAACCTTATAATTCCTCAGAAACTTTATTTTTAAATTAGATATTATTTTTTATTTTTTCTTATGCCTTCTGCAAATCTTCTAGAGTATTCAATTCCATTCTCCAAGGATATATTCCTTCAACTAATTAAAATAGGATTATTCCTATGCCCCATACATCATTTTTTTCTAAATCATACTTTTCGTTTCTTAGATTTTGAGGTGACATATATATTGGAGAACCTTTGTAATGTGTAATAGTTTATTTATCCATAAATCTTGCCATTCCAAAGTCTATTAATTTAGGAATATCATTTTAAAACATAATATTATCTGGTTTGATATCTCTATGGACTGCTCCTACTTTACCTTCATAACTTAATTCTTTCATATAGATTAGTGCATCTATTATTTATTATATTATATTAATTGCTTCAACTAAAACTATTATTATTTCTTACCCTCTGAAAATATTTTGGTACTCATCAGGGAATCTTCGTAACCTAAACTCATTCTTTCAGCTAAAGATCCTCCATTACAATATTCCATAAACATATAAAAATTATTGTCACTTCTCGAACATTCATAAAATTTCACTATATTTTTATGAACCAATTATCTTCCAAATATTAACTCTTAATGTAATTTTTCATACATCTATTTCTACAAACTTATATGATTAAAATTACATCATATGTTGGTATGGAAAACTTCTTTACACAACATTCTATCTATTTATCTGTGTTATATCCTATATAACCTTTAAATACCTCTCCATTGTTTCCAGCATCTTCTCCCACTTTTTTATTGGGGATATAGACTAAACCTCTTTCAAGATTCAAATATACGATATTGTTGATAGCAACTGATTTAAATAATCCTTAATCTTTGTTTTACATTTTTATTATTATATTATTTTATAAAATCCTCTTTAAAATAAAAAATATAGAACTAAATTCTATTATAATTTATTAAATCATTCAACTCCATTTTATACCAAGTCCCTTCAAGTATTCTATTCCTTTGTTAACATTTGGTTCAGATAAAAACTTAGATTCTACTGTTCTTATTTCATTAAATCCTTAATCCAATTTATCCAAAAAGCCATCATAAGTTGAAACCAATGGATCATATAATTAATTTTTTACTCCTTACAAATGAGATATACAAAGTTATCTTTAACTCTTAATAATTGAATAATAAGTAAATGCAGATAAAAACTTACCTTGAGGACTTGTATCAAATTTCATATGTCCTCCATTATACTTTTAGAAATCAGGTTATATCTCAATTTGTTAAATGGCATAAAACTATATAATTATATATATATATTACAAGCTTTTATGGCATTTCTTTAAGATTTCCTCCAATATAATCTATAAAATGATTAAGCTCTTTTCTAATGTTTTCAGGTTTAAATTTATTATAAATGTCCAAAAGTTTCTTCTCTTTATGAACCTCCAAAAATGATAACATAATATTTCCATCTTTAGGTTGTTTCTTATCCAATTAATATTCTCTAGTATAATCATAAAATTCATTTGATTATTCACCACTCAAAGCTTCAATAAATTCTACATAATTTTTAATGCCTTCATTTTAAAGCACAAGTTATTATCCTTTTATTTATTCTGATAAATATTGTTTAAAATCCTTTTTTGTTTCAATAATATATTAATCTCTAAATTAGAAGTCAAATTCATTTTTTATATTTTTTTCATTTAATTCTTGAGTGAATTTTTTCATAAAATCTTAAGCAATAACTGTAGATAAACAATTGTCAATAGCTGTTTCTCTTGTTTCTAATTCTTCATTATCTTATTTTTTGCATTATTTTATTCCAAAAATTTTGCCTTCAAGTTGCTTTTTTGAAGGGCATTTAACACATTTAAAAAGAAAATATCGATCTAAAGATTAATCACTTGAATTAACAGGAACAAAGCATTAAATACCAGTAATATCTCCAATATTGTTAATAGTAACACATTATCTGTAATCTTAATCACTAATATTATATAGAGTTGCTTCTGCCTTGGGTTTATGTAATAGAACATGGCTCAATTTAAAATCTAATTATTAACATTTTGCTTAATTATCCTTTAAAAATGTTTCTGGGTTCACCTTATCTAACATCATGGACTCAATTGCAAATTCAATATCTTTAAAATACTCTCTTGGCACTTATTCAACCAATCTTTATATTCTAAATTAATAAGTAGGCACAATTGCTAAATTTTATATTGCAACAAGTTCTTAATCTTTCTTAAAAATTATAGTATCACAATCACTAATTTATTTTAAAAGACTTTATCTTTATTTTACTGCTTCTTCTTCAATTACTTTTTTATCATTCAGTACTTTTGTCAATTCTTCTTTCAATCTTGAAATCTCATTTTCTGAATTTTCTAATTTCTTTTGTGATTATTTATTATCTTCTTCTTATTTGTTTATTAATTCTTTAAATTCTTCCTCTTTAGCTTTTAATAATTATGAAATTTCTATATTTAATTTTTCAATTTTTTCTTATTTTTTATTCAAATCTTATTTTAATTCATCCTAAATTGTTTTCAATTATTTTTCTAAATCATTAACCTTATAAGTCAAATCACTATTTAAATTTTGACAATTATTTAAATTTCTCTATAAATCTTTTATCTTATTTTCAAGCCCTTCTTTTTCTTCAGTTAATTTTTCATTTTATACTTATTCTTATTAAATTTATTTTTATAATTTTTATATCTCTTCTGCTTTAACTTATCCATTTTGCTATGCTTAACCTACCTTCTCTAATTCCTCAGTCATCTATTTGTTTTTATTTATTTAAGTTGTCAGCTTTTGAGTAGCTTGTTATATTTACAATTGTAAATCAAGAATTTCTTATGATTATGAATCTATTTTTAGTTTTTAATTTTTTAATTCTTCTTGTTATTTACTTTCTGATTCCCTTAAATCCTTCTTTAACTTAGTTATTTATGATTCTAATTTTTCTTTATCCTGTAACAATGATTATATTTCTTCCTTACTATTTGTATCCAATTAATCAAATCTATTTTTTAATCTCTTTACTTCTCTCTCGTAATCTTAAATTTGTCTTCCTAAATCTTATTATCCTTATTCAATTTATTTTTTTTCATATTCTAATTATCCCGCATATTATTACCATTTATCTAGAGTTGTAGTTACCTATGAATATTGAGCAATGAAATTTTCTTGCAATGAAAAAAAATTCTATTTTTCTTACATTGATGATTTCATTAAATTTTAGATTTCATTTACTTACTTCATACATTAAGTTGTTAATTCTTGATTCTCTGTAGACTTTTATTATAATTATTTTTCAAACTCTTTTTTCCATACTTCTTGCTTAGAATTTACATTCTATAAATCATATCTTGCACTTTCTAAATCTTTTTATTAATCCTTTATTTTATTTTATGCCTCTAATAGTTTTGGTTCAATTTCTTTTATTTTTTAATTAAGTTCATTAATTTTAGTCTCATATTGATTTTTATTTTCTTATTATATCTTTATTATTTCTTAAGCTGATTTACTTTTAATATCATTTATTTCATCTTTCAATTTAGTATTTTCTTTTTTGAATTTCTCATTATCTCCATTTAATTATTCTATTAATTACTCCTTCGTTTATAATAAAATCACTGCTTAACCCATGTTGAACAATTTATAAGTAGTATTTGATTCCAATCTATTATATTTAATAAAAAGTTTACTTATCAAGGAATTTGCTAATGAGTTTATTTTACTTTATATCATATACGGCAATAAACTCCTCAGGGCAATTTTATGCAAATTCTAAATTAAAAGTATAATTCTACATTTTGAAATGCTTCTATAAAAAATTTTATCATTGTTTTGAATTTTTATTTCCATAGGGTTTCCATTTAGAGACAAAAACCTTATCACTTGATCTTAAGACATTATTTTAATTATTTATTTATTTTTGTTCAATAAATATAAATATTATTATCCAAATTCTATTATCGAAATAATTTGATTAGGAATATTTAATGATTTTTATATATTTCTATACATTTTTGCTTAATTTTTTGGATTCAATAATGAAATATATTTTTTTTTAAAAGTCAAGAATAAGATTGATTTTACAGAATTTAATTATTAATAAAATATAATTCTTCTATTTTTTAGTTTATACTTTTATAAAATAATTAACAAATAATTTATATTATATTTTTTTCTTATATATATCAGAATGATCTAAAATTTTTATCGATTTTAATGCAGGCATCTTCTAATAATTTCAACAATGCTTCTGTTGTAGCTTCTCTTTCTCTTCTCTCAAAGCTGATGTCTTATTGTAGTTTTCCATGAACATCCTCAATCATTCTAAATATTTTTCCTTAAGTTTCTTCTCTAACCTTCTTCTCAATAAGTAATTAATCAGAAAATTTATTGATTTCACTATCTATTTATTCAGTTAATGATTCTGCTGCTTCCTCTCTATAGATTTTATAAAAATCAGTACCTTGATCTTCTTTCTTAATCTAATTAATTTTTGACTAATTAGACTTACTATAGAACTTCAGCAATTTTAGCTTGACTTCTATCTTCATATTAATGAGTGTTTCTAGTGATAGTTAGTGTAATTTAAGCAAATCTTTCATCAATTTATTTTTAGAGCTTAGTTTCTGCCTAACCTCTAGAATTTCTTTCTTAATCAAAAGATAAAGCAACATTATCTGAAAGTGTTCTAAAATCTTTTTCTTTTTTATCATCAAATGCCTAATTAAATTAAAATATATACTTCTCTTTCTGATTTTTAGTTGTGTGCTTAATCTTATAATTTTAAGACTTAATCCTTCAAGACCTTAAATCTTTGTTCATCTTTTGGCTTCTCAGAGGCTAAAACATCTTCAATTATTTTGATTCTCTCTTCTAATACTTCCCTTTTTTCTAGTTTATCTTTGTCAATTCCATTCTGAATATGATTCCATTTATCAGATAGTAATTTGATTCTCTACCTGGCTGGAGAATCCAAATCTTAACTGAGATAATTAATTGTAGATCTTTTAGGACTAGACAATTAGGAGGAAGAGAGTTTGGATGTTGCAAGCTTGGATGTAGATAGGAGCATAGGGATTGATGATATTTTGTAAAAATAAATTTATTTACGATTTATTTATCATTAATAACAATAGTATATCAATCTGATTTATTCTAGGACTTAGTTTATCAAACTCTATTTAATAATCTATTCAATATTTATAAGAAATGAATAAAGAAATGGATGAAGACTTTAATCAATAAGATAAACTAATATATAATTTATTCACTTGATTTTTAGAATCCAAGTACCGCTGTAAGTTAAATCATTTTCAAATCCATCATAATGCCATTATCCACTAAAAGCCTTTACTTCTTCATCGAATTCACCCTAGTAGATTAGATGTTCCCATAATCCTGATTATCTTGCTTCTTGTTATTCTTCATAATCCTTTATAAACCAAATTTTAAGTTAATTGTTAAAATCAATAATAGTAACTCCATTGCCACTCCATGTACCATATTTATCATTTCCTAAAAGAGAAATTGCAATATATTGTTCTTTTTCATTAATTTTACACATTATTTATACATCCTCTTCTTTGTGAAGTTTCCCATTTTAAGTAAAGATCAATTCATTTTTGGATTAGTTTAACATTTTAGCCACCTTCCTGAATTAATTCAACAAAACATTACTGTTTTTAATTAAGATGGCATTATTTAAAAATTACTCCATCATAATTGTCCTTCTATTTAAGACACAGCGAAACAATCTTAAGACTTACTTACGCTTCCAAATAATAAATAAGATGAACATCAATCCTAAAACAATAAAAGTAATGCTAATTATTTGTATTATTGGTTATTCTTTCTCAATTTTACAGTCATTATAACATCGATCATAATCATCATTATTTTTACATTAATCTTTGCAACTCTTCCCTTTTGAAGAATCATCGAAAACATTTTGAGATTTTGACATATTGACTTCACTTCCAAATACGAATGGAAGTAGTGAAAAGTAAAGAACACATTTTATATAATCAATTTAAGACATAATTTAAATAAAGAAGGAGCAACTTACAGTAAATTCATAACATCATCATATTGTACAATTAGAACTTTCATACATTCAGCTTCTTAATTAATAACTTTAACATTATCACTGCTAAAATATGAAAAGCTATAGCCACTCCAAATAATACAATAATGCTGTTCCATAATCCAAAGTCTCTTCCATAATATTCCATAGGACTAATCGTTACAAGCGAAAAGGAATCACCTTTTTAGATGATTGATTTGAATTCTACATCTTCAAGCTGAGTTCTTCCAAAAGCTTCCAAAAAATATTTGAATGGCTTAAATATTTATTAATATAAATACTGAAACATATTAGAACCAACTAATCCATTTAGGAATTGATTGTAGATTTACTAATTGTCCACCAAATAGTTAAATTGGTAACATTATAACTGGTCCTAATTGAGCAGCTCTCTTTGGATCAGGAAATAGACATCCTGTAAAACTTAATAAGTTAAACAAATTGAATACATTCCTATTCCATTTCCACTTAATGATACAGCTATTGTTATTAGTATAAATTAGATCACTTTTGCAAATTCCCAAATGAATCCAAATGCCCAATATAGAATCAGGGCCAATATTATAGAAACTGAAATATTAGATGGAATTTCTACTAAGATTTTTGTTATGAAATAGGGAAATATTTTATATAATTTTGTATTTTCTTCCTTCAAAAAGATATCTCTTTCAACAGGAACTAAAATAAATAATAAATTTACATAACATCATCATTGGATGCAAAGCTGAAAAGAATGCTCCTGTTCCTCCCATAAAACATGCTCCATTCATATTCTATAAAAATTTAGTAACATCTGAATATTTAGATAATTCAGGTGATTGATTTGGCATTTCATCACCAACATTCCAATAAAGACTCCCAATAAATATAGATAAAATAAAAGCTGCTATTAATTTTGCTCTTAAAAGAACAGGTGATCTCCAAAAATGAGTTTTTGCTCTCCAAAACAACATTTTAAATTCTTAACCAAAAGTACTCTAAGTTTTTCTTTTGATAATTCCATTTTACTAAGTTGTGAAACTAGTCACTGCTAATTCTAAATATCTTGAATAATTCTCATAAGTAACTAATGATTATTAATTATTATATATGGGATTTAGATTATTCATAATAGTATCCAAAGGATTTGAATATGCTAATACTTACAATCCAATCTATTCACAATATCCAATTATTTAATCAGCATTACCTTAATAAACATTTTATCCATTATTCATAATTATCACTCTATTAAAAAGTGATGAGATATCAAAACTTGGTTAATGTATTGTGAAAAGAATAGTTCTTTAATACTTTAATGCAATTTTCTTTAAGATATTCATACAAATAAATGCTGTATATGAATCTAATCCTGATGTAGGTTCATCTAAAATAATAACTGGAGGATCACACACTAATTCAACACCTATAGCTGTTCGTTTCTTCTCTCCTCCAGATATCCCTTTTAACATTCTATCCCCTACATAAGTATCCTAACATAAATGTAAATTAAGATCTTTGATAAGTTCATTTACTCTAATTATCTTATCCATTTGTGAGCCTTTCAATCTCAAAGAAGCTGAAAATAATAATGTTTCTTTGACTGTAAGAGTTGCCATCAATAAATCATCTTGCATTACAAAAGCTCCAAAGTCAGTAAACTTATCATATTCTTCATTGTTTGCTAAAAATGTTCCACTAACACTAATATTATTATTTCTTTTATATCTTTGGCTCAATAATGCAACTAAGGTTGTTTTTCCTGCTCCTGATGGACCAAGAATTGCTGTCAATTAACCTCTTAAAGCATATCCTGTAACGTTTTACAAAATATACTTTTTATTTGAGTCCTAATCAAGAAGATACTCAAAATATCCTATATGAGTTTTTTTCTTAATTTCTTAACTCTATTTTATAGTTCTATATTTTATACCAAAGTCACAGTTACATTATTCCATTTTAAATCTATCACTTATGTATTAGAAACACTTTCAGATCTTATTGGAAGACTTATTTAGCATTCTTTTTAATTTTTAACTTTCATATATATTTTAAACTTAATTTAATATTACATCACAAATATATACCATTACTTTATTAATTATTTTAATCGATCCTCTATAAGTCTAAAATAATAAATAGTACAAATCTAATACATTACATCTCTTCAAAATTTTATAATTGAAAATTACTGAAGAAACCTAATAAAATTAAGAAATATATATCTAATATCAATATATCCATTTTGTTAGACTAAATGATATATTTAATTGATAGAATATAGTAATATATTTAATATATATTTTGAAACTCACTAATAACAAGAATCTTATACATCAATATTATTTAATTAACAAAATTTACAAAAATGATAATAAAATAAATGAATATAACTTAGATATTGTGAGACTGATTTAATTTCTTAACTAATTAGAAAACTTTTAATCATAATTAATACTTTGACTTGTATAAACTATTATTATGTAATCAAGTCAATATTATTTGATTCTAGTATTATGATGACTGATCAATAGAAAATGAAAAATAAAGCTAAAATTTATTAACTTTGTAAGAATTTAAATTTAAACGTTTCATATCCAACTACTGAAACAAATAATCAATTAATGACTTCTTAGAATATACCCAGATGATTTGAAAAATAAATATAAAGTACATTCCAGTTATTATTAACTTTGATATAATAATTATAAAGGGACGGAAGGAAAGATCATAAAAATTTATTTATCTTATTACGATTTATATAAAACAAGAAGATATCTTAATAATTGAAAATTCATTTTAAAAATTATATATATTTAGAGATAGGTTGATTATTAAAAACTTTAAAATTGTTAGAATTTAATGAAAAATATATCTTTCATATAATAGAAATATATACTCTACTCAAAAATAATAATTATTATTTTGTGAATAAGATACCTATTAATAGAGTTTCTATTTAATTGTTAAAGTTTTTTGATAGAATATAATGTAGTAATTAGATTTACTCTCTAGTTAATATATATCATTTTCTAATTCTAAAATAATAGGGATTAATAATTATTAACAAATAAATATATATTAGGAAGTTTGGTTGATTATAGTTTTGATGAGAGATCATTAATATAAAGATTTTCATTAATTATTCTCTAAGTCTATAAGAATAATTCATATAAGAAGTGATGAATGTATAGTTTTATTTAAATGCTTATAAAGATGGATTATAAAATTAATAAGAGATATGGATAATTTAGAATTTAATTGGATGGATTGATATCTTTGAAATGAGATTTGATATGTAAACTAATGTTAATGTTCATATTATTAGATTTAGATTGATATTTATTGTAATAATATAAAACTAATAAAAACGGATTCTTATAATATATTTAATATTGATAATGAAGTTTTCAATTGTACTTCCAATCCTTCTTATTCTTGGTTGCTTTGCAGCTGATTTTGATAAATAAGTAGAAGAGTTATAGAACTCCAACTTTGGTTAAACAATATTACAAACCATTTTGATGGAATTGCAAACCGGCGATCCTGTAGTCTCTAATCTTATAGATATGGTTTAAGGTTTAGAAACAACATTAGAAAATGAATAAGAAAGAGATGATAAAAGGATTGCAAGAATTACATAAAATTGTGACATTGATATAAATACTTTAAAAGATCAAATAAATTAGAATACTGTGAATTCTTTAACACTAAAAAGTGAATTAGACAGTTTAAATCCCTAGAAAGTGTCAGCAGTAGCAAGTCTAGAAAGAAAAAATAGCGAAATTAATGATCTTAAAACAGAACTTAACTATTAAACTCATAAAAGAGAGACAGAAACAATTACTTATTAAGTAATCTTAGATAATTTGGAATAAGCATTATTTGGTGTTAATTAAGTCAAAGGATATTTCAATAGTTATTTAGATGTACTTGTCAAAAATAGAAAAAGATTTGAAAAACCTGAACCATCTTTCTTATAAGAAACATATAGTTTCAAATATGATTAATCTGAAATTGAAGATACTGAAGATTAAGGCTAATAATTTACATCATTCACTTAAGTAGCCGCTAAAGTCAATAAATTAAAGCATCATGTTAATTACAACATTATTCTAGGTACATTTAGAAGGCTACAGAGCCATGCTTGAAATGATGAGTCGTTTAGCTACCAAAGCACAAGATGAACCATCATAAGCAGAAGTTTTGACTAGAAAAGTTTTGTCTATCTTAAAATAAATTGAAAATTATATTTAATCTGAAAGAATTAGAGAAGATTAAGCAGAAGCTCTTAGATCTGGTAATTTTGAATTACTTTAAACATTATTATCAGATTAATTAGTATAAGCAAGTTAAGATAGAACCTATATGGAAGGTTATATTTAATAATTAAATTTTAGGACTTGTTGAGTCATTATCAACAAGAATTTAATAAGCATCAAATGAGAAATTTGAAGTAGATTCAAGAATTGTTGCTAAAACTAGAGAATTAGAAAATAGAGAAACAGATTGCAGACTTAAGAAAAATGAATATGATACTGACACAGCTAATAGGTAAAATTTTATTAAATAAAAATTTAGAATTAAATAAAAGAGAGTTGTTGCAGTAGCAGTTGATCTAATCTCATCAAAGTTAGGACAACTAAAGAGAAAATTGCTTGCTAATTGAGTTAATTATGATAGCAATTAATAACAGATAATTTATAAATTAATTTATATCACATTTTTGTGATTTAATCAACTTTTTTTAATGATCAATCTTTATTTAAGTTTTATATTGTAAAATTAAATTATAAAAATAAAATACAATTACCTTTATAATTGATTATGGAAGAATTTCTATATTATTAATTAAAAATGGTATACATTATTTATTAATTTTCATTATAAATATTACTTTCAAATAAGAAAAAAAATAATCATTCTCAATATAATCAAACAGGCCTATCAAAAGTAGTAGGATCCTTAAGCCAAGTGATAAATTTACTGAAGAAATCAGATTATTTTTTAAAATTTTAGCTTAGTTTACTAATATCAGGAGGCTATTTTTATATGAGTCCAAAATTATATTAAAATTCTAACTATTAAAATATTATTTATATCTTACAATTTAAATAAATTGATTTATCATTTATTAGCATTAATTATAAGATTCTTTAATGATTTTCTTATCAGATTTTAGTAAAGTTGTTTCTAAAATTTTATTAAGATAATTGCTCTCAACATTAATTATTTCATCAACTGATTTTGCATTTGTTAATTACTATTTAAAATCATTCCAAGTTGATTCTAAAACATCATAAAATATATAATTTTAGTAAATATCAATAAAGGTTTACATTTGATAACGCAACATTCCATAACTATTTGCTATTTTAGGATCTTTAATAAATTATATATATTTCCAATTTCTTCTTAAATTGTTTGAACAATATCTTAATTTAAGAATTTAATCAAAAAATATTAAAATTTATTAGAGTATTGAATTTGTAAAACATGCTTTGAGTAATTAAGCTTTTGATTCTATCTTTATTTAAAGTTAATCAGATATTTAGCATTCATAAAATCCTTGTCTCTCTCTTGCAAGTTTGCTTTTACTTTTCAATTTTGGGAAAATATCTATTTCTGTTAATTAATTAGGAATAAAATTATTTTCATTATCAATTAATTAGAAAATATTTTAATCAACAAAATCTCCATCACTTGTAAAATAATACTTTTTTATATTATTCCATAATTATAAAAAGTTCAATTATTCAAATAATAAAAAATGAATAGACTTATTCACTAATTGATTATGTAATCTAGCATGCATTCCAATACAAACTTCTAATTATAATTAAAATGAATATTAACAATTATCTTATAATTCTTCTTCAAATTTTTATTACTAATTTTCTTATTTTATTTATGGTATTTAATTAGAATCATGTTATTTCTCAATTTATTCTTCAATAATATGATTATCATTAGTTTATTCTAATAAATTATCTGTTAATAATTATTCTTCAATATTTTAAGTATTTGGAGTTTCAATAATTAGATTATCAACTGCTTTTTTTGTAATTAATTAAATAGGAGTAGGATTAAGTTCAATTTAAATTTCATTATTTCTTTTTGTATCTTAAATATTAATACCTAAATCTGCTAGTTGCATCAATAATTATTCTTTTTCTTTTTATAATTTTTTCTTTTCATTTAATTCTTGTTCTAATTAAAGATTTCTTTCTTCTTAATTTTCAATTAATTTATTATATTTTCTATTAATTCTATTTACTTCAATTTAAACTAATAATTCATTTTTTTGATTTTTTTAATATATTTATTTTGCTTATTAAGATTCTAAATATTTTTATTTTTATATTCTCACTTACATTTATATTCTCTAAAATTCTATTTTTCTTTTAATTTATTCTTATTATTCTTTTTCAGTTATAAATATATGATATTTTCTAATAATTTCTTTTAGATTTTATTCTTTAGATTTATATATTGTTTAAATATATTAATTCTTTTATTTTAAATTTGATTATAAATATAATTCTGATATTTAACAAATATTTAAAATTTCTTCAACATGTTAAATTTTTAAAACTTTTAATTATGTAATTAAAGCAAGACTTTAAACAGTATTTGCATAAGTTGATGAAAATTATGAAGGAAAATGTTAAGGTATTTGTAATTCTACATCTTAACTATTAATTCCTTTTGCAAAAATATCTAATTAAAAATTATTTAATTCATAAAATGCTTTGACTAAAAATTCATCTCTCTAATTTATTTATATAATTCTTTCATAAAGTGCTTTATTAACTAAATTACAATCATCAGCAGTAAATATATCAAATATTATTTTAATTTACTTATTTAAATGTTTAGTATATATCTAGAAATGCAAAATTGTCATATTTTCATCTAATATAGTTATTTATAATATTTTTTATTCCATTTCATCAACAAATGATTATAAGATTGTATTTATTTTACTTCTTAATATTGTATTTGAAGGTGTTAATAAATAAAATCTCAATCTTTGAATATAATTGGCAAGTTCTATAAATTTTTGTGTTATTTATTATAAACTAGTCATATCTTCCACATAAATTGTTTATTATTATATATATGATAATTGATCTAAATCATATACAAAATATTCATTTTAAAAACCCTAAATATATTTAATTAAATACTAATAACATCTAAATTACAAATTATATATATTATTTCTATGAAATGATAACCAATCCTTAAGACTTTAATTAACAAATACAATCAAATTTTTACTTAATTTAAATAGGTTACAATTCAACTGCTTGACTATTCATTTAATCATCACCTAAATTTTATATATATTATACTTAAATCTTCCCAATATTTTGGTCTTTTTATATTTGTACCTTATAAAAGTTCAAAAAAGCTTAATTCTTTTGAAGTATTTGTTTCACTTTCTAAAGTCAATTAAGGAGTTGGAATCAATTTTGACTCTGCTAAGGGTTGTCTATGAGTCAAAAATGATGAAATAGACATATGTTCACTCAATCTTGGAATTTCAAAGTTTAAGTCAAATGGCTTATTTGATGGTTATAAATGTGTCATAGATCCCAATAAATTTTATTGCTCTAAAGGTTTATTCAACTAAAAGACTTCTGGAACCTCTGATTTTGAATCCCAAGAAAATGTTTGATAAGGATGGAATTGTTCACAAGAGATTGATTACATGAAGTGACCGCCTTTTTTTATAGTTTCTTCATAATTCAAAAACCCACTCTTAATATGCCTCTTTTTTTCTGCTTTAATGAGTTACACAATAACTTACTTGGTCTGAGCTATTGTAATTCATCTACTTCAACCATCGTATTTATAGATAACATGCAATTTAAAATAATATAAATCAAAAAGTTGAGAAATTGTCGGCTTGACCAATTCTCCATTTCTTAGGCAAGTACCATATTTTTAAGGATTCATCATCACTTCCAGTCAAGAGAAATGATTTATTTTCATTCCAAATAATCTTATTTATTTTTTTAGAATGAGCCTTAAATACATCTAATTATGATAAAACTTACAAAATGGTTATAAATCTTATACATACCAAATTGATATTGTACCATCTTCATTCCCTATGAATATCTCTCCCCTTTTCTTAGACCATTCAAAACATAAGCTCTATATTTAGTAAATTTAATACCTTATTTTTTATTACAATATTAGTCTTAATTTATGCAAATCCATTTTAAAGTCCTTTAGCATAATCAAAAATAATAATATGGCTTGGATCATAATTCAAAGCCATTAAATAATTTCTCTCATTATCTATCAATAACTATATAATTTGAGTAGAATGAGTTGAAACCTTGAGTCCAATTTTAACAAAAGGTACTTAACATAAATAGATTTCTCCAATATTATTAGAAATAACTATAAGATTTCTGCTGGAATTGTAAATTATATTAGTTAAATCATGTTAACCAATTGGAATTTCTTATTATTCTTATATTTTTTTAGTATTTTATATTTTCAAAAAATTACTTGTAATAGCATAAATATCTCTTTAAATTAATACACAACCTTATATTTTAGTTTAGGCAAGCTAAAATTATTCTTCCATATCAATTGTATATTTTTCATCTAATCTATAATAATAAACTAATCCTGATGAAAGTCTAATGAAATAGAAATTTATAGTTGTACCCTACAGCAAAGGCATTTTCTGTATTATTAAAATTCATACAAGTCAAGGCTTTTAAAAATTCTTTACTAAATAGTTTTTGTTTAAAATCATTCTGACTAAAGCATATCAATGTGCTTATTGGAGATTGTTTTTTTGATTCCAAAATATTATTTATATAAGTATCTATTCTAGCCATCATACTAGAGTCATAAAGTAATAATAAAGTAATGTTATCATTCTCATGTATATCTTTCAAACTCATATTTAAAATCTTGTGTTATGTTTGAATTGGATGTAAAAATTCATCATATTGATCAAGCTATTTATGACATATATATTACTATTAAAAAATCTCTAAAAATAACTGAGTTTAAGATTTCTTTTCTATTCAACAATTAATTCAGATAATTATCTAATTATTGCATTCTGAATTCAATTTCACTTCTATTTAAATGAAATAACTATTTTTTTGGAAATTAAGGTAGATCATTAAATAATTAATGTAATTTATTATGGATTTCTTCAACTTCTGAATATCTTCAATTGATGAATATTTATTATACCTTTTCTATATTTGCCATTTTTAATTGCTGCATTCTATAGCTATAATATATTTTGTGATATATTTTTCTTATGTAAATGAAGTAACAGATATTTTAATTTACGTGTTATTTTTATTTGACATGTTGGTTTACAAGCTATAGAAATTTTTTATAATAAATTTATAACTAAATGGAAATAATTAATAAATATCTCTTTAATTTTATATTACAAATCAACTTTATTATATTTCTTCTACTCATAAAAATAGAATTAATATATAATCACACTATTTCTAGTTAGTTTACCTTTTTTATCTAAAATATCAAAGATTTTATTTGTTAAATTAAAGTGATTTGTTATAAATAATATATATAAATCCTCATGATAATTTACGAAATTAGAAATTAGCATAAAAAACCTTTTTATAAAAAGTCTTATACTAATAAGAAATTTAAAATCATTTTTATTTTAAATAATTTTTATCATAATTCTTCATAGAAGGTTAATAAATAAATAAAAATGATTTATTGAAAAGTTTAAATAAGTAGAAGAAAAAATATAAATGAATTCAGAACTTAACACTATATATATAATTTAAAACATATAATTATTTTTTAACTGGTTACTCATTTTTTTTGCTTAAGAAAGATATATAACAACTTTTAACTAATGATTAAAGTAAAATTAAAAGTTTAAATTACCTTTTATTATTATAGTGATAGAAATCAAGTTTTAGCGAGCATCAAATTTCGGTTTAATTTATTCAAGTATAAATATTAATCGAATTCATTAATTCAGAAATTAGAAAATTGTAGAATTAAAATTTTAAAATTATCCAAACCAAAAATTAATTAAGATTTTTGAGATATATGTTTCATTTTATATTTTTTTACAATAAAACCATTTTCAAGTTTAAACTTATTTTTTTTAATTACTATATAATTTTATATATCTTTTTATTTATTAAGCGATTTTCATTAACATTTTTGTTACATATCATTAAATTTATAATATTTCACAAGTTTTAGATGGAGAAACCCAGATATTAATATTAGAATTATAATGAATAAATGATAATTAATTTATTTCAAAAATATTAATTAAAATATGAGATAATAAACTAGTTCTTTCATCTAATTGCTTTGCAAGTGTCTCAAGTTTCGAAAAACTAAATCATAAAATTATGAATAAATTAAGAATCCAATTGAAATTCCACAATAAAATGAAAGATCTAAAGTACTTTTGTGATTAGATTAGGGGAGAAAAACTTTAGTAATTGATTTAGATGAAACTCTGGTTCATAGTTCATTTGAACCAATGAAAGTAAATGATTTAATCGTTGAAGTATGTATTAAATAAATAAGGTTACAATGAAAGATTAGAAATATAAAATTTATGTTAACATAAGACCATATGCTTAAGAATTTATTAAAGAAACTTCTAAAATATTTGAGATTATAATTTTTACTGCTAGCATTAGTGAATATGCAAATTCTGTTATTGACTTTTTAGATCCTCTAGGTTTAGTCGATTTAAGATTGTTTAGAGAAAACTGCACAATTTATAATGGTGTTCTTGTAAAGGATCTATCTTTATTAAAAAGAAATTTAGATTCAGTTATTCTAATTGATGTATAATAAATGTTAATATAATTAGAACTCAGTCAATTCTTTTATGTTATAACCAATGAATGCTGTGCATATTTTAAATTATTTTGAAGATAAAACAGATTAGGAATTAGCTTTGTTGATACCTTTTTTGAAACTTCTTTCTTAAGTATCAGACTTTACTTAATTTTAGTTTTAAGATGTTAGGCCAGTTCATGAATGGTTATTTAAGTATGCTCACTTTGATAAATTTGAATATGTTGATGTTATGGGAACAAAGTAATAATTCTATGACTTGCCAACAAGTTCAGATACTTAAAGAGATAAATTATTAAGTCCTGCAGATACCCCAAAATTAGAAGAACATAAAATATTAATTAAGAGTGGTATTAAAATACAAACGCAAGAAAAAAATAAAGAAGATGAGATAAATGATGAATTAGAAGAAAAAAAAAATAATTCAATGTCAGTAGATAAATTTACTGAAACTCCTAATAGAAGTGAAAGCAATAATGAAAAAATATCAGTACTTAGAGAAAATTTAAATATTAATTCCCCTAATTCATTAGGTAAATAAATATTGTTTCCATAACACTAATGAAATTTTATGATATATTTACAATTTATTGTAATAAATCTATTTTAAACTAAACTAAATTTATTAATATATCATTATGTGATTAAAGTCTTGTTTATTTTAAGAATTATGATCTAAGGAAAAAAATATGAATTAAAAAAAATACTATCATCAAGTAATTAAAAGTATTTTTATAAATATTCAGGATTATTAATTTATACTATGATATTAATATTCATATTCTTTGATATTTTAGTACTTAAACTAAAATTAAATGATAATTTACTATATAAAATTATTAAAATAACACTAATCAACATATAATTTCCAATTGAATTTAACATTATTACTTTTATTATCAGTTTGCACACTTAGATAATACATATCAAAATAAATTAAATTTTATATCTTCATAAAAGTATTAAATTTTAAATATTTCTATGAGATAATATTTATATGATTGAATAATCCTTATACATTTTAGTTATTTCAATAGTTTTTTTTGATTATGATCTTGGCATAATCATTATAATATTAATGTTTTAAAAATTCATTCTTTTGTAAATTTCCCTTATATATAAATTTAATCTATTTATCATTCAACTATATATCTTATTTGAGTTTTAGCCTTCAAAAAATATAATACTAAATTAATTTGATTTAATAATGTTAAATTTTAGAATCTATATTTCTTAAAACTGTATATAATTTTATAAAATTCATGGGATAAATACTAGAATTTTCATGTAATTAAACAACTTTTGATAATTTAAATTTAATGATATTTTAACATCATAGAATATTGATATATTAAATTTACTAACCTTAATGATTAAAATAGATATTTATTAAGTACTGAATTTTATGATTAATAGTCCTTTGACTACTTTAAAATAAAAAAGAAAATATGATAGAAAATATTATGTATTACATAATTTAAAAAAAGAACAATTGGAATATAATATTTCCTTGATATTTTATAAATAATTTATAGTCTTATTATTATTTTTTCAATAAATTATTATTAATCTCACCCTTTATGATTATATACATTCAAATACAACAAGAGTTTAAAGTATTTTAATTTGATTTTATTGATAAAGATGACTTTGATTAAGGGTTTTCAACCTAAATTTCATTCATCATTAATATTTGATATATATCTAATATGTAATTAGAAATTTATACTTGAGACCATTTCTTTTAAAATATCTTCAATTTTCTCTCCACTTGCTGCACTACATTCTTCAAATAGTAATTAATTAACTTAAGCAAAACTTTAACCTGATGACCTATTCACTTCTCTTAGATATTATAAATCAATTTTATTCCCAACTAAATATAATACGCAATATTAATCTAAATATTATTTACACATTTTAAGCCAAGTCTAGAGTTTATTTATATTATTTACTTATATTTAATCAAAACTATCTTTTTTTGTAATGTCATAAAGTAAAAACACTCCAGCAGCATTTTTAAAATATCCTGATGTCATACTTAAGAACTTTTCTTAACCTGCAGTATCCCATAATTATAATCGAAATAAATGAGATTCAACTATTACATCTCTAACTCCAAATTCAATTCCTATTGTTGAATGTGATTCTATATCAAATTAATTTCTGCAAATCTTTGAGATAAAATTAGTTTTTCCTGTTCCACAAGAGCCTAGTAAAATAATTTTTATTTAATAATCCCATTTTTTATCTTAATTTTCATTATTCATTTTATTTCTAAAACTCAAATATATTTATTTGATTGAAATAATGATAAAAATTAAAGAAAACCTAGAATTCAAGTATCTATTAGATTTAAACTCAAATTAAAAATTGATTAATGTATTATTGTATATTGTATATGTGATTTTCAAGCTCTGTTGGGATAAAGGAACACTCTAAGGGTTGATCCAATAGCTCTTGGAGGAAGATTTCTACCAAAACGAGCAATAACAATTCCATTGCTGCCGTGAGATTTGCTAATACGTCCCCAAATTGCCTGAATCAAAATAATTCATACTCTGAATTTAGTGTTATTCTTTAATGAATGAGCCTTGTAAATGTATGCAACTCTTTTTCCCCAATAGAATCTGCTTGAAGCAACATCATTAACATGTTCAATTTTGAGTAATGCTTAGTTTTCATTCTATTAAACTTTTGATCTTCTAAAACCTGTAAATACAGCCTTAACCCATAGTCTAATTTTAATGCTAAATCCTACCTAACAGGTGCTCTCTTGTTTGTGGTTTTAACTTTCTTGACTGTTTTAGTTGCTCCCTTCTATTATTCAGCCTATCCCTTCATTAATTAAAATCTTTGTTATTTTTTTATTTAAAAATTAAAACAATCACATTCATTAATATATCATGAACATAATTTTTTTACATACTAATCTATTTGATGCAATTATTTTTGCTTTCTAAGTAGAAGTAAACAAATTATTGTTATTTTCTCAAAGCATTTACATAAATAATGTTTATGAAGTCTATATTTTTTGAATTTTAAATAGAATATAAGATGATTATATTTTAATGTCATTTGATAAATTAAATAAAATTATAAGATGTTCAAATAATCAGAATTTATATTCTTATTTAAATGATTAATCAAATAAAATTATAAATTATAAATTTTATTATTATATATCCTTTTTCTTTATATTTGAGAGTAAGAAGAGATTATTATTTTTTATTTTATATATATATTTCATTAAAAATTATTTATTTTGAGCAAAAATATTATTATTTTCTAACTAAGTCTAAAGAGGTTATATTTTTATTTAATAGTTATTAAAATATTTATAATATATGAATAAAAAGAAGGAGTAAACATATAATTAATTTATTTAATTATATATAATCAACTAGATGCTAGATTTAATTACTTATATTAGATTCTATTTTTTGAATAAGAATAATATTTTATTTGATTATATAAATTCAACTAACATTAAATATTCTTCTTTTATTCGAATATCATTTTTGTACATTTTTTAATTTAATTTTAAGAGTATAAATTTCAATTCTGTTATTGTTAGTACTAATATTCTTTAGTTTAAATAATCTACTTTATTATTACTTTTTTTGATTCATTGATGAGAATTTCTCTTTTAAATTATATATATATATATTAAAATATCTTTATTACTTATTTGAGTCTGATTCTGTTAACACTCATTATTTTGATTGCTATTGAAGAAGCATGTCTTTTAAAATCTAAAATTTGATTTTTATTGCATTCTAATTGATATTTATAACTGATTTGATGAGTAAAATAATAAATTTAACTAAAAAATAGATGAAATAGGAAATTGATAATAGAACTGTGATAACTTTTGATTGATGTTATAATAGATCATGCTCCTCTGAGTTATGATTTAACGTAATCTTAGAATCTTGGTTAGTTTAACAATTCTAAGGCTTAGTTGGCAGCATTGATTTCCTTATTGTATTCTGCAACGGTGGCATTATAGACATCAGTGGCAAAAGCATAGTCATCGTTTTCAGCTTACAATTATCCATTAAGGGTTGCCAAATCAGCATCAAGTTCATCGATGAGGTCAAGAGTTTATTCAATCTTGGCTAAATTGATTAGAAATTTAGATAGTACTGGCATTAGCTTCAATTTCAGCATTCTTAACGACAACTGCTCTTTAGAATTCAGCATGTTCTTAGTTTAATTAGATGACTTAAGCATTGAAATCAGCAACAGCTTCAGCTTCATCAGCAGTGATTTAGTTGAGTGAATCAACTAATTCAACTCTCAAATTATTGAAAGCAACAATAATCTATCATTTAAGTTGTTAGAATTACATCTCTAAGAGCACCTTAGTCAGCAAAGTTAGATTCAACTGTAATTTCTAAAAGGACTTTAACGAAGATTTGGAATTAGTTATGCTTTTTCAAGGAGTTTTGGATTTTGCTGAGGTTCTTTTAAACTTATTTGATTTAAGCAAGAGATGGGGTTGCGATTGTGCTCAATAATTAAAGGCATTCATCAATGGCACCAATAGCATCATTGTGCTCAGCAACTTAAGCTTCAAAAGTTTCATGATCATTAGCTCTTTAGACTGTAGCTTATTCAAGAGTTTATCTGTTATGGGCAATATTTTCTTATAATTATTCAAGTTAGGCAGCAAATCTATCTCTTTATGGGATGAGGACATTATCATAGAAATCATGAGCATTGAAGAGTTCTAAAACCATTATATTTTATTATACCTCTTTCCTTATCTTAAATTTCTTGTTCAAGTCTGGCAACTTCTCTATTGTGAACGTCTGTTCTTCTGTTGAATTCGTGATGGACTCCAGCTAATTCCTCTTCTAATTCACCAACCTTAAAAATTAGTTACGATAAATAGTTACGAGTTTTTCAATTTCGCTGTTGAGTTCAGAAAGGATACCTCCTGTTTACATATGAAGTTCGGCATAATTCAAAATGAACTTACCCCAGCCAGATGTGTGAATTTCAGCGAGAGCCTTTTAGTCACGACTTGTCCAGATGGATGATTAGACATTGATTGCTGTTACACCGAGGACTAACAATACACAAAGAGTTAGTTTTAACATTAATTGTAATTATTATTGACATAGGTCCGGGGATTAATTTGTGCTAAAAAATTGAAAAACGAATATTTATTTTCATATATAGTATTAATTATTATATTATTTTTTATGTTCACTCCATCATATTTTCATTAACATAATATTTAATTGATCAAACCTTTTTATGTTTCTTATTTAATATCATGAGATCTACCTTAACAACTAAACTTAAAAATGTTTCTAAATAATTGATAATTTCTTGTTAACTTAATTAAACTTTTTTATGGATCTAATTTAATAAAACAATCAAAATAATATATTTCATTCTTATTCAAAAAGTAATTAATATCAATACTTAAAAATTCAAAATTATTTAACCTAATTTTTAAATAACTATAAAGTTTCTGTTGATATATTGTAATATATCTTCAAAATAGATTAAAGATTTATAACTTCTTTCTATATTTGACTATCTTATATACAATAGATTTTTATTATTTATTACTCCCTTGTCTGTTGAAGTATTTTATTAACTTATTTTTTTGTCTATTGACATAATACCATCAGATTATTACAGTTTATATACTGAATCATTATATTATGTTGTTATTTTATATATAAAATGGTTATGAATTTTTATTATTTCATACACTATATTGTAAGATTTAAAAACAATTAAGATTTAATTCTTTTTGTAAATGTTGAGAATCAATCAAATCAAAATAAACTTGATCTATATATATATATATATATATGATTTTAATTAGATTTCACAATGACATAATAATTGCATTAATTAATTTAAATGAATTTACAATCAATCAAGGAAGCAGCTTAATAACTGTATGAATATCAATTTACCTCAGCAAGGATAAGCTTACCAAATCTCCATTAGAGTAGACGTTATCTGAGGCAACTTCTAACGAGAATTGGAATACACCTACTAAATTGCTCTAAGAAGTAGCTGAAGCTTCATACGGATAGTAAGAATATGTTTTTGAATATCATTAGTACATCTTGTGATACAATTATGAAATTCATATGGAAGCGTCTTGATTCGGATAATAAAGAATGGCGTCGGATTTTGAAAGTATGATTCTTTTTTAAAATACTAGACTTTAAATATGATAGAATATTTAACAAAGAATGGTGCACCTCGTTGTGTTGGAGAATTTAGAGACAATATTTACAAGATCAGAAGTTTCTCAGATTTCTTTTTGGTTGAACAAGGCTCAGACAAAGGACTCTCTAGTATATATAAATGAATAATGATTAGTTCGTGATAAAACAAAACAATTAGTTGATTTATTGAGCAATGAAAAGTTGATTGAAGAAGAAAGAGAGAGTGCTAAAAAGATACGAGAACGTTTAGCAGGTAACATTTAATTTAATATTTTAAGCTGCTGGTGGTGTTGGAGCTATTGGAAGCAATACATCTTATTAAGGTTACGGAAGCAGTTCATATGAAAGTAATAAGCCAAAAAATTATGGATAAGAATCTAATTCATCATAATAAACAAGTTATTGTAAGATTTCAATTTATAGAAAGCATCAAGTTATGGTGGTTTAGAGAGTGGAGGTGGTTTAGACAAATACAAAGGGTAATCTAATAATAATGTAAACCATAATAATAATACTACTAACACTAATAATGCCAATACTCATAATAATAATGCTAGTGCAAATAATAATGCTAATATAAGTTTTAATGGAATATAATGGGCAGCTCCTTAATAATAATAAGCAACTGCAGCTCCATTTTCTGAACCTGTAATGAAATTAGCTAAACCTGGTGAAAAGTGGGATGTTCCTGGACCTAAACCTTAATAACCATTACCATAATAATAATAATAATAATAATAATAATAATAATAATAATAATAATAATAACAATAATAATAAAAATAACCACAATAAACAGATTTATTTGACATTTTTGATACTCCTTAATAGGTTCCATAATAAAAACCATAAACTGCATAACCTTTATAACCACCTCCATCTCAATAATAAAATAATTAAAATGAATGGGGATAATTTTAAAATGCTACTCCAATTAGCAATCCTATTCCATAAGTTTAAACTCAATAAAAAGCTTAAACTAATTTATTGCCTAATGATATTTTTGCACCAGCAGTAGTGTAATAATAGTAAACTGCTGTATCTTTTGGATAATATTAGCCTCCTTAACAAAACAATTAATAATAATTTTATTAATAATCTTAATAATTATTATAATAATAATAACCTTAAGCATAATAAAGCATATAAAATTTATATCCTATGTAGTAGTAATAAAATTAAAATCCATCTAATTTGTACTAAAATTATTAAATAAATAATTATCAACAATAACAATAGTAATAATAATAATAATAATAAAATCTCAACTATGGTAAAACATAAGTTGGTGCATATTCACCATAAGTTAATATATAAGCTGTTAACAATAGTCAACCAAAAGAATAATATGATGAATTTAATTTTGGTGAATTTGTCTCTGCTACTAAACCCAAGAGCAATAATAATTAGACAGATTTATTAGGAATGATTGATTTGAAAAAAGAAAAAGAAGAATTAGAATAAAAAAAATAGATGCCAATGGCCCCTTAAATGAATTAATAGCCTTAGTTGTATTCATAGTAAGTTGGATTGGATGGATTCTAATTTAATTATCAAAACAAAGCCCCAGTTTATGGATAATGTATTAGTATATTTAATATATAATAGATTAATACCAATAAAGCAGATGATTTATAATAAACATATATATGATATAATTTGATAACTATTAAACTCATCGTCCTTCAATAGCTAGATATGAGTAAATGACTAGACCCAGCACATCTTCAGCATTTTCTCGAACATTTCGAAAGACTTAACTTTTACGAAAGTTAGACATCATTTAATAAACAAAGAAGTAGGAGTTGATAAAATTCATGTGTTCAGCTACAAGATCTCCTTTGAATTGTTTTAACCGCAATAAACGATAATAATCAATCTCTTGCTAAACAGAGGAATCAATGTCAAATAGAAGAAGAACTTAACACAGTTGTAGATAATTAACAACTTCTGATAGTAATAATCCAAGTTATAGGGTGAAAATAAATAACTTTAATGTAAAGGAAAGGAAAAATAAATAGAAAGACTCTTTGGAACGCTTTAAACTTATTGAAATATAGGATAATGATTTTTAAGATTACATGCAAAGGCAGATTAGAAAATAATATGATTGATATAAATATATATTTTTATTTTTTGCTTTTTGTATATCATTCTCTTCTACGATAAAATAATACATAAGCTGCACTTGTAATTAATGTTGAATTAACAGATTCCTCTCTGATTGGATACACTGAGCTGTCATCAAAATTATACCATGTGTCATCATAATAGTTTTTAGCAAAGGCTGTGTAATGTCCACCTCCCAATCCTCCAAAATGATTGGAAATAGCATATAGATCATAATATACAGGATTATTGAGTTCTAATAATTAAATATTTGATACTTGGATTTTAAGGGTCTTCTGTATGGAATTCAGAAGGTAAATGATGATTCTAAACAAATTCTCTAATGTCAAAATTTTAAATTGGAAAATCTATTAATGTTTCAAGTTTGCTTTTGAAAAATTTGTTAGAGTTTTTAAACCTCTTTAAATGGAATATTAATATTTTAGGTGTTTTATAGATTTCCATAACTTTAAATGCACGTCTAATAGATAAATAATGATATTATACACATGATCTTTGCATTAATTACAATACCAAGTATTTTCTTCATCTAATTATTCTGGTTGTTCAGAGAATTTCAAACATTCTCCTAATTTCATTGATTTTTCTGTTCCAACTTAAACATTAGTAGATTAAATTGTTGGTATTGAAGGTCCTAAAGGTATAACACATGTATTAAAATTTTATTTCTAAGCTAATTATTCATCAGATAAATTTTCCTATTGTTTTGCATCTTCTACAATATCTAATTACTATTCTTAATCACTTTGTTATTTTGGTAATTCTTCAACATCAGTTTATTTTCTTTATTGATATTTTGACCAATCATTATATAATTCATCAACAGAACTTGCTAATTTAAAACCTCTTTTCCAAACTACAAATACTTCAATTTCTAATTTAGGTTCTTTTAATAAATATTTTTCGATTAAATTATCTTAATTATATGCACAAACACAGTCATTACATTATTTGGCATCACAAAAGGCACACTCAACTTGCCAATTTTAATTGGATTTGAATTCTAAATAATAAACTTTATCTAATATATTTTCTTCATAATATTCACTCCAATTTTTGCCTTAATATTAAGGAAGATCTTCAAAAGTGCTTAAAACTCCAATATGAATATCAAATATGAATTTATGTATATCAATATGTTTAGTTTTTGTTTTATCAAAATAGAAGTTGAAGGCAGGAGTAATTTCCCTTTTCCATTGATACTAAGCATTTTATTTAAATGATTCATGTATCATAATGCAAATTTTATTTTCTTTTTCAATATTGATTTCAGATTATAAAGCCTTTCTGATATATAACTTTTTGTATTTCAATTTCTTCCTTAAACTTGACATTTTTTCATTTTCATCTGTATCATCATGTTAGTAAGCTGATGTACAGATATAAATTAATTCAGATGGGTTGATATGTTAAATTTTATCTTAAATTTCTTGAGATTGTAGAATTTAACCAAGTGTAGGATCTTATGCTTTATCATAATTATAGATAAGAGTCTAACAATCCCATAATAAATTTGGATCTATAAATTGAATTTCTAATTTTTTAGTTGTATTTTATGGTATACTTACATTAACCATCAAATATGGATCAAATGTAATGGATATTTTATTACAATTTGGACATCTTAAAGTACTTTTATATTATCCATAAAGATTATCAACTACTACACTATCATTTCTTAACTTAAATTAATCCCAAGATTCTTTAGCAACTTCAAAATCAGGTCTTCCATCATAATCTTTTCTCTCAACATATGGTTTTTGTTTAATACGACATAAATCTTCATTTAAACCATCCAATAAATATGTAATCAATTCTTAACTGTCATGTTATTAAAATCCTTAGAATTATGGTTAAAATTTTCCAATTGCTCTTTTAAGTGAGAATGGAGGTATAGGTGTTTTATCTGCATACCACATTCTTCTTAAAAGATGAGCAAATTTTGAGGCTAATTCTCCTTTTGTACCTAAAGTATTGAGTTCATTTATATCTTATTTATATAAATTTGTTAATAAGTATTCTCTTATTGGGAATGTATTACCAATACATTAAATTCCTGAATTCATAAAACAAGTATTTCCTAAATTCTTTAATCCAACTTTTCCATCCATAGAGTTTTCATTTCTTTATAGTTTATCCATAGTTTCATCATCAGAATCAGTCTTTTCACATCTAGGTAAATGGTATGCCTCATCTCTTTTTTTGCATTCTTCTGTACAATAACTAACTTTTTTGCAATCACATGGAAATTGAAGTATTTTGAAATTGTAACATCCTTCACATTTTCCTTCCATAGGGAAATTAGGATGTTTAATAGCCCAATTTTTTTAGATTTCTTTAAAATCTCCAAGTATAATTTAATCTGGTGCTATTTGACAATCTTCAATAGTTTCATATTTAGCTGGATCTAAATATTCAGCATCCTTAAAATCAAATACTACATCATCATATGTTCCAAGTGTCTTAATTTCTTCAGAAATATACTTTTCAATTTCTGTTACAGTCATTCCTAATGGAGATTTATAAAGTCTTATTCCATCATGTTTGACAAATTGATATCCATTTCTATTAATGATTTTATGATAATTACGTACACTGTCTATAAAGTACTTGCTAATAATTCAATAAAAGAGGATAATTTGCATGTTCGAGCAGCATATTAGTCTCCTTTTATAAGTGATACTGTTTTTCCTCCATTGAATTTGCGAAGTGAAGAAGGAAACACTGCACAAAAATTTAAAGGTACAAGATTGACATTTACTTGTTTCTTTCCATTTATAATTACGGCATCTCGTTCAATAGCTGTTACGTGGAACCTATTTAATCAAAAATATTATGACTTTTTAGCAATGATTTCCCATGTTGCCTTATCTAAAATTTCATAATCAACTCCCTCTTAAAGATTTGGCAGCATTATCTTATTCCACATGTGACTTTGAATTGGATCGTACTTAAAAATGGTTGATGGCTTAGACAAAATTAGATCTGAATTCACACAAGAGTTGTTGCTAAATGCATTTCCTTTTTCTTCACTATCTAGCCACTCTTCCAACCATCTACTCGTTTACATTTTAAATGCTTTACTTCTTCGAAATGATATTGTAGATTAAGTCTTAACTAGTATGGAACTCATCAATCCCTCTTTGTCTTGACTCTTTGAATTTTGCTAAATCACTCATTAAATTAATTAAAAATCAATCTTCATACATTGTAATTCCTAATCTCACATAAATTATTACAATAAACATTCTATTATTATATTTCAACTTCCATCATATACTAAAGATCCAATCAATTATATAGATATTTAAACTTTTTAAATCAGAATTTAAATGTAAATGCCTATTCTATATTCCACTTTATTAAATTTTCTTTTATGTAATAGTAACTTGAACATTTTTTATCATTATTAAATACTCTAACTAATATTTAATAAATGAATATTGTCAATCTAAACGAAGATATTATTTAATATAAACACTTGAAAAACTTATTAATTATTATAATAATCCATGTTAATTAACAAAAATTTAAATTAGAATGTAAAGAAAATTAATAAATGATATTACATGTTTTTATTTAAAAAAAAATCAAATATTATAATAAAATATCTATTCTTAAATATTTAAATTTCAATAACAAATTTTTAGTTCTGGTTTTTAAGTAAAATTATATGGGATCACTAAATTTATTCGATTATATATCTATATTTTATTATTTCTTTAATAATTTAAATATAATATAAATATAGCTAACAAAAACTTTGATAAATTGTATAATATTAGATGAAAAACTCAAATTAGTGAGAAAATAATATTAAATAATGAAAATCTATAAGTAAATAATAAGAATGAGTTTTTATAAATCTTAAAATTTGAACTAATCTCAAATTAAAAAAAAATAAATAATATTAAAAACAAAAATAATTAAGACCTTAATCTAAGAACTAACATTTAAGATGATGGATGTAATAAATTCTAAAGTTCTAAATTTAATGATTATGATAATGAATAATAAAATTTAAGGATGTTGAGTAGTATGTTATAACTAAATAAGAGAATTTCTATAACTGTCCAAAGTTATTTTATCATTAACTTTGAATTTATACTATATATATCATTGCCTATGTAATAAAGATACACATTTAAAGATTAACTGATGAATAGCTTAAAACAAATAGTATCCTTCTTTTTTGATTTGCATTAATCATTAAAAGAAAATAAATTTATTTTAATAAAATTAAAGAAATATGTTCATTATATAAAACAGCAGTCTTCATTGGGTTTTCGTGGTTAAGAGATTGCATTATCTTTAGTTTGTAAGTATTAATCTTTCTCATCATATAAATTGGTTGGATTCTCATTAGATCTATTTGATTTTGGTTATGATAATGTATTATTCAAGTTTTATCCTAATAACATTTGCTGAAGTATGAAATCAATCTGAGTACAATCTAGTTAAACTCCAGTATATTATGATATTAATTCTCTAGTTTCTTTGACCTTTATGAAATAGTTGCGTAATTAATTATGCAGTTAATAATCATAATTTGGTTCTTGCTTATTAACTCTTTCAAAAAACTGCATGAATTGGGAAACTGTGATTCCAAATGCTGTAAGATTGACTATTTGAGCTGATTGATATATCTACTTGAGTTCTAAATATATTGATTTAAGATCCTTGTTCTGATAAAATTCAGCAATATTATTGATTGATGGACAAAGTGTAAGTGAATCAAAAGTGATTAGTGATGTTTTATATTATCTCTCATCTCCGTTGAATTATTTGATACCTTAATCAATATTCATATAAATTTATTTATTTTTACAAAATAAGTTGTTTTTATTAATAAAGGTCTAAAGTATTATATAAAAAATCGATGTTCAATGTTATAAAAAATGATTAAGAAAAATATTTATATAGAGGGTAAAAACAAAGGCTTAGAACCAGTTAATACATATGCAACAATAAACTAAGATACTTTCTACTTAATAGATGAAATTGTAGATATAACCATTTTATCAGGAATAAATTAATTTTTATTAGTTTTTATTTTGCTACCATATATTTTATGATTTACAATTCATACAGTTAGATGATATTTTCATAAAAAATTGTGTTATTATATATATTCTTGTTTATTTCAATTTTTTAATAAAAGTATGGATTAACATACTAAAAAATCATTTTTTATTATATTAGATGATTGAAAACATAAAATGCATAAAGAACTATTGTTCATAATTTATTTATTTTAATAAATCAATTTCTTTTGCTGATGAATTGGGCGGTGGTTGATAATTTCTCACTGATGTGTTCTTAGAGTCTATCAACGATTTCATTTTAAGCAGCTCTAAAATAAAGTTTATTGTTATAGTACCTTTCAGCAGTTTAAGTTTCATAGATTTCTGATTAGACTGCATACCATGCTTATTATCCAGCAAGTCTTTCTTCACTGTTTTCCAATTCTAAGGTGTGGAATTCGATCCAAGATTAAGCATCTTCAATTGTATCCTTTTATTCTTAGATTTAGACTTCCAATTAAGCTTTTCTTTCAACCAATCTTGTGTGTTCATTACTCAAATGAGCACTGAATTCAGCCCAATGAGCAGCTTATCTGTCTTCAACGTCCTTAATAATTAAATTAATTAAATTACTGTCTTAACAGCCTTTTCTTAGACTAATTATTATCTGATTTCGCTCAATAATTAAGCAATCTTGGTTAAGGCCTTTTAGTTAACACCGTGAGTAGCTAATTCAGTAAGAGCAACAACGACTGGCTAAAGTAGATAATAGAAAGATAGAATTTACTTATAAGAGTTGGCTGTGTGAAGTGTTATCGGTAAGTCTCTTGTGAACTGTTTCATACTTTGATTTGACTTAAACAAATGAAGCACCTAAGCTCAAATGTTAGATGAGTTTGGCAGCATCATCAATAGCATCAATAACATCATCAATGGCAGCAACTTTAGCAACAAAGGTTTCGTGTTATTAATTTCTTGTGGCTTCTTCTCTAGCATAAGTTTATTCATTTGTTGCAATGTCTGAAATTGTAACTCTAATGTCTTCTTCAGAAACAGCCAATGCTTCAATTGTGTCATCTCTCAATTATGTGTTAGATGAGATTTGATTTTAATGATACAAGATTTCCTTTTCTAAATCTTCAACGATCTGTTATATAGTTTAAAATTCTTACTCTGTTGTTTGTGGTTGTATCAAGTTCAAAAGCGTGGTCGTGGTCATTTTAATCTTATTGTAATCCAGCAGCAACACCATTCAATAACATATTAACTTCGTTGGCTGGTGTTTAGGCTTACAAGTGGGCTTTGATGGCTGACAATACAACATTTCCGAATGGATTGGCATCTATTTAAGCCAAGCTTGCATGTGTATCTACAAACTTGGCAGCTGCAAGAGCAAGAACCAATGTCAAGATAGCTAGTTTCTGCATTTATTTATTTAATGTTTTTAAAAACGGATCGAAAAATGCTTATGTATGTAATTAATTTATAAATATTTATCCCCATTTTCTTATAATTATACTAACATCATCTCATCAACTTTTCATTATCATTTCTTCCATCAATCATATCTCTCAACTATATCCTTCTCAACAATCCAAAATTTTATAATTTAATATTTTATTCAAATTTATATCTCCTACCTCTTATTATTCCTCTAATCTATTTGGATTATGCAAAATTCACCATGATTCCTTCCCAAATTTCTATATATCTATAATGTATTTCCTAATTCAAATAACTTAAACTAAATGATTTATTCTTTTATTTACTATTCATTTTTGTCTTAAATAAAGAATAATGATTATCTTGATAAATAAGCCATTATTTAATTTCTTATTCACTTCACTATTTATTTTTAGTGAAAATAATTTTAGTAATCTAATTCTTTTATAAGAATTTAGTATTTTCATCATAATTATTAAGCTATTTTTTATTATAAAGATGATCTTTAGCTTTTTTGATTATTAGATTCATTATCTTATTGGTTATTCTAATGATTTAGGAATCATAGCTTTCACATAATTAATATGAATTGAGAATTGACTAAATTGAAAGAAAGTTAAGCATAATTGATTAAATACTTTTATTTATGAGTTAAAATCTTGCAAATATTCAAAAAATAATTTAATTTTTCTTATGGCAACACCATTTTTCACAGTGAAAGTATGAATAACTATTTAAATTTAAAAGGACGTACCTGCTTAAGATTTTATTCGTGCTTATGCTGAATATTTGAAAAAAAATAACAAGATCAAAATTCCAGAATGGGGTTCAATTGTAAAGACAGGACTTGGTAAAGAAATCTCACCAATTGACTAAGATTGGATGTATGTTAGAGCTGCAGCACTTGCTCGTAAAATTTATGTCAGAGGTCACTGGGTATGAAATTTTAAATTACAAAACAGGGAGTTGGAAATCTCACTCATATGTTTGGTTCAGTTAATGATAATGGCAAACATGAATCAGGATCAGGAAAAGTCATTAGATACTTGCTTCAATAATTAGAAGCTATTAAAGTTTTAAAGAAGGATAACAAGTCTCTTTTAAAAAAGGGATCAAGAATTGTTACAAAAGAAGGATAATAAGACTTAAATAGAATTGCAACTTAAGTTGCCTTAGCAGCCAGAAAATGATTGATATAACAATACAATACATAAGTACATTATATAATAAATAAAGTTAATAATAAATATATCTATATGATATTTTATATATGTATTTATATATAATATATATAAATATCATATCTGATATTCATCTTTTAAAACTTAATCTATAAATGAATCAATTGCTTATTTGAGCTTTTCTTCTCTTGTTGGTTTTGGCTGTGGTATTAGGGTATATCTATTTTAATATGAGCAATCATTATTTTAAAGTTCTTTTGAATTCGTTAAAGATTGGCTACTGTTTTGCTTGAAGGATTAATTGATCCAATCCTTTTGAGGCTATTATATTGAAATTTTAATTGAAGGATCTTATTGGATAATTTTAGGCTAACTTAATTTGTAATAAACGTATAATTTGATGGACTTCTTATTATGAGCCTGGGATTACTGATAAGCATATTAAAGATCCTCATCTTATATTATCACAACTTTATCAGAATCATTATCATAAAAGCTAAGCTTAAGTAGAAATAGCTTTGGTACTAAATTATGATGTTTCTTGTTTATAATCCTATTCTTTTGATTTCTGTCTTTAAGTCTAATAAAGTTTAGATCTCCTTATAGATTAAGAATGTATCACTTTAAGTTATTATTTTAATATCCATTTTATATTATTTTAATATAATATAATAATCAATTTTGTTCAATACTGTCGGCTTGATTTCATGATTCTACTCAGTGATTATTGCAATGAAGACAATTCATGAGAATGACTATAAATATCATATAATATTTCTTACCCTGCAGTAAAGGTTCCAATTTGAGAGGGTGGAATGGAATTCAATTTGGCTGTCAAAAGTCTCATATCACTTTAATTTCCACCAACACCTAATCTACTTAAATTGCTGCCCAAGAAAATAGCTGATTTTGTTGTCTGATGATGAGGTTAATGACTTAAATAAGTTAATTCATTATTGAGACGTGTAAATTTGGTATTTTATATTTGGAGTTCTAGTCCTAACTTTGAATCCCAATTTTTAAATCTATCCAATCTTACCTTTGCTCTTTATGGTGACTCATTATAATTTCTACTAGATCTCAGAGGTGATGTACTTTTATGAATACTACTAAAAACTATATTAGTAGGTGTCAATGGACTAAAATATTTACTTAATAATCTTACTGATATTCTCCAACCACTATGCCTTGTAATCCTTTGGTTTATTTTGGAGAAGAATCTCTAAATAATCTCATTCTAACTGGAGACATGTTTGTGGACTCTCTACTTTTTGAAACAAAGCTAGAATCACCTAGTTTGCTAATTGCAGTAGATAACAACCCAACTTAACTGGCCTTTGGTTTATATACTTTGCTAGAATCAACACTCACTATAGAAGATGTTAACATAATTTTTATTTATGTTTAATAAAATTTATATTTCCCCCCTTTTAAAATAAATTTATGCTAATTATTATTTAGAATTCTTATGTAAATTAAGAATTTTATCTTTTGAATTTATAATTCAATTAAATTAAACTCACATGTTATCTTTATTATTAAGTATACATAATCCGAAATAATTAATAAAAACTTATTTTTATTAAAGTTTCTTTATTAATAATACATTTAATGAATAATCTAAGAGATATTGTACAAAAGGTATCTTATTTATAATGAATGAAATAAACTAATATTCCTATTATTTGATAGATAACAAAATCTTGCCCATCTTTCTTACTATCATAAGCTGACCAATTTTTTCAATTTACTTGTAAAATATTTTAAAAAATTGGTTATTAATTATGATATTAGCAAATCTATATGTTAGTGTAATTAACCATAAAATCCTTAATCAAAAATTAAATGGCCTTAAATTGAAATTTATCTGGAATTTTATAAAAATATTAATTTTTGAAAACAAAAAATAGGTAAATAAATATGATTATATTCTTATATTTAAATTCATGAGGTAACATTTTTCTGAATCTTCTTTTAAAATCATTATAAATCAAGTCTATATAATAAATTTAATTAAGTCATATTTACTATAATAAAACAATTATGTTCAATATCAAATTTTAAGATAATTTAATCTAAGATTTCTTCTTATATTAATAGTATTCAGTATTAATAAAGGAGCCAAAAAAAAATATAATCTAGTAAGCTTAAGACATAAGTTTCGGTTTTAAGATTTAAACATTATATATACTATTATAAATTATAAGAAAAAATGGATTTTGATTTGATAATCAGTTAGAAAGATCTTGAATTAGGAAAATTAGATTGAATTTATATAAATGATTCATTTTTTAAATTGAATATATTTGTATTATGGAAATCATTTTCTTCCAAGACTGGTTTATGAGGCTAAGGATCTAACTTAGTCTTTGAACAATTAGATGACAACATCGATAATGGCATTTTCCTCTATTGATTATTGTGATAAATGGTACCGGCTCTTCTTGCAGTTTCGGAGGCATAGAATTCTCTTTTCTCTTCTAAATCAGCAGTGGCTCCAGCAACAGCGTTTAAGGAATCCTTCCATAATTTGAGTGCTTTGGCTTATTAGGCAAGGACAGCTGGGAGTTGCTATAAAGGAATTATAAAAATTGAAATACAGTTTCTAATTTTTCAACAAGACCAGTTCTTCTTTCATGTTCTGAATTCAACCAGGCAACTTCAGCATTGGTGTCTGAGACGTATTTAGCAAGAGCAAAGGCAGCATGAATTTCTTATTCTTATAAAGTGGCAAGAGTGGATTCTAATTCAGCTTATAAGTCATATAAGATTTAGAGGACTTATTCTCCGGTTGTGCCTTCTCTCTTGACTTCAGCAAGTGATTAGAATTTTTGGAGGGCATCTTATTAGAAAAGATGGCTATATGCTGATAATTTATCGGCGATAGTTTAGGCTTTTTCAACGAGTTCAACTCCAGCATTGTTTGTGAGGAAACCAGCAACATCTTATTATAAGAGTTAGACAACTGCTACGGCATCAGCATGATCAGCAAGGGATTTGACAAAGAGTCCATTGGCCCAACATCTTTAGTCTTGGAGTTAAGCATTTCTTCTTTCGATTTCAGCAAGTCTGGCTTCAGCCCAGGCTAACCATTAATATCCATCCTTGATAAATTAATGAGTGTTCATACCCTGACTTAGGCTTCAACATCTGTTCTGACAACACCAAGTGATTCCCATTATTGTTTGTTGAGTGAGGCAACATTTGTCAAATCACCAATGACTTAGGAAAAGATTTCTAGAATGAATGAATGAATGATATACCTTCATCTGTATTGTTCTTTCTGTCGGCAGCAGCTTACACATTAACATTTTCTGTCTTCAAATCTCTTAAGAGATTGTAAACTGATTCAACGGCATCATTTCCTCTTGTGCCTGCTTGGAGAAGCACGGCAAATTTGTTTGTGTCAAGTGCAAACACAGCTGCTACGAGGCAAATCACAACGAATGTTTTCATATTTATTTTTAATAATACCAAAAACGGAATATAAAATCATCGTTTTAATGTTGATTATATATTATTATTAATAATATAATCTTGATGCATTCATAGGCTGTCTAGATATTAATTAAATTTATTCATATATCTTAATTTTCATTATAAGTATCCTCACAGATCAATTTGCACTAATTAAAATGAACTTCACAAATCCCTGTTCCGTTTTTACGACACTGTTCTAATATGATTCGACATTCATCAATACAAATTATTTTTGGACATTCATCTAAACATCCATGAACCACACTAAATATTAGGTTTTAATTACTTCTAACAATTTTTATGGCAATATGATGGATTACCAATACTATCACATCCACTTGTGCAATCTAACCAATCCATAGTACAATCCCGTTTACATTCTTCATATGTAATTTAACTTAACGTTATACAAAACATTATTGTAACAAAGAGTAGTGATTTCATTAATAATTTATATTTAAAAATATTAATCAAATTCACTTAATTCACTTTAATTTTTGCATCAGATTTATTAATTCATCTAAAGAAATCTCTCCATCATTATCTTTATCACATTCTTCTAAAATATTCTTCCATTAATTATCATCAATCTTAATACCAGACATAATATATTAAAGTTCAGCTCTTTGAATTTTGCCATCCCCATTCTAAAATTATTATGCATTTTACTTTATCAAACATTTAGAACACTTATTTTAATTTCTCTTAGGAAAGTATTTTTTCTTTATTAACTGCAGCTACTAAAAATTCTAATAATATTTAAAAAATAATAAGGATACCATTAAAATCAATTTATCCTGATTAATTAATATCAACTTATTTCATAATCTCTTAAACTAATTTCTCAGCTTATTCTTATCCATAAAGTTTAGAATAATGTTTCTTTAATTCATCAGGACTAATTGTTCCATTTCCATCAATATCCATAGCTTTAAATTATTTCAACTATTCTTCCTTTTCTTAATAAGTAGTAACTTGAGTAACAATGAATAATTATATAGCATTTTTTAATTTAGATGTACTCTAGAATTAAACTTAAATATTGATACATAAAAATCTTTTAAATTATTAAGTGCATTAGCTTGTACTGGAGTATTTGGAGCTTTTGATTAAATCCATGGATCTTACAATGCTTATTGAGCTGTGATTCTTTATTAAGGATCAAATTTAAGCATTTTTGTTATTAAATCTTTTGCTTCTTATGAAATAGATCTCCATTCAGTATCTAAATATTAATGATTTAATTACCATTGAATTCAAAAGTACCTTTTTAAATTTTCCTTTTAATTGTTGTATCATCACCATTAAAAGGAGGATAACCACATAAAAGAATATATAGAATCACCCCAACACTCCAAACATCCACTTTAAGATCATATTAACCTTGGAATACTTCAGGTGCCATATAATATAACTTAAATTAAAGATAAGAAATACAGTCCCAATTTTTAATTTTAATTTTTCGTCTTCTTATACTTTACGAGAAGTACCAAAATCTATTACTTTAATATTTGAATTGGCACTTTTGGTTTCCAATAATATGTTCTCTAATTTAAGATCTCTATGAATAATTTTTCTTTCATGACAATACGTCACTGCCGATAATACTTATTTCATTATTTCAGCTGCCTTTTTTTCAGTAAAGTTCTTTTCAGATGCAAGTTTATCAAATAGTTCTCCACCCTAACAAAGTTCAGTAATCATATAATAATAGATATTGTCTTAAAATAGTTTATGTAACTTAACAATATTAGGATGGTCAATTAACCTCAAAATGTCCATCTCACTAAATAAGATCTTTTAATCCTCCTTAATTAATCCTTATTTCTTTATTTGTTTCATAGCATATGGCATTTCTAATTAGTTTATATCAATTAATACTAGTTTTACGATGAGCTACTAATTTTACACACCCAAAGGCTCCTTCTCCTAAAGTTGACCTGACCTCATACTCCTCATAGATGTTACCATCCTTTAAGTCTACAAAGATCTCTGATGATATCTTTTCTCCTGTAAACTCTTTTTATTGTTCTAATTTTCTAGGATTATTTGCAGAAGCAGAATCAGATGAAGCGCAACCCATTATTAATTATATTTATGTATTTTTCAATTCTAATCTCTACTATATTTTTTGATGCTCTCTTCTAATTTACTTGAGCATCCACAATCTCCTCCCCATCTTTCATGAACTATACTACAATTGAACAAAGTCTTATAATTTATATAATTATTATTATACTTTATTTAATCTCTAATTAACTTCATTATGAAGCATACATAAATATTACATGAAATCTACTCTTGAGTTTCCTTCATATGGTAAAATTGTTGTCATATTTAAAAAATGTCCTGCACATTCTTTACATGGATAAAATTAGCCACTAAAATTATATAGAAATCAATACAAAAGATTTAAAAACACATTAATTTTGAATGTGAATTTCTCATCAAATTCTACAGGCAAAGTTGCTGAAATCATATGTAATAATGTCCATCCATTTCTACCAAGTTCTTCTCTAGTAATACCACTGCTAAATTTCTTTTCTAATATTGACAGTTTGGTAAAGCTATATTACCATTAATAATTTCAATTTCATCTTCATCCATATTCTCAAGCTCCTCCTTTTCTGGTTTAACAATATCCCAATCTGAAGGTACTTTAACATCCATCAAATCTATTGCAAAAGGTTATTTTTCCAACTCTATCTATTCAACTACTTGCTCGTACTAATTAAATGTGTTCACCATAAACAAAATCAAAAAGAATATTGATACTCCTATTAACACAATATAGTTTTTTTCCATTTTTTTTATATAAATATATTATAATTATAAAATACATAACATAATAAAATTAATATCTGTGATATTTTCATAATATAAAACAATCATAATAGATTTATATATATTCAATAATATTTTGTATTTCAAATTTATTTAACATTAAGAATTTCATTATTTCTAATAAAATATATATATTTTATAATCTTTAATATTATTTTGAATGCTTGGTTGGAATAAAATTACTTAACTTACAAGTAAGGCTGGTGGAGCTGTCTCTAAAGTAAAAGATTTTGCAAAAGACTTAATAACAGTTGATACAGAGGAGAATGAAAATTAAACAAATAATGTTAATCAAGATTTTCAATCAGCATTTGCTTAATTATAAAAAGGATATGGTTTAGCTTAAAGTCCTAAAGAGATTTAAAAAAAAGCAAATGAATCATCTACTAGAAGTCCTATTGAATCAACATCTCCAATTCAAATAGAGAAGAAAATTGAAATGTAAGAAATTAAAAGACCTGAAATTGATAATTCACCCTTTATTGAAATTAAAGAATTTATTTAACAGACATTTACATCAATATAATAAACAATTGATACATCAATTAATATTTCAGAAGAATTATAAGATAATAAAGAAGGAAATAATCCTGATATTTTAACTGATTAAACATTAGAATAATCTGAAACAAATAAATAAGATCTTAATAATAATGACTAATCTAATTTATTATCTCTTAAAGATAAATTAAATGAAATCCTTAAGAATGCATCAAAATAAGTAGATATATTGATTCTATAAATTCAAAATGGATTTTAAGAATCACTAAATAAGTTAAATGATCAACTTTCAATTGAGTAATAATCAATAGGGGATATAGGTGCATTGATTAATTAATTCTTTATTACAATATCTCGTTAGAGTACTTTTTATGATAGATTTAATTAACTCAGATAATAAAAAGGATAGTCTAAAGAGATTGTAAGTTTAATTGAAAAATCACTTGTTAATACAAGTACTGAAATAATGCAATCGAAATAAGAATAGTAATAGAGCAAAAAAGAATAATAATTAATAAATGAAAATGCAAATCTATAAAAAAAGATTGTAGAAATGTAAGATAAGATTAATAATACAAATAATTAAATTAAGGATTTATAAAATAGAATAAAAGAACTTGAAAAATATCAATAAGAGTGGGATAAAATAAAAAGAGATTATGCTGAAGAAATAAAATAAAACTTTAATGAATCAGAGAATCTTAAGGCTAAACTTAAATAAAAGGAGTAGGAGGTATTAATATATATATATATATTAAATTTAGTTATAATAAAGTAATTCAGATTTATAGAAAATGCAGGATCTTAGAACAATCTTAGAGCAGAAATAAGAAGAAATTGATAGATTGGAAAAACTATTAGAGGAATGGTAACTTGAAAATTAATCATTATAAAGTGGTATTCAGGCAGCATAACTATAATTAGAAGCAGAAAAAGTATTGTTGAATTCTACATTTTTTAGGATTAAAAGGAAAAGATCATAAAAAAGTTTTAGGATGAATTTAAGAAATTAAGATCTGAGATTAGTAAAGAAGACATTAGTTAATTAAAGTTTTTAAAAGAAAATAATGAAAAATTGAAATTAAACAATTCTTAATTAAAATTATAAGTAGAAGAATTAACAATAAAACATGAATCTTTGTTAAGATCTCATGATGATCTTAAATCAGAGGCTCAAGCTCTTCATAATAAAATTAGGTAAGATCAGAATTATGTTAATAATATGGTTGATAAAAGAGTAATAACAAATGTTTTAATATAATATTTTGATTTCAATTCTGATTTCAAAGTTAAAGTGTAAATATTAGAAACTTTAGGAAGTTTATTGGATTTAACTAAAGATGAAAAAGAAAAAATAAGTAAATATAAAATATTATAATAGATCCATATAGAAATAGATAGAATTAACCATAAGGTCAATAATAGTCTTCTAGTTTTAGAGATAAATTTATTGGGTTCTTAAAACAAGGGGAATGATTTATATTATTTTAATTAAATATGAAAGCTCTCCTATAATAAACTATGTAGTAAATTAAATTAGACTAAGAATTAAAGAAACTTTTAGCTAATAGAAGTGATTCCTAAGATATTTTAATGAAGTATAAAATGTGATTACTTATAATAGATTATAATCAATTTTTGAATAAGCACTTGATGATCATACAGAATTATATTGGAAGAAAGAACATTCTCATACTAAAGCTTAATTAGAATGTTCTATTTAAGAATGTCTTTCATTAAGACATGATTTAAGAGAAATGGATGAAGATAGAACAGAAAAAAAAAAAATAATCAAAGAACAAAATAAATAAATAGATGAATTGTAAGTAGCTTTAGGAGATATAGAATAAAAGTTAAATATTATGCAAGAAAACATTTTATAGTAAAAATAAGGATTAGCTGAGGAATTTGAACAAAATTTGAATTAAATATAAGATAGTTATAAATAAAAAGAATAAGAGTAATGTTAATTTTTATAATAAAAATTGGCAGAATTAGAATAAGTAGTTAGTGATTAATAGGCAGCTTTAACAAAAGAAAGAGAGATATAATAGCATGTTGGAAAGGATTTTAAATAGGTAAAGGCATAATTGAAAACTGAATAAGAAACAGTTGCTTCATTAAGGTAATAAATGTAAAATATGAAAAAAACTAATGAAACTATTAGTATTGATAAATAAAGTTTAGAAAATAGATCAAAATAATTAAAATAATAAAATGAAACATAATACAAATAAATAAAGTCATTAGAAACTAAATTAATAGATTTGAATGAAGAAATAGAAAGGTATAAGAAAAAGAATTAGTAGGATTAGACTAATCTAAAGACATAATAAAATGAATAAGAAAAAGTATATAGAAGGAAATTACGAAATTATAAATTAAAGGTAGATGAAATTAAAAATAAAATTAAAATAAGTATGCAAAAGATATTCTCAAGTCTAAAATTAGAAATGGAAACTTTTAAATTATAAATCTAAAAAAATTTATAATTGATTTCAACATAAACTTGTTAAATTGTTTCTAAATAATTGAAATTTGATTATGAGTTAACATAAAGAGATTATTCTGATAAAATGGAATAAATTAGATATACTATGCAATCACATTTTAAAAACACTTTAGAAAAATAAATTTAAGAATTTGAATCTAAAGAAATGCAAATGAAGAATGAATATGAATTAATAATTAAGAATTTAAAATCATAAATATAAGGTCTTGAAGATATTTAAAAAGATTTAGAAAGTGAAATTTAATTAAAATAAATAGAAAATTAAGAACATTAATTGAATTTATAAGAAAAAGTAAAATTATTGACTGAATAATAAAAAGAACTATAAGAATTATCAGATCAAGCTAAAAATTAATTGAATTTATTATTAGAATAAGAAAATTAGATTAAATAATTGAAAGAATAAAATGAAAAGTTTTAACGTAAAACAATGTAATATGAGGATTATGTAAGTAAATAAGCAATTTTATATTAAACTTAAAAGACAGAGGAAAAAATGTATAAAAAGTAGTTTGAAGATGTAACAGAATCTAATTAGCATTTAAGAAAATAAATAAAAATATTATAGGAACAATAATAATGTGATTCATTTGCAATAAATAAACTAAAAACTTAAGTATCTTCAGCAAAATTAAATACTGTTAAGGATGCAGATGAAAGACATTTAATAAGACTTTAAAATATAAGAAAAATCTGATAATATAGATAAATATAATTTTTTTCAATGTGTTAACTTAAATGTATTTGCCTGAAGAGATTATTGGTTAAGTTCATCAAGTTTAATCATTTATTTTACTTTCTTTGGTAGAGTAGTCTTTTTTGTTAATTGTTTTTTTAAATCAACAGTTTAAGAATATAAATTATCTAGATGAATTTCATAAGTAGATTATAATGAAGAAGTATGAGATTCATTATCTAAGTCTTCATGAATTTTTTATTCAGTTTTATGATATCTCTTTTTGAGTCTTTGATTTCCAATTTTAATAGCTATAATTTCATGTGAAGGAATAGCTTCTTCATCCATTTCAGTGAAATGATTTCTAAGAATAATTGGTTTTGGTTTATTATGAAGATAATCATATAATTCTAGATCTTTAGATGTCAATACATCTTTATTGTATAATTAAAATTTAGAATTGGATTATTTGGTAATTTACATTTTAGTAAGTTTATTTAATTCTTATTACTTAAGATAATGTTATCTTGAAGCTTCATCCATATATTTTTTGGTTGATTCAGTTAAATTGTTTTTTAAAAATATTTTTGAAATCGCAGGAATTTCTTTTGCATTTTTGATAACTTTGAATAGATATTAATAATACTTGGTTTCAAATCATCATAGCTGACTGTCATAGTCTTTAATGATTTAATAGAGGGAATCTTTTTAGTAAAAGGATCTTTAATTTAAGCTAATTTATCTTCAATTCCTTCAGAAGCATCCACAATAGTTTTAAACAATCCAACATTTTATAGATTTTATCTTCTTTGAGTTTCATTATCATCTTTCTTTTACATCATTCTAGTATGTATTAAATTGTTTAATCCTTAGAGTTTGGATTTTAAATAGACACTTCTATCATCTTAAGTGTTTCTAACTTATTTGTGTTTGAATTTATTTTTAAATCTTACCAAAGGTCCCAAAATACTTATTCCTTTTGAATCAGCATGATCTTCCATTAATTATTATCTTAATCTAGGATAGTTGGATAATTGTAGTAATTCAATACTCGTTATTTTACCATCTAAAAACAAATCAAAAGAATCTTTGAATAACATATTGTTATTATGTGTTTAAAGAGCTACATTCCCTTTAGAAGATCTTTAACTTTAACTGCTTCTGACTGAATCAATAATTGGATTGAATTTAATCTGCTTTGATTTTCTAGGTGAAATCAAGTTTTTCAATTATGGAATTTTTTTTCTTTGAGTCATAATGTTACTACTAAATTCTTTGACTTCATCAGTCTCTGTTCTAAGATAAGTAGAAATAGTAGATGATTCATTCATTATTTTAATTAAATATGCGTCTAAGAGCGATATCAGAGAATAAAAAGCCTGCTGGAATGAGAAATATGGGAAGAGATCTATCAACAATGAAAGAAATGATAGCATTTTGGGGTAAGAAAGATGAACCAGTTAAATTACCTCCTATAAATGTAATAGAAAGATCAGATTTCTATGAACATAAACCCTATGAAATCAAATTTAAAATATATCAGAATTGTTTTGCTTATAATAATCTCATACATAAAGAATTTGAACTTCTATATATAACAGCTCCAAATCAAATGGATGATTCTTTTATAGAAATAGAGTATAAAATGTTTGTTTCAGATTGTTATTTTGGAAGACCTACATTTACAAATACAGAGTTTAGTACATAAATATAATATTATGTTGGGTAAATAGATAAAACAAGTAATCTATTTTTTATATCAAGTTAGTTGTATGTATTAAATTGAAAACATGCCTGAACATTTATTAAGTTCATCAAAAAGTATAAGATCTATGTTTTATCATTACTATTTTAGTTCAAAACATGATAATCTACCTTTTATTCAAGTGCTCAAAACTCCAATAGTTTTTAGAGAGAAAAAAACATTAAGATTTAGAACAATGAGTACTTCAATATCAGAACAATCATAAAATGGATTATTAACTTTGGTTTATATAACAGAATAATATGTACCTTTATAAAATATATATTCAAAAAAATTGGAAATGGGTAAATTTTCTTATGATTAAAAATTACATTTTGCACTTAAAATTATGCAACTTGTTAATTCTGTTGAAAGATTGGGAATAGCTATTTTAGAATTAAATATGGAATCAATATTAATAACTAAAGGAGGTTAATTTAAAATATCAACTACTAATCTAATTCCCTTTATATAAGTTGCTGCTTATAAAGAAGTATGGTCTATGTATGATGAATATGATAAAGTTTATACTCATTTATCATTACATAAAACTATTAAACCACCTGAAATTAAAAGAAGAGAACCAATTAAAGATTTTAGAGCAATAACAAGATATAATATTGGTCTAATAATTTTATAACTCTATTTTGATATTCCAAATATTTAATATATAGATGAATAAAAGATGTAAAGTTTGTTATTTCAACTCATTCCAAAAAGACCATCTGGAATAGATGATGATTAAATTGATAAATCAAATAAATCTATTTAATTTGAATAAACCAATCCTTTAGGTGCATTAATATTGAGATTCTTATCCATAGATCCAATAAAAAGACTAGAATTTTCATTAATCTAATTAATGTAAGTAGAATATGATGTAGATAATTATGATTTTACTGAAGATATGTAACATTTCTTTTCAAATTATAATGCATATTACAGACCATCATCATAATCAAGTTATAAAAGTAAATAATCTAATCAATTTTAATAATAAAATAGTTTTGTATCTGGAGATAATAATAATAATAATATATCATCATTTGTAAAATAACTATATTAACCTACTAATAATAGTCAAGATGATATGCCTGCTATAGCATTAAAAATGCCTGAATTAACACAAAGAAGTAAGAAGAAAATTGGAGCACCTTCATATCAATCATATGTCAGATCTAAAAATTTAATTGCTGAAGTTCATTTCAATCTTTATTTATATCAATCTGCTCTTGATTAATGGTAGTATTTATTATCAGATGTTGAAGAGTGTTTTGGTGAAACATCTCCTGAATGTGAATATATATTAGAAAGAATATGGGTATTAGCTTAACATCTTGGATAAGAGAGAGTATTAGAATAGATTAGTTAAAAATATGTAACAATAAGAAAGTCAAATGTAAAGGGTGTAAAAGAATAATTAGAAGTTGCTCATCTTCTTTAAGATTAAGCCAAAGTCAAGGCTCTTATAAGACCTAATGAGGCTGTAGATCTATATCATCAATCCTCAAAATAATTTTAGATGGTTAAAGGTAAGTTTAATAATCAAAGTGCTTATAATTCAATGCAAATAGGATTGATTTATTTAAAATTAATGAATATTGAAAAAGCTAGAAGCAATTTAGAATATGCTGTATACATCTTTACTAAAATGGAAAAGTCATCTATTGTACCATTTTTAATAGCTACAACATGGTAAATTGATGATGAAGAAGTTGTCAAAGAACCAGTAAATAAAATTAAATTTTTTCAATCTCTTTTTAATTTGGGTTCATTTTATTTCAACTTTGAAAGTTAATAGAAAGCTTATGGAGTATTATAAGCAGCTAAAGATGTTATGGATGAATTAAAAAAAGGTGAGCTTTATCCTGAGTAATAAATTTTTAATTCTACTTTAGATTAATAAGATTGTGTAGAACTGAAGTAATTAAGTTATACACTGAACTTTCAAGATGTCTAATGAGTAATAATGAAATTGATGATGCACTTAAATTAGTAGAGGAAGGAATATAATAAAATACAGATCAACTTGAAATAAAATCATTAATTGATATTAAAGTGGAAATTTTAGTAGCTCAAGGAAAAATATCAGATGGATTAGCAAGTAAAAATATAAATTATATTTTTAAGTACTTGGATTATGGGCAAGATAATTTTAGAGATCTAATAATTTAACTATGGAAACTGCTTATCTTCTCAAAGAAGTAGGTGATTTAGCTTACAAACTTAAAGATGTATAATTAAATTCTTATTATTAGTTTAATGTTGCTTTTAGTTTTTATTCTGAAGCTTTAGCTATTTATTAAAAAGGAAAAGTAAAAGGTTTAAAACAAAAAAATGAAATATAACAATACATTCAAGATATTGAAGAAAATCTTTAACAAATTTTCTAAATTTAAAAAATGTGATAAATCATTATTTTTTATTATGATATTTTAATAAAACTAAAAGATTACAAATTTTTATTAAAATATAAGAATAAGTAAGGATTAATCTTTTTTGGAAAATAAAGATTGATATAAATATACAATAATTTCATGATACTAGAGTAATTCTATCGTTTTAATCTCCATGAATTTAAATTTGATTAAGTGAAGAGTATGTATTTAAAAACTCTTCAATTTCTTACATTTAAGATCCTTTACTAATAGCTTATCTAACAAATGAATCTTTTGTTATAGTTCCTTTATTTTTATTACATAATGATGACAATAATTCATATAATTTAGCAGTTTTATCCTTTCTTTATACAGTGTCTAAGATAATATAAATATAGATACCATCTATTTATTATGCTCTTCTAACACTTTCTTAGGAAATATCCATCAATCTAATAGCTTCTTCAACATCTCTTTGTGTGACTCTATCAGCCAATTGTAATTTAGCCTAAAATAAATAATAAGTAATACAATAGCTTATGATAATCTAATAATAGCTAATAATGTTCTTGGAGTAGTGTAAGAATATCCATCAAGAGTTTTATCAAATGTTTATTTTCTTCTTTCAACATATTGATCAGCAATATATTAATGTATTTCAGAAGTAAGGATTGGTTCATATTATTTGGATAAAGCAACAAATGTAGTTATTTCTTCAACTGAATATAAATCTTGAGTCTAATTTTCCTTATATTTATTTTAATGAACTCTACCAATATGATATGCTAATTTAGTATCAGCTTCTTAATTAATTTCATCTAATAAAATGAATATAAGATCAAATCTAGATAATAAAGCAGCAGGTAGATTGATATTTTGATGTGGTGTCTATTTTTTATTATATCTTCCATATAAAGGATTAGCAGCTGCTAAAATAGATGTTCGAGCATTTAAAGTAGTAGTAATACCTGCTTTAGCAATACTAACAGTCTGTTATTCCATTACTTCATGAATAGCAGTTCTATCACTTTCATTCATTTTATCAAATTCATCAATGCAACATACTCCTCTATCAGCCATAACTAAAGCACCACCTTCTAATGCCATCTCTCCAGTAATTGGATCTCTAATTACTGCAGCTGTAAGACCAACACTAGATGATCCTTTACCAGTTGTATAAACTCCTCTTGGAGAGACTTAAGATATATATCTTAATAATTAAGATTTGGCTACTCCTGGATCTCCAATTAATGCAACATTAATATCTCCTCTAATTTTTAATCCATCATGCATTTCTTTACTTACTCCTCCTACAATCATTAATAATAATGCTTTTTTAACATCTTCCATTCCAAATATTTCAGGTGCAATTGATTTTGCTAATTTCATATACAAATCACTGAATGGATATTTTTTAATATCTTCAAAAATCTTATGACCACTAACACTTTCAATATCAATTTCTTTAAATTTCTTTTTATCTCTTTTAATATGGAATGCTTCTATGTAAGTACTATAAAATGATGTTTTATTAGCAAAGAATCCTTCTTTTTCAACTGGTAAAAAGACACCTTAAATAGTAACCATATCTCCTGGAGAACATATTCTAATGTTACTATCTCCTCTTGCCATAACTGTAAATGTTCTTGGAATTGATCCTTTAGGTAATTGTTCTTTAAGTTCTTATATTTTGATTTCTTAATTGGATATAAATTTAGAACTGCCATGATTGAATATCAATCTTCCTCTCACTCTATTATCTCTACATTTATCACTTGCACAATCAAGCATTGGAGTAAATGTCTTACCATGTACTGTTTAATAATTTTCATATCCACATGCATCACATGAAAAACATGCAACTATTATTTATGGTCTAACTTCTGATGTTCTAACAACCATTGCTTTTATTGTAATTAAACATCCTATCAATTAAGCCTTTAGATTTCTTATAGCCATGATTTATTATTTTGTTTATGGTCCACGTATTATAAATAGTTGACTACATTTATTTATTTAATTTACTATCTGCGTATTAATTCTGGAGGAAGTCTTTTCTATTGATTATTGTTTCCATCTTACTCCATATTCTATTGTCTTTAAACATTAATTTCCTCATCAAATAAATCAAAGTTTTATTCAAAATCTCTTGTCTATTGAGGCATTAAAGCATCACAAGCTTAATATAGTAATCTTTGATAAGATAATGTATTTGTTTTTATTTTATTAACAAAATCTATTCTATCATTGAAGAAATATTCAAGATCCTCTAAGTAGATATCAATACGATTAGTTTATCTGTTTGCTATTTTTTACTATTTTACTCTCAATTATATCATACCAACTCAATCATGTATTTGCGTTAACCATAAGTATTATCAATTTCTACTATTGAATTGTCACGAAACTCTGCAAGAAATTCACTTAGACTGCTTAACTCTGAAGCATATTCAGGCACAAGAAATTGACGCTTGTTATTTTGTTTTGCCATTTATTTTTATTATTGATCACAAATTGTGGGAATTTGATAAAATGGGCGCCAATTAATATTATATATTTATAATTAATAAAATTATTATTTTTGTGAACTCCCCTTTTAAAATTATCTCATTATCCATTTAATTCAATTTTAAATTATAAAGAAATACCTTCAATATTAATTCTAAGAATCTTATATACATAAAAATAATTTGCTATTCTAAAACTAATTACAAATAAAATCTTAATAGAGATCATTTTTATAAACTTAAAATAATAAACTCAGTATAAATACTCATCCCTAATATGTACATTCATTAAGATTATTTTTTGTTTAACTATATAGTGAAATAATATTATATATATATAAATAAAATTAATCAAAATGGTGAGTGCTTTTTCTATTGGTAAAGCGTAACGATGTATTTATTATGTTTAAATTTATCAGCCACTTAACCCAGGAGTGAAACACCTGGACCAGGAGCTTACTAACCATTAAAGAGATAGAAGATGACACCTCCATCTTTCAAGTAAATTTTTGCCTGTTAAAGTAGATTTGGATCTGGTAATAGAAGTGGCCTTCTAAAAGTATTTGCCCCAGGACCTGGTGCTTATGAGCATCCTTCAAGAGTAACCAAAGAAGGACCAAAGTATTCCTTTGGTCTTAAGAAACCAACAATTTTAGCAAAATAAGGACCAGGACCAGGTAAATTTTAAGCATTAATTTTTTCCAGGAGCTTACAATCCTAATTACAGAACAATGGTCAAAGCTCTTCCTAATTATTCAATAGGGGCTAAACTATCATAAAACTACTCTACATTTTAACCAGGACCAGGAGCATATGAAAATCCATCTACAGTCATGGGAGTTCCTTGCATGAAGTAAGGGTATAGTTTTGAGTTTAAGATTTCCCCATTCAAAGCGAGATGGATTTTTTGATTTGAATCGAACTCCAGGACCTGGATCATATCTAAAGAGACCAAATAGCGCTGGCCCTTAATATAAATTTGGGACAGCATCTAGGGGAGCATTTTCAGAAAAAAAGAATCCTGGTCCAGGAGAATATGAAGCAAGAAGCGAGTTTAATGTTTCACAAAAGGGATTTTCTATGCTTTCAAGAAGAAATTAAACTCAGTAGGAATTAGTTCCAGGACCTGGAACTTATAACTGGGATAAGAAATAAAAATTTAGACCTCCTTCATATAAAATAGGAAATGAGAATAGAGATAGCTTAAATAGAGAAATGCTTAGAACTCCAGGACCAGGAACTTATGAATCTAGATATGAATTTGCAAGGCCCAAATCAGCTTAAGTTCGTATAGGAAGTGCTACTCGTAGACCTTTGAGTGATACAAGAGATATTCCAGGACCAGGAACTTATGATTTGAATACTAAAATAGGAGAGGGACCAAAACATTAGATTTTAGGTAGTAAATATGAACCAACTACTACTTTAAATTAGCCTGGGCCAGGTGCTTATAATCCAAATGATGGACCAAGTAAACAAAGACCAGCTTCAGCAAAGATTGGTACTGGTTAAAGAGCTGAATTGAATGCTGGTTTTGGGAAAGATGCTCCAGGTTTAGATTATTAATTTAATATTAGGGCCTGGAAATTATAATTTGAGAGGTTCATCAGATGGGCCTAAATGGGGATTTGGAACAGGACTAAGACCAAATTTAAATTAAACAGATTAGAGTGTTCCAGGACCAGGAAATTATAATCTCAAGCCAACTTTTGCAGATGTTCCATCATATCTATTGAATAAATGAATATATATGAATTATAATATGATGATGGAAATAAGTTTTTATTTTATTATTCTATTTATTAATATTTGAGTTGTCGTTTTTTATAAAATAAATTAAGTCAATTTTTATTGAAGAAATAAAAAACGAATAGTGGTATATGAAAAGTGAATTTGGTTTGATTGTAAAACATTAATTTAATTATGAAATTGATTCTCATCGCTCTTTTGGGATTAACACTCACACAAGCTGTCTTTGTTAAGAGATCTAACGATCCAAGCAAGGCTGTCTTCACATAATTAGAAGCAATGGAAGAACACGAATTAGGAAGAAAATTGTTAGACACAATTGCTCTCTAATTGAACAACAAGGCCCCATTGGGAGACATCGCTAAAATGTTATAATAATTGAGAGAAAACCTCATCCTCAACTAATAAGAAGCTGATTAAAAACATGCTTAAGATGAAGTTGACTGTGAAACAGAAATCTATTAATATAACAGAAGAATTGACTTCGCTTCCAACGAAATCACTGAATCAACCTAAGAAATCTAAACCCTCAGTGCCAAAGTTGAATAATTGACTTAAGATGTTGAAAACAAATAAGTCTAATTAGATATCTTGAATGAATAAGAAACCTAAATCAGAGAATAAAGAGCTGAAGATGCTGAAAGTTTCAAGACATTCGAGAATGAGACAGAAAATGTCATTGAGGCTGTTGAAGTCATCATCTAAAAGTTGAGCTCAATCCAACCAGATTAAGAAGTCTTGGCTGCTTTAACATAATTAAACAAGATTGGTGCATCCAACCCAATCCTTGCTCTTATGTAAGTTGCTTCAACCTTCTCAGCTGAATAATTAAACAATGTCCTCGGAAAATTAGGTGAAGTCAGCACTTAATTAGCTGAAGCTCTTGAAGATGCCAGATAAACCGAAATCTAAGCTTAATTAGATTTTGAAGCTTTGGTTGTTGAAATTGCTTCATAAAGAGAATCATTGAGCGCTGCTAGAGAAGACTCTGAAAGATAACTCTAAGATAACTAATAAGCTTTGGATTTATAAAAGAAGAGAAAGGAAGATGCTACTGATGAATTGAACGCTGCCTCATCAGGAAAGGAATAAAAGGAAGCTGAATGCGATTCATGGAGAACTTAATATGCTGAAGATTCTGAACACAGATAATAAGAAATCTCCATCATCAGATAAGTTGAAGAAATCTTAGCTACCAAGTTATCCAACGTTAAGGTTTATCTCTAAGAGAGATCATCAGCATGATATAAATTTAATTCTTAAAAAAATATATAAATCAACCCTCATTTTATAAATCACATTTTATAATTATTTACTATATATGTTTTTAGATAATGAAAACATGAGCATGCGGCTCAAAATTGTAGAAGATCGATTAGGATTTATGGAAAATTTAACTCAATTACAAGACAAACGAATAAATGAATTAACAAAATAATTAGATCATGTCATTCACTAATTTCAAGATTTGAATTTGGATCGTTGCAGAAATGATGAAGGTTTATCATTTAAATTTGAACGCTTTGAAAAGACACTTCTTATGTTGTAAAGAGAAATGAATCAAATAGGTATTCAATTTATTACTAACTTAAAGCTACACATCAAGATGAAAGAATTAATTAATTGATCAATTAATTAGTTGAACCTAGTTTTAAAGATATAGATATTTAAATTAAATAAGAGTCTCAAAGATTGTAATTGCAATGTCAAAGGTAGTTAGATGAAATGTATGAGGAGATTGTTAATAAATTTAAGACACCTTTATAAAGTAGTGTGGCTCATGGAGGAAGAGTGAGCATATTTGAATCAAATACTTAGGATGATACTAAGAAAAAAATTGATGATGAAATTAATAGAAGAATATAAGAAGAAAATGAAAAAAGAAGATCTTTTTTGGAAAGTGAAACAAAATAATAAAAGAATGGATAATTATCAACTGAAAAATCAAGATCAAGAGAAATTTAAAATCGTTTAAATCTAGAAAGAAAAGCAAAATAAGACAAAATAAATCAATTAAACGAATTATACCAATTTAGAAAGCATTGAAAAAACTATAAAAATCAATATAATACTATTATCAAATTATAGTTATTTCTATATATATAATATATATTCTATGATCCCTTTAATATATTAAAGAAATAAATATTCATTTCTAATAATATCTATTTATAACTTTACTTAAGAATATATATTTAAATTAAAATTTTTAATGACATTATCTCTGCTATTATATGATTATATTATTTCTAAAAAAATATTAATTTATTTTTAAGTCTCTTAAGAAGTAAATTAAAATTAACTAAAATTTGTATACTATTTTAACATATAATTAAAAAATTATCAATTAATTTTATACTTTATTTTATCTTACTAAAAAAGATGTTCATATTTTTATTACTCTTAAGGATCCCACCAAATTGTAATAGTGCATTATCTCTATTATTTTTTAATTTAAGTTTCAATTAATGATTCATGTTATAAATTATTCTATTAATTATTTATTTCCATTTATGATGAAGACTATTATATTTCAAGTTATTAGGATTGTTAATAATTTTCAATATAGCTAATTTATTGAGATTAGTGATAATTTAAATGATTATTTGATGTTCCTACTTAATCATATTCATCAATATTATTGACTTAATTTGCTTTATTTAAATCTTCTTCTAATTTTTTTATGTACTATGATTGAGTTAGATTATCTCCTCCAATTACAATACCTTTTGGTTATTAATCATTATTTTATTTTTTTATAATATCTTCAACAATTGGTTAAGCTTATTGGTGTATCTAAGGTTCATTATGGATTTCTTTATTAATAGTCTAAGGTTGACGATGGAAATTTATATCAATAATTTCTCCTTTGTTCACTAGAATTTAAATTAATAATTACTTTTCATCTATCCATCTAGACCTTTATGAAAAACTAGAACTTATGGATTAATTTAATTTTAATTTAAACATATTTTGATAATTGTAGATCTTCCTCCAATAAATTTGTTTGTATCCTTAATTTATAAACAGAATTGTTCACTTAAGTTAAAAGCTCTAGATTTAATAATAAATATATACTAATAATATGCAGCTTCTTGAATCATTTCTCCAATATTTATAAGCTCTATATTATCATCTAAAATTGTTTTAAATGATTCTTCTTAATCTAATCCTGACATTTCTATTATTACTTCCATAAATATTTAATATTAAAAATAAATAAAAAATAAGAAAGATATATTATTGAATTATTTATTATCAACTCACTTATTTTTTATAATTTGATATCTAAAAATGTTAATTTATATTAAATTAATGATGATATATATTAAATGATAATGCAATTCTTATAATTCATAACTTTTCTTTTTTCTTTTTTTCTTCATAATTTACAAAAGAACCTCTATTCATTCCTTTAAGTGATGAATAATTATCCCATTCACCATTTCTTCCATCATTATATTTACGTAATAAATATACACCATTAGAAACAACCTAAAGTTATTTAATAAATAAAATACCTTCTTTGCATCTTAAATTTCAACCATATGATGTGTGTCTCTATGAAGTTTTTTTAATAATGCTAATTTTTCTTCATTAGGATTAAGTTTTTCTTTATCTGCAAGATTAGGTGGGAAATCTAAAGGCATTTTAGTAATATCTTTTTTTTTGTATGTTTAATTAAGAGGTAAAATTCTATTGATTGTATAATGAATGCTTTCTGGGTTCTTTCTCATTTCAGATGGTACTTTACAAACCAATTTAGGATTCTTGAATCTATGAATTGGTTTATTAATTAGAATACTCATCCAAGCATTCATTCTTATTCTTCTATCTTCTAAAATAACATTCTAAAGATGATAAAATTTAAATCTATTATAATAATCTGTTTCCAATTCTTTAAATAATAATTCAATCATTTCTTTAGTATAATGATTTGGTTCATTAAGATCAATAGTTTCAATCATAACATTAGCAGCATTACCTTTTTCACTATAAAGTAATTCTAAGATTTCTTATTTATTCATCTCTTTAGCTAATGTATTTAATTCTTAATCAGTCATAATATGTTGCATATTTCTACCACCTTATAAATGAGTGTAGCCATTACAATGAAATTGACATTTTTCACATAATTATTAATAAATTGATTTAATATCTTCTTCTTTTAATAATCTAATAGGTGGTAATTAAACTCTTTATGGTAATTATGTTTTAGTTGCTGTTGTTGGTTAAGGTCTAATTTTAATTCCTAATTTAGTTTATTCAGAAGCAATAAGTGATTCTCTTACACCTTCTATATGTTCTTTTCCTATTAATGCACATTGTCTACAAAGACATTAATCAACACTATGATAATTAACACATGGACCATAAATAGCAAAAATATCTAATCTTTCTAATGCATTTGAATGTTCTAAATTAGGAGGATATAGAAATTTAAAAAGTGTTTCTAATGAGACTAACATTTTATCGAATTTGAAATCAGGTATTTTTTGAGGAATTGGGAATTTGAAAATGTCTCTTTCTTTATTAGCTGAGAATGGATCATCACTTCCATGAAATTCATTTTTTATTATAGATGTTCCATATATTGCTCTTAATGATTATGGATCTAATTTTTTAGCTTCAAGTGGATCTTTATTTCCTATCATCTTTTTCCATACCATTATAGGATTTTCAGTTTCATGACATAAAAGGAACATTACACATTCACCTGATAACATATATGTCATAATTTCATCCATATACTTTTATTATTTGTAAAACAGATTAAGTACTTCTTCTTTATAAAGTTCTCTCAATAGATAATTGTTAAACACTATACTTAAACAAAGTTTTTAATTGTTAATCCAGATGCTTCAATTTTATTTACTACTTCTTAGACTACATTTGGTTTAAGTGTTGTGTCTGGTTTAATCAATGCAAATGTATATGGCAGATTCTCTTATTTTGGATCAAACAACATGAATTTTATTATATTAATAAATATTATTATTAATAACACTCATTTATATCTAGATTTACGTAATCTCTCAACATGGATATTAATAATTTGTTTAGGAGATAATTATTATTATTGATGAGAAGAACACTGAGAAAAATAAGATAATCCCTATTGTATATTCCCTTCACTTCTTTCAGTTTTCAACATATTCTTTAATCGATTGAAATTTGATCCTTGTCTTGATAATAAAGGAGTAGGTTTCTGATTCTAAGGCATTAATTTTAAATAATTTGGAATCTAAATTGGAAAAAGACAATTAGAATGTGTAATTGGAGGATTTAATTAAAAACGATTACTAAGTGAAATTTATCTAGTTGAATGAAATCGAGTTATTTCAGAATCTAAATTACTATCTCTCTTTTTAGTAACAGGACAACAAAGTAATAGAGATTCTGTAGCTTTTCTTCTCAATAATATTTATTTTGATTATCTCTAAGCTTTCTAATTAGATTACTATGAACATGCTGATTTTAAATTATGAATCTCTAATGTTGACATAAATTACTATGCACTTAATGTTCTTAAGACAGTTTCATTGCTTTTACAAATAGCTTTTTAAGTTCTCTTAATTCCTTTAAGTACTTCTTCCTCTCCAAATATAGCTCCCTTTGTCATTAAAGATATTACTATCCTTTACCAATTATTTAATTAATAAGATAATTCTACTTCTCCACTTATTATAAAATATACTGAATGTGATTCTTCATTCTCTTTGTATATTGTACTATTCAATTAAGGTGAGAATTCAATCATCTAATGCATCAATTATGTTAAATGTTAATCTGGTATACCATGTAAATAAGAGATATTTTCAAAAAAAGCTAATTATTACTTTAGAATAGAATTATGATGTTCATACAAAATACGATCAAAAGCATTTTTATGTAATATCATAAAATGACAATCTGTGTAACAGAGAATTGTAGCTGTTCTTTTGGATTTTGTTATTAAGGCTAAATCTCCAAAAGTATCACCAGCACTAAGATTTCTCACTTTTACAAAGTCTTGATATACTACCTACAAAAACTCATTAAAGTCACTAAATTAATTTGACTTCTCATTCTCTATTCTTTACTGCAATTCCTCTATTGTAACCCTACCATATTTAAGATCATCCTAAACTTGTGGTTTTGGTAATAGTACATTCACTTATCCCTTTAGTATAATATAAAATGTGGATCCCATATCACCTATGTTTGAGATGGCAACAAAATACCATAATTAAAAACAGTTTCACATTATTAGACATACTGGTAATCAAGGTTCTTATATATTTATGTATAAAGGTATAGTGGTAATTTAGCTTTCTATTCTTCGAAGAATTTTAAATTGCCAAAATTTTTCATTAGAAAATCCAACTCAGTTTTAATGAAATCTCCTCGCTTTAATAAATCAATTGTTATCTGATGGGTTTAAGAGAGTAAAATACTTCATAATTGTTATTATCGCGATCAGTGATGGAATTCAACTTTCTTTTAATTGATTTTAGCATATAAAATATAATAAATGAATATTTTTACTCAATTTTGTGCAACCATGGGAGCTGAGACTAAATTTGAGAAAGTAAGCACTCAAACCTATACACACTAAAGGCCAGAATAGCTGCTACATATACCAGCACGAATCCCCCAAGTGAAGAGGATATCAGATAGATTCTAGCTACACTTTCAGGAGAAGACTTACAAACAAATGCTTAGACAGCGTATAGTTCGTTAGTGAGAAGATTGAAATTATAAAACAATGATGAAAATGGTTGGATGATGATCATAAAAAGTTTGATAATCATAGATAGGTATTAGGTCAAAAAAATTGAGGTGTGTGAGTGATCGTATATTACTTAAGGAATTTTATGAGTTAGATTTACCTTTAGTAGAATGTAGATAAGAGCGAGATATAAAAAATAAGTAATTACTAATTAACGAATTAATATCCAAATATTATCATTACATAAAATTTAAGGGACTAAAACTTAGAAATTCTACATCCCTTACTCTATATAAGAAGGAGAAGATCTTATATTTTAATAAAATGCCACTCAAATCTATCTTTGATGAATTGAAAATGATTCTAGAATTAGTCTAAAGAGTATTTGATATTATAGAAACAAAGAAAAATGGTCATCTACGTTTTAAAGTTAATCAATATGTATTCTTATTACTTATGAATGATTTATTGAAATATTATGGATGTGGATTAATTGCTTTTAATTTACTCATTAAGAAATTGCAAGATTTATAATCTAATGATCTTCTTTAATTAATAGCAATATCTAAATCTATGGTAAATTTTTCAAATAAGTTTGAAGAGTTTATCCATTAATGTAGATTTATATAAGGATTTGAGAGTGTGTAATTAGATTATAAGGTGTAAATTTAAATTAAATATTATTTAATAGGTAGATGATAATGTTGTGAATTTGGTAACTTAATATTTAGATCAAATTGAAATATAAAAATCTAATGGAACTAAATAGATAAAACTAAATCATTACAATACTTAAGCTGTTCTTGAATTAATCTGTATGTATGCATATTGTAATCATTTAGCTTAACAAAGATTGACACCTAAATAAAGTGAATTCTTTGGTAATATTATGATCAAATAACCATCTAAAACTTAAATATTTGTTAATTCATTTAGAAATAAATTTTCAGAAGAAGCTTTTCAGAAATTTACTAATAATTATTCTTCAAAGTATATTAATTATCATAATAAAAATTAAGATATCTACCTATACATGAGAGTTTTAAAAAATTACCTGAAATCATAGTAGAAGAAGAAATTGATTTCTTATAAAAAGTTGAAGATGATCAAAATAAGTTTCATGTTAGAGATACAATAGATTTGTTATATCCTGATCCATTCGATGACAAAATATTTACTCAATTTTAAAATATTTATAATTAGTGAGTTAACATTCTTTCATTTATTATATTAAAAAATTAATTATTATTAATAAAAACACAACTATTTTTAATTTAAATTAAATTATGAACTCAAAAATAAATAGAATATTTAATCAAAATAAATGAAAACTAGAAGATCATAATCAGTTCAACCTTCTTATTAATCTGAGGAGGAATATATTGAGAAAAATATGCATGTTTGTAAATCAGTTCATCCTTAATTAACATTTAGATAAATAAGAAATAAATTATCATCTGAATGGAATGTTTTAAATAATAAACCAAAAGTATATTCTTCTTTATCAAAATTTAGAAATAAACTAAATTAGATGATTTTATAATCTAAATAAGTCCATCATCACCTATCTCTAAAACAATTTAAAAAAAAAAATCTAAAAAACAACTAAAATAGAAATTACAATTACATAATAACAAAAACAATATACCACCTAAGAATTTAAATTAAAAAAAAACAAAGAACTCTCATTCATTAAAATAAGGACCAACTATTGTGATTTCGGATTCTGAATCTTTTAAAATTAGTTTGACTTCATAGGATGATAAATAATCTATTTTAAAAGACAGTCCTATTGTAATTTCTAATAATAGCCTATAAAACAAAGAAGTTAATTAAAAACTTTAGAAAAATTAAATTAAATCAAAATCAGAAAAGGAGGAATCTAAATAAAACTCCATAAAACATCAAAAGATTTCAAAATAAAAATTAAAACCTAATCGAAAATTACATATTAAAAAATTGAAATTAAGAAGATAAAATAAATTAAGAAAGTTAATATCAAATAATAAGTCAGGAATAGCTTCTGATTTTCAACCTGTTTTAGTTTCAGATTTTATTAATTCAACAAAAAAATAGGATCATATTAGTTTAATTACTATATCAAAATCTAAAGTTGAATAAGGATAAGTGGGTTTAGATGAAATCAAAAATATTGTATCACACACTTATGGAATAATTAATCATGAATACAATAATTCTGAGATTTTGAATTTTTAATTATTTTTTGAAGTTGAATTCTAACCAAGAAATGATGGACATGTTATACAAAATACATTTTGTACAACTAAATAAGCTGCTTTTTATTGCAAAAATTTGGTTTTGGAATATATTTAAAAACATAAAGATATATTTACTTAAAATGATGATTATTATTTGTAATGAATATTATAATACATAAAAATTAATTCACTTATTTAAATTATTATTTTAGAATGGAAGCTTAAATTGGATTTAAAATAATGCCTTACTAAGATCATATTTGTTCTCAAATCCTTTTTGCTAAGTATTCTTAATCAAATTAAGATTGGAGTGCAATTTACATTTAAAAAACACCATAACATGCTTTAACTTATATATATACAAAATATGAAAGATTTAAGGAAGTCTGTTTAATGAAATTCAAATTTAATGATAAGATTAAATTTATTCAATTAGATAATGAGAATTTTTCAAAATATAATCTTCCTTCAAAAGATAAAGCTTAAATTACTAGAGTTATGTTGTTTAGTAATTATGGGATTACAATTGAATAGAATTAACCATTAATGGACACATTAGGAAAATTGAATATTGGATTGATAATGGAAGATTCTGAAAAATAGTATGAATACATTGTACCTCATTAATTATTACAAGATGGAGAATGTTATGAATCTAATATTCCTTTAAAGTTTTAGAGGCATGAATCAAAAGTATTTAGAACTGTAAAATTGATTATTAATAATGAATCTTAAGATTTAGATTAATATTAGGATAGAATTCATGAATTCCCTTTAAATTTTGATAATTTATGAATTGATTCGTAATCGTATTTTCATTTTAATAAATAATTATAAATAATTATGTTTGAAAGTTTGAAGAATTGGCTTTTTCATGAAGATTAAGGAGACTTCGAATAATTTAAATTAATATCAAAATAACCAAAATTAAGATTACCTCCTAATTTTGCTTAATAAATTCTAGACTTAGAATTAGAATTAGAAAATGAGAAGGTGAATTAAAAAATGGTTAATGATTTATTAGCTCTATATAAAGTAAATTAAGTTAATTAAGGAAGCTAGGAACAGAATATTATGGTTAGAATGATGACAAGAAATATAAGATATTTACTGAAAAGGCAAGTAAGCTTCTAATGAAATCAAATGTATAAAAGGCATTTGAGCCAAGTTAAAAACATGATTCAAGAGATGCCATATCAACAGCTAGAGAATTTAATTAAAATAATTCTTTAATGAGGTCAATGATAAATAGAGATTTGTAAAAGCAAGAGGAAAACATCTTATAAAGACGTTAAAATAGAAGAGAGATATTATAATCAAAATAATGATTATGATGATTTTTAACACTAGTTATATAATTTTTATTCTAATTATAGAAATTAGACACGCAATTTAATTATAAATTTATATTTTTTATTTTTCATAACATTCGCTCAAATATTTTGTATACATTATGGGAATTAACTTAACATAAATACTTTATAAAAATATTGACAATATTAGCTATACAATTTATAATTATTTAAAAAATAATCATATCTTAAACTTAGAAGAATATAAAGAAAAAAAAACTATAATTTAATAATGATAGGAATAAATAGAAATCTAAATAATATTAAATTAAAATGATATAATTTTATAGTTTTATAAATAAAATTAAAAATCAATTTGTTGCTACATAACCAATTAAAAAACAAATTAAAGCTGAAAAAAATATGTGTTATACACCTACATAGATTTAACCTTAATTTTAATCAGATTCTTATGATAATAATAATGTTTTTTGTTTTTCAATATTTTATAATTCTTCAGATTCTTTATTGTATTCTATTTATAATTAATGTATTTTAAGATTTAATTTTTAGATTTAATGGTCCTCTTCAAAATCTTTTTCTTAGTAATTATGAACTTTTGGTTGTTAAGGTTAATATGGATATGATTAGGGTTTTGGGGGAGGATAATCAAGTTGAAAATTATTTTATGAATTGGATGATTGTTTAGATGAAGTTTATTTAACTTATTAAAACGTAGTTGATGTAAGAAATCTTTATTCAGAAGCAGATACTCTGCTAACACTTTATTGTGGATCAGAATTTGTATATGAATTTCTAATAGGTTATTGTTTTATTTATTCACTCTTTTTTAACAAAGCATTTTATTCATAAGTAAAATCTTATTAATTATTTATACTTTCTTCTATGTTCTTATTTAATGAGATTGATTAATTAACAGTATTAGATTATTTAGTTATTTAATTTTAATCGATAGTAATTATTTCTATTTTCATTTTTTGAACAAATGAGTTATTGGAATAAGAATCAAAATAAGAGGCTAAAGATTTAACATCTGTTTTATTGAAATTTTAATCAGATAAATCCACAGTCAGAATTTGTAATTTTGAATTGGCTAAGATTGTAATAAGGTATAAATACATTAGAATTTTTAACATTTAACGATAATTTTAAAGTATTATCCTGTAAATGATCCAATATGTGGCATTACTTATATATCTTAAGTATTGTTAGTTCTGATTTTGAAACCACAACAGCTTAAATTTTAATATATTTTATTACTTGTTAGGTTTAGTATTATTAAGTGTGAGTGTCCCTATATATTGGCCATCAATTTTATAACATTCTAATCTTTCTCCTTGGGGAACAGTAATCATAAATTAAATTAAAACAAAATATAAAATTTCAATTTTGGTATTAAAATCATTACTCAATAATCTTAAAATCACTAGTAGTTCTACGACTATTCCTTCTACTTAGATCATTAAATTAATTTTTGAGAATTTCTAATTTAGCTTATTCTCTCTTATTTTTGTATTCATTAACCAATGATGAATGATTTTGTTAAGGCAAAGGCATAAAACTTTTAAAATTGCTATAACATAATCTTTGGATTTCATTTTCTTATATTTTCTTTTATTTAAGATCTGGATCTTCAGCTTCATTATAATATTCTGTTTTAAAGACTTTAAGAGTGTTATTATTAACTAATTCATCACTGTGAATAACAACATCTCTATTTTTATTATTTTTATTATCTTTAATCATTTTAGCCACTTTATTTTAATCTAATTCTAATAATTGAATGTCTGCATTTGCAAAAACATGTTAAGCATAACCTCCAAAAATAAGTATTTTTGAATCTATAGAAACACTAGAATGTCTGCATTTGCCATGTTTTCTAATTAAATATTAATGAATACAATTATTAGATTTATTAAACTTAAGACCATGAGAATTATTAGATCTACAATACAAATATATCATTAAGAATATTTCCTTATTTTGAATCATTCCTTCCTCCATAAATAATAATAACATTAGTTTATCTAAAATAATTCATTGAATGAGAATATCGAGCTAATGGTGCTTATCCCTAATTAAATTATATCAATTACTTTTGTTTTCACTTTTGTAATTTTAATTGGTTTAAATCCAAATTATATAATTCTAAGATCATTAACTGCTTCTCCATTTTATAATCTACCTCCAAATACATATATGCCTTCAGTTGTAATTGGCAAGAAAGATTTACCCTTTTTTTTAACCCATTCATAACTGAAATAAGGATTTTCCATTTTAACTTCACTTTTAAACATGGCCAAAGAAGTTGCATCAGATACTCCTTCTAAACCAGTTGAATTCTCAATTTAAAATGAAGTCCTTAAATATATACTTTTCTAATAATTTACCATTTACATGTTTCTAAATTAAGTCCTGCAACATCTGTTAAGACTTTGCCATAAGAATTGATTCCACCATAAACAATGAAATATTTACCAACTACTTCTGCACAATGATTACGTCTCCCTTCTACTACATCTCCATAAGGTTTTAATTAAATCCAAGTTTTATCACTTGGAGTAAATATACGAACATCACCATAACATTCTCTCATTTTCATTGCACTATTATATTTTTTCTCTCCCCCATAAATTATTAATTATTGCTTATATAATGTGGCTGTGTGTCCAAATCGACCCTCCAATGGAACATCTCCTACTCCAGTTCCTATATCTTTCCATACCCATGATTGTGTATTCAGAGTTACAAAAGTTTTAAATAAATCATTTCCTATTCCACCATACATTATACATTTATTCAAATTTTAAATATAAGTAACTGTACATCCTTCACGAATTGGGGGTTTCCAATCTGATATTGATATGTGAAACCAAAAAAACTTTAAATTTGTTGTTATCACTTCTTGTGATAGAGAAGGAGAAGAACATTCTTCCTGTTATTATCCTACATCATCTGCATCAGTATGATTTATCTTTAAATGAACTAATTTAATTTTGTATTAGTCTTTTTATTCTTATTTTTATATTATTGAATCAGCCACTTCTTTTACAGTCATGTTCCATTTTTATTCAATTCGATTCTTGAACTTCAATGCTTGACTATGATTAAATTGAAGTCTATTCTTTAATTACAATGGACTACTAAGAGTATTAGCCAATTTATCTGCTTAAGTAAGCCAACTTGAATTAGTCCTCATCATCTCATTAAATGTTCGAAAACCTGTATCATCAGATTATGTTTAAAGGAAAATCAATTTACATTCCCCCTTAGAAATTATATCATCTACTGGAGGCATTTGAATTTATTAAGGCTATTTAACCATAGACATTGAGGACTCAGTTTTTAAGACTCGAGATTTTTAATGAGCCCGTTATCCCTTCGAGGCAGAATTATCTCTTCCTTCTTTGAGTTCTTTTAATTTTAGAGAATATTAAATTATTAGACGCTTCCTTTTTTGGGAATCCATTTTATTATTTACAATAATATTAAATCATTTATTACTTAATCATAAACAATATCTCATATTAACTTATAATAATTTTCTAATGTACTATTTCAAATATCAAACATACTAACTTTATCTTATATATTGTATCATTCTTTAATTAATACTCTGAATCTATTAATATTTTATAATAATCTTATTTTAATAATAATAATAATGAAAGTCAAAGTACTCATTCTCATGAACTTAATTTACTTAATTTGAATCATCAAGACTCTAGAACTCTGTATATATTATAAAATTATGAAGTTTTAAATCAATGACATAGATTCTTACTTTTATAAGTTTCCTATTGTTATCCAATTTCCAAATAATTCAAAATTATGTAGATTTTCTTATAATACTATTGTTACTTCCTATTACATAATTTATATGCGAAATTTAAAATAATTGATCAAATAGAAATTCTAACCATTTTGATCAAAATCTTAATTTCATCTATATAACTGTTTTAACTTTTATTATTCCTAAAATGAATTATATCTATTAAAGGCAAGTTGCTATAGAGTTGAAAGCCTTCAATTTATATAATTTTTGATTATCAATACAATTGGGAATCTTGGTACTGATATGGAGAAAATCATAGTAATTAAAGAAAAACATTTAGATCAGATTTCAGTATATTAAATACTATTATCCAAATGTAAATACTTATTTAGTTTGATAGGTAGATTTTTTTTATAATTTAATAAACGAATAAATTTCATTATTAACGTATTTTTTAATATCTGGATACATTGTTTTTATTATGAAATATTTGAGAATAAAAATATAAATTTAATTATATATAGATTTGAAAAATAAATTTGAGAGATTTACTATTATTCATGTTAATTAATAATTATATATGAATTTGTTTATAAAAAATATTAATTAGAAAGTATCAATATTAATTGTTCCAAATTATAAATTAGATTCAAATAAAATATTTGTTTATGTATGTAAATATCAATTTGTTATGAAAATTACTTAAAAGCAATATATACATTAAGAAATTGTAGGAGATATTATTAATTTTAATAGTTGATGGAAAATTAATAACAATTGTTTAAAAAATAATTAATACGTTGTTAAGTAGTGTTTAATATTTGGATGTCGTAAGAATGTCTTTAAAAATGGATAAAATAAATAAAAGATTATCATTTAAATTTATTATCGTTTTAAGACCACTTATTAAATAATGAATACCTAAGTTAATGAAAATGATCCACTAAAATCAGAAGATAAGAAACAAAATGAATCCGATGTTCCTTACTTAAAATTATACAGGTTTGCCTCCAAATTTGATTATGGTCTTATGATTCTCAGTATGATAGGAGCCATTGGAAATGGATTATCTATGCCAATATATTCAATAATATTTGGTGACCTTACTGATTCTTATGCATATGATGATGACTATACTAAAATAAAAAAAGCAGGATTCAATACATTGTAAATATTTTATGGAAATATTAGATATATGGCAATTTTGGGAATTGGTACTTTATTAGTGACATTGTTGATGTATGCAACATTTTCTATAAGTACAGAGAATCAAACGAAAAAACTAAGGAAATGCTATCTTGAAAGTCTTTTAAAAAAGTAGGTTATGTGGTATGATTAAGTGAATACAAATGCTTTAAACTAAAAAATAAACAATGAAATATCTTCAATATCTGATGCAATAGGAGAGAAGACAATGACTTTTACCTTTTCACTTGCTGCCTTTATAAGCGGTTTCATAGTTGGATATATAAAGTAGAAATTGAATTTAATTTTAGGGGTTGGAAACTAGCTTTAGTAATCACATCAGCTTTGCCAATATTAGCAATAACCATTGCTTTTATTGGCTTTTCAGCATCTTGGAGAGAATAATTCACATTAAAATCAGATATTGAATCTTCAGCAGTAGTTGAAGAAACTCTAAGTTAGATTAAAACTGTAAAAATGCTTGATGGAGAAGATTTTGAATATTAAAGATTTAAAAAGATAATATAGCATTCATCTAAAACAATAATCAAATATGGATTATATTATGGTTTGTCATTTGGATCTATGTCTGGATTTCAACAATGGACTTATGCTTTAGGAATATTTTATAGTGGTTAATTAGTTTCAAATTAAGTATTAACTAAATATTATAAATAGGTGGACATCAATTATACAGGTCCAGTATATACATCTGGTAGTATTTGTACAGTGTTTTTTGCAATTCTAATGGGAAGCTTTTCTTTAGGATAAATCGGTCCTTGTTTATAGAGTTTTGCCAAAGGAAAATTGGCAGCTAAAGAAGTCTTTAAAATTTTAGATGAGAAACCAAATGTTGAAGAAAATAATGAATGCATAAATTTAAATAGTGTTAGTGGTGATATTTAGTTTAAAAATGTCTCATTTGCTTATCCTTCAAAATAAGACATATAAGTGTTAAAGAACGTTACTTTTACTATTCCATAAGGTAAGAAGGTCGCATTTGTAGGATAGAGTGGATCAGGGAAATCTACAATATCTTAATTATTGCTTAAGTTTTATGAAATTGATAGTGGAGTAATTTTCATAGGTAATAATGAAATACCTTTGAATTAGATTGGGAAATAATAATTTAGATAGAAAATTGCTATTGTTTCTTAAGAACCTGCTTTATTTAATACAACAATTAGAGAAAATTTGAAATTAGGTAATTAGAGTTGTAGTGATGAAGAATTAAAAGAAATGTTAATATCTATGAATGCATCAGAATTAATTGATCATTTAGATACTAATGTAGGAATAAATGGAAATTAATTTAGTGGTGGTTAAAAATAGAGAATAGCATTGGCAAGAGCATTGTTATAAAAACCAGAAATATTAATTTTGGATGAAGCAACTAGTGCACTTGATAGAACAAATGAATAATAAATTACTAAAATAATAGATGAAAGATATGCAAATTTAACTAGAATTGTTATTGCTCATCGTTTAACTACTATTTAAGATAGTGATATTATTTTTGTTTTTTTATAAGGATAGATTTTAGGATAAGGTACACATACAGAATTATTATAAAATTGTGAATAATATGCTTATTTAATCTCAAAATAATAAACAAAAGAGGAAACAAATTTATTACCTACTTAAACTAGTATAGAAGTTGAATTAATTAGAAAAAGAACAGATAGGTCACCTAAAAAGACTTAAATTTTTGATATTAATCAATCTGAAAAATCAAGGATTAGATTAATTGATACAGAAAATGAGATTGCTAAATTATCAATAGCTAGATAAGAAACATAATAAAAATAAGATACAGTAGAAATAAAAAATGAAAAATCATTTACTTAAACTTTGAAGAGTCTCATATTACTTAATTATAATGAAATACATTATTTAATTCTTGGTTGTTTAACAGCATTTGTTAATGGATCAATCTATCCATTATTCTCTCAAGTAATAGCTGAAGTAATAGAAGCTCTATTAATTAATAATCCATAATTTAATATTGAAAATAGTACACCAGAATAGATTCAAGAAAAAGTTGATGCTTTAAAAGAATCTATTCTAAAATGTGAAACAAATTTATTTATTTTAGGATTTGTTTATTTTATTTCAACAACCATTGAATGTTTTTGCTTTAGTGTTTATTCTGAAAGATTAACTATAAGAATGAGATTAGAAATGTTTAATAAATTCTTACATCTTCCTGTATCATTTTATGATAATCCCAATAATAATGTGGCATTTTTAACTTCTAGAGTCACTACAGATGCAAGAACAGTTTAATAACTATTTTAAAATATTATTGGTTTTAAATGTTAATATTATTCTGCTATTTTAGTAGGATTTACATTAGCATTTGTTTCATCTTGGAAACTTACTTTATTAGCAATTGGAGTTGCTCCTCTCTCTTATTTTGGAAGTATATTAAGTTCAAAATATGTGGTTGGTTCATAATAATCATTTTGTGAAAAGGTTTATGTCACATGTAATAGGATCTTAATGGAATCTTTAACTAATATTAGAACTGTTTATTCATTAAGAGCTGAAAATATATTGGTTGAATAATACACAAGACTTTTGGAAGAACCAAGTAATAAAGCAAAAAAATTAGGTGCTTGGATTGGAGTCAGTTCAGGATATGCATAAATGAAACCATTTCTTGTTAATGGGTATCTTTTCTTTATGGGAACTCTACTTTTATATTATGATGGTTTAGCTGTACTTGGAATCTATTAGACAATTTTAGCTATTATATTTGCTGTTGTTGGAGGTGCCAAGGATGTTTATTTTCAATCTGACAACTCTAAAGCTCAAATTTGTATCAACTATTATTTGAATCTATTAGAAGTGGAGGATGAATTCTAAAGAGAAATTAGATTAAAATCATCTAGATTGAAAATACCTATTTTAGGTAATTTGGAATTTAAAGATGTTATTTTTAGTTATCCCTAAAGATAAAATATATTAGTACTCAACAATTTAAATCTCAGAATTGATGCATGTTCTACAGTTGGTTTTGTAGGTTCTTCAGGATGTGGCAAATCTACATTATTTTAACTTTTATTGAGATTCTATGATGTAGATTCTGGAGATATATTATTAGATGGTAAATCTATTTATGATTTTGATCTAAAATATTTAAGGTAACATTTTGCAATTGTACAATAAGAACCACAATTATTTAATGAATCAATTTACTATAATATAAAATATAATCTTAAAAGTATTACTTAAGAAGATATTGAGAATGCATCTAAATTATCCCATGCTTATGATTTTATTATGCAAGAGGATTTTGGAGGTTTTTAAAAGAAAGTTGGTAGTAAAGGAAGTTTGATTTCAGGTGGTTAAAAATAAAGAATTGCTATTTCAAGAGCTCTTCTAAGAAATTCAAGTGTATTTTTATTTGATGAAGCTACAAGTGCATTAGATTCTAATGTAGAATCAATAGTTTAGAAATAATTAGAAGAATATCTGATTGGGAAAACATCCATTGTAATAGCTCACAGAATATCAACAATTAAGGTACATTTTATAATATATTGTAGAATTGTAAAGTCATTTATGTTTTTGATAAAGGTTAGGTTATTGAATAAGGAGACTATAATTATCTTGTAAGTTAAAAGGGTCATTTTTATCATCTCGAATAAGGTCTCCTTAATTAGGATCAATAAAATGAAATGAGTTTCTAATAAGAAGATAATGATGTATGATTATGTTTATTAGATTTGAATTATTTTAATTTAAATTTATAATCATTTAGTATGATCAATACCTTTAAAATATTTATTTTGTATATAATCCTTAACTTCCTCTAAAACTCCTTCATTCTCAAAATCATGAATGGAAAAATCATATTTATTCTATATTTGCCTTATATTTTTGTTAACTATTTCATCAACAATCATTTTGTCTTCTTCAGGCACTTATTATTTATTCCATATAGCTGGTTTCTCAAATGATGGAGCATTATTTAAAACTGATAGTAATTCATGAACTTCTCCTAATTCTTATAGAAATAATAATAATTATTTATTACCTTATATTAATTGTCTTCGATTCTACTCAACAGAAGGTTGTGATTATAAAAATGTAGCATAAATCTTATAATATTCCATATGTAATCTCTGAAAACTTTCCACTTACTTTGATCCTTATAGTCTAGTGTTTTAATTAAATTATTCAACAAGCTCTTTAATTTCAGTAGGATTTGGTTTTTTATAGATGTTTTTAGCTTATTCAACATATCTTTTCCCATAGTTTTCAATTCTAGGTTTTCTTACATCTACTTAATTTAGATCAACTTTAATTTCAGGTTCTTTTACCTAAATACATATTTGATTATACCTATCCTTCATCAAAAATCTCTTTAATTTACTAGAACACAACAGCATTTCTTTCTAATAGCATTGTATTGATTTCTTTCATATCCATAGCTTCAATAATTTTGAATTCAAGTTGTTTCAAGTGTAATTCCTCTTATTTTTTTCTCACATCTGATCTAGCTTTTTCCATTTAAGTTTTTTTTAATCTTTCTTATTCATTATTTTCAAAAACTCCTGAGCTTTTGAGAGTTTAATTAAAATTTTGTGTTGAATTGGGTTTTTAAGAAGAATTTGGTCTTCTCATTTCAATTTATTTATAATTCAAACTTTTAATATAAATTTATTCAAAATATTCTCTTAATAGTCTTATCATTATTATAAATTATCACATCTTCATTTATATCTATTATCAATATGAAATTTTGAATTGATCACTTATTTTCATTTTCTAATTTAATTTATGATTCAAAAAAGAAAACTAAAGGATTATTATACTAAATTGATTTCTTTATTTTAGTATATTTCATTCAAATCAAAATTCAAAATCTCATGGATTTCTTCATTATCCTCTTTACCATATAATTTAATATATAATTCATATAATAATTCAAGGATTTGTTTTATTGCTATAAAGTTTATTGACTATTTCTTGCATTTCTGTTTTTAATTTTGAAAATTCCCATTGTTCATCTATCTCTTATACTTCTTCAGCTGGTCTCAATACTTATGTTAAAATACTAAAATCAATGTCATCAGCCTAAATATAAATTCTTAAATAAGTACTGGTTAAGGCAAAGATGATATTTTAGCCAAATTCTGTAATTCATTAATATTCTATAACTTTTATCCTAAAACAACTCCTGCATCTGATATCTGATTTTAAGGTTTCTTTTCTTCCTCTGCATCAGGAATATATTATATATCATCTGCTTTTCCTGCTGTTTCCCAAATATTCAATTTTTTTTCAACACGACTAAATGCTTAAATTATATCTTACTTATTTATATTTAATTTAACATTGTTTCCTGAAAAACCCCAACCTTATTTAGCCATTTTATTTATATAATTTTATAATATATATGTTTTTTTCAATAATTGATTTAGATGCATGATTATAAAGAGATACATATATAAATTCAGATTTAATGAATCACACTTTTAAGATCCATTCTCAATAAATTAGTAAATTGGCCTTCATTAACAAATTCTTTAATAGATTCAATATCTAATTCAACTTAATCATCCATATATATAATAAATGTGCTTATAATCCTTCTAAAATTCGTTATTAGATTTTTAATGGATTATTCCTATAATTTTCCTATTAAATAAAACTTTTTTTAACATAATATTCCAAAATATTTTTTCAATTTTCTTTATAATTCAACTGTTATCACTTCCTATACTATTTAACCATTGTGAATTCTATGATAATTAATAATCATCTTTCTAATAGTCTAATACATAAATAATTTTTTTTGAATAATCTTTGCTTAATCTTCATCTTTTTCTTCATAATAAACAACACAGGTTTCATTATTTGATTAAATTATAAAAGACTAAAATATATTATGTAATTTTTTACTCTATTCAATAAATTTTAGGCAAACTAAATTAATTAATCTCCTTATAAGGATTTAGGTATATCAACTTATGATGGTTGAGTCTTGCGATTATCACTTGCAATTATAATTTTTTTATGCACTGAATCATAAATACCATTTAGTAAACCATAACCTATAAATTCAAAAGCATTTTCAGGTTTTAATAACTTAAATATTTTAGCTATAAAATGATATTAAAATTTACATTATAAATTTTATGCTAATATTCTATGTTAAGGTTCTTAGAGTAAATAAATTCCTTTTTCTTCAGAGTATTTTAAATTATTAAGAACACGGAAAGAAATTCTATTAACAAACTAACTATAATTTTCATTTTTAAAAGTATATGAATTTCTTTATTATGTATTTTTTGTTTCTATAGCTAAGTATATAACTTATTTTCTTGATCCTACAAATAAACTTCCTTCTATATTTGATTTAGCTAACTTAAATGTAACATGTCTCCTATAGTGATCAAATTTAAATTTCTTTTGAAGTTTAATTACTGCCTTTTCATGTGCTTTAGTATAAACTTTTAAAACATTTTCATTATGCCAATTTACTATATATCCTTTCAAATATTTTTAAGGCTTTTTAATAGTTTTTTTGACATTTTCAACTTTAAAATAAGTAGATTTAACTTTAAAATCTTCTGCCTTTGCTTAGAATAATTCCTATTCTTTATTGATGAAGATATTGATAGAAAAGAGTGATCCATCATTTTTATTAATTCCAGTAATCATACCAACTTTCTCAAATGTATAATTATTTGTAAGAGATACTAGTAAAAAATATTAAATAATATCATACTTTCATCATCTGAATTTTAACTAATATCATCTTTCATTAAATCTGGTAATTACAAACTAACTTATTTTGCATATATTTTATTTTCATCATTTGGTACAACTAAAGTTTAAGTTTAATGCTTTTATTCAATAGATGTTTAACTATCCATTTATGATTCTGATTGTTCACTTTATTAATCTGATATTTTTTAATCTTATATATTATTTTGAGAAATTTCATTTTTTGATGCAAGATTATGAGTAGCATTAAAAAGTTATTTATTTTAATCTGTATTTTCTTCTTCTTAAATTTCATTACCTTCAAGATCTTTCTTTTCATCCTCATCTTCTTCAATAATTGTATTATTAGCTGATATTTTATCTTTAGTACCATTTGGAATATTATTTTGTAAAACTATTTATTATTATTAATTGTAATTATCTGTTTCACCAATATTAGTAGATCCTACCATAGAATTATTAGCACTCATAGTATTTAATTATAGAGTGAAATCTAAATTTTAATTTATTTCAGTCTATTAAATTTATTTTTATTTTTAATTTTCATCTTCATTTTTATCAAATTCAGATAATATTCCTTAGGATGATAATAAATTATTATTGAATTAACCAGTCTGATTAATTCTTTCATCATTAGAGTTTTCTTTATCAGCATATCCTTCACTATTTTAATTTTATTCCTCTTCAATTTATTCCTTTTTTACAGATCCAGCCTAACTATTTTTTTACATATACTCTTCTTCATCAATTTATTCTTAAACTAAAGGAACATCTTAAAAAGGTTCTACTTTAGAAAAAATTTAATCTGGATTTGTATGAGCAGCTTTATGAATTACTATAGAATCTGAATTAAATTATTATATATCTGCTATTGTAATAGGAGTATTGTAATTTAATTATTATTCCTCTATTTTTGGTAATATTTATTCTAATTTTTATAAATTAAAATCATATCGAATTTAATTATCATTATTTTTTTATTTAAATTAAATGTAAGGGTCCATAGAGGATAAAGCTATTTGAGAAGAATTTATGATTAGAAATGGTAGTAATTCATCTTGAAATTAAATAATTAATTCTTTATTAACTTTAAAAGAGGAATTTATGTTAAGAATGAAAATATGATCCAATTTTTAAGAAATATTATTACTTTTTTTACTTGATTTTCTTAAAATGAATAGATTATAAAATATTAAATCGATTTATGATAATTCTTATGAATTCCAAGCTATAAATAAATATCCATTTTGCATTTGATTATTTTAATCTTTAATTTTAATAAATTAATGATCAATAGATTCTTAATATTTAGATTTAATTTTTTAAATTCTTGATATTAATTTATTATTGCTTAATTTCCATTATTTTTATATCAAAATAATATGTTAAAGTTTTTATTCTTCATGAAGTTTTTAAGCATTTTACTTAATAATTTCATCAACTTTATTTTCAACAATTTATTAATTCTATTATAAATTGACTTCATTTATATCTTCAACTATTTCTTCAAGATCATCAATTTATTTACAAGATATATTTTATTATCCAAAATTATTTTTGCTTGATGATTCTTAATCATAATCTAATTTTTTAGTAAAACTTTATAATGTTTCATCTCTTGTCATTGATGATCTTTTCTTATCATAATCTTAATTAATTTCATTTTTATTAATTTTATCATTGAATTTCTCATTAGTTAAATAATGTTCCTCATCTTCATCTGTTTTAGATTCTCTATTATTTATTGTTTAAACTGCAACCAAAGGTTAAGGTTCACTATCATCTAATTATTCTTAAATAAAAGGATCAGTATTAAATATTTATTTCTATTATTATTATTCAGATGATTTTTTTATCTCTCTAGATGTTTAAGGAGTATTCTTTTATAACTTTTATTAATGAATTTATTAATTCATATAACGAAAGGCTTCTAATTTTTGTAATTCTCTCTATTTTTAATCTTAAATATACTTTAATTCTTCTTATTCTTTTTATGCTTACTACATATATAGATATTAAATTTACAATTTTAAGATTTTCAATATCTTATTATAATGCTTTAGCTTTTTCAGCAATTTCTGTATCTGTTTTTAAATTCTCTTCACTAACTTAATTTAAAGTTCTATTAGTTGCTGACATTTATTTTTTTATAGTAAATGCTTCCTTTTTAGTAATTTCAAATGCTTTTAATTTTTATGTTTAAGATTATGTCATTATAGCTGATTATGGTCTAAGACTATGTCCCAATCTTTTAGTTTCTGATTAAAATAATCTATCCGTTACTTTTTTTGTAGTGTCAGTATTTTGATTTCTTAATGCACTTTAGGCATATTGACTTGTAATATTTGCTCTAATTTAAAATTTATGATTTAATGATGTAATGGCAATTTTTTATGCTTCAGCAATAGCCAATTATCTAGCAAATTCTTCATATATGGCTTTCAATTAAATTGTTAAGTAATGATGAATACCTAGATTATCTTCAGCCACTTTAAAAGCTGATGCATATGCTTATAGTGCAAATTAATATTTTTAAAAATGTTATTCTTGAACTCCTACATTATAAAAGGATATTGCAAGAGCACTTACACAACGTTAAAATTTAAAGTTTTACATTGACACATGATTCTTTATATAATATTAATATTCTTTATGACTTTCAGTAACTGCTTTCTTAGCATTCTCTAATGCACCTTCATGTCTATTTGCTAATATAAAATTATAAATACTCTTCAACTAAGGACAATACTACAGATAAATTTAAGTGGGTAACTGCAACCTCTTTTAAGTTGTATTTTCGAATAACTGCCAAAGCACATTCCAATTCTTTTAAGGCTTTTTCCATTTATCCAACTCTCCTATAATAGCATCCTAATCCATTGAGAATTTAGA